CTTCGATGCACTCCATGCTAATTTCTGTTCTTCTCCATCTACATACTGTAATTATCCCAGAGCAATTATAGTCTGCCTTCCTACTACTTTCCCCCTCACCCACCCTGATTTTCAGGAGATGGGTGCCTTTCTACCCTTTGGCTGACTCCTCCTGACTGGACAGCAGCCACCAGCTGACTCTCTTTTCAGCCCTGCTACAAAAAACAAACAAACCAGATTTCTGTGCTTATTCACTATAGAGCAGCGGTAGGCAACCTAAGGCCTGGGTCCCAATCTCCTTCTCAATCTGGCCTGCAGACGGTCCGGGAATCAGCGTGTTTTTACATGAGTAGAATGTGTGCTTTTATTTAAAATACATCTCTGGGTTATTTGTGGGGCATAGAAATTCGTTCACCTCCCCCCCCAAATATAGTCCGACCCAGCACGTGGTCTGAGGGACGGTGGACCGGCCCACAGCTGAAAAAGGTTGCTGACCCCTGCTATAGAGCATCAAGCATCAGGAGCTGTCTATCTGGCCAGCCAGAGTTTATGATTTCAGCAGTCGGGGGTGCCAGACTTGTGGAGGGGCTGCCTGGGCTGCCTGCACAACTACTGCCCACCCAACAGCTAAAACAAGCAGCCCAAACCATTCATCTGCCCACTTGAAGTTGGCAGCACTGAACCTTGTAGGTGTAGGGCTGAGTGAGGGGTTGGCTAGAGGACCTCTAGGCGCACTTCCATCCTATAGGTGCATGATTCTGCGACCTGCATGGCCAACGTTCCATTAACGTTCATTTTTGCTTTCCGTTTGTGGAGCAATGTATGACATCCGTGTGCCCATTCGAGCGATGTGCAGGCAAGCGATTGCGTTGAAACCCACAGCATGCAAATGTCTAATCCTATAGGGCAGGGCTAAATCATGGACGCAAGACTGAAAGAAGAAGTTGCAGGATCAGGCCAATGGCCCGCCTAGTCCAGCATCCTGTTCTCACAGTGGCCAATCAGATGCCTGCGGGAAACCAGCAAGCAGGATTCGGGCACAAGGACACTTTCCCCTCCTGTGGTTTCCAGCAAGTAATATTTAGAAATATTCATCCCTCCAGCTGTTGCAGCAAAGCCTAGCCATCATGCATTGCTAGTAGCCATGGGTAGCCCTCTCTTTAACGAATTGGTCTAATCCTTTTTTGTTGTTGTTAAAAAATCTAGTTTTTATAGAAGGTTTTTTTGTGATACAAAAAACAAGCAAGAAAAGATACATATACAGTGGTGTCTCCACTTTCAATTCATAGAGCCTTTTTCATGGTTTGTTTGCATTCGGTGTGCCATCTTGTTTGGTGGCTGTCTTTAATAATAATAATAATAATAATTTTTTATTTATATCCCACCCTCCCCAGCCGAAGCCGGGCTCAGGGTGGCTAACAACAATAAAATAATACATTCTAAATCATTTAATTATAAAATTAATTCAAATCAAATTGATGGCAACCATTGGGCTAGAGTTCTGTGAAGATTGCCAAAGGAGGGGGTCAGGCTGTGCCCTGGCCAAAGGCTTGGTGGAACAGCTCTGTCTTGCAGGCCCTGCGGAAAGATGTGAAGTGCCGCAGGGCCCTAGTCTCTTGTGGCAGAGTGTTCCACCAGCCTGCAGCGGTGAGTTCCACAGAGTAACCGTGCTCTGGTGGGGGCTGTCATCCCAAAGCAAAACAAAACCTGACGGGCACCCAGCTGGGGAAGGCCGTTCTGGAACATTATCTTTTATCACCCCACCCACCTCCGGACCATCTCACTCTGCCCCTTTGCGAGCTCGAGTGAGCATCCCCACGAAGGCCTGCCTGTTTACTCGGCTGCGAAAGCAAAACGATTGAGTTCACCATGGCAATGTGCACACGGCGCACGGGCCCAGGCAGACGGGGAGCTGCTGCTCACAGGAAGTCGGAGCTCGTTTCCCCATATGCTCTGCCGATTGATGCAGATTCACACTAATAATTAGGGCCCTATCCCTGCTTGCTTTACGCCAGCAGAGCTCGAGGAGGGTGCAAGAGCTGGAAAGGCAAGGGTAGGGAGGTGGGCTCCGTGCCAGTGACTCAGAGTTCAGTACAAAAGCCCGAGCGATTAAAACACACCCTTTTGCCTAATGCCTCTATGTTTGAGGAGCTGGCACAGGGGGAGTCAGCTGGGTCACAGCTGCACAGGAGGTCTCGCTCTGCAAGGATTGCTTGGCTTGTTAAGCTAAGATGCAGCCACCTCTGGGGGAGGGAAGAGAAATTTGCTTGAGTTTGCCCTTAGAAGAGGGTGAGACAAATTCGTGGAGAGTACCAGTGGCTGTTTGGCACAATGGCAATGCTCTACCTCCTCTGCCAGAGGCGAAATGCTTCTCTGAATATCAGTTTGCTGGAAGCTGCAGGTGAGGAGAGGTTGTGCTCATCTCTCCTACTTGAGGGTTTTCCCATGGACCACTGTGAAAAGAGGATGCTGTAGCAAATGGGCCTTATCTTACTGGGCTGGTCTTATGTTTCCAATTCCACACTTTCCAAAGCAGTACCAGAACCGAAACAGAACCATCCTTCAAGAGTCACGTGAAGAGTAGGTGGGTTCCCACGAGGCAAGACACCGTGATAACAGCAAGAACCTTTATTGAACTGGGAAACTGGAGCAAAGCAACTTCTTATATACATTCCTGAAAGCCGGGGCCACTCCCACTCCCAACGTGATTGGCTGTCTAAACTTCCAAGCTGCAAATCACAACTCGAGTTCAAGGGCCAGTGGCAGAGGCCCAAATCCTGAAATGTTCTGTGATTGGACCTCATGTCTTGAATCAGAACACAGGAGCTCAGATTCCTTAGTCCAGACTCAAGCTCAGGCAAACACAGACCACTGAATACATAACATCACGCTTCCCTGATTTTTGCATTGCTTCGTCCTCCAGCCAGGGATATGTGCGAAAACATGCATGTCCTGCTATGAAGCGGGCCTAAAAACGCACATATAAGGAAAATCAACATTCATGCATTATATCAGGGGAAACTGCTTTGCAAGTTTGCATATGTTAGGTGAAATTGTATACAGATCTGTGTACATTTGGATAAATTTGCACTAAAAGGCTGTTTAGTTTTCCTGAGCACATTAGGGGAAAAATTGCACGCAAATTGCATGGAAATGTAGAGAACGGAATGTAGCAGTGGGAAAATGAGAAAATGGGGGAAGCCAAAATTGTCAGATTCACCTTACAGATGTTGTTGGACTACCACTATCATCAGGCTCCTCATCCCTGTGGTAGGATGCTGGACATAGACCTAGAAGTTTGGGACTCCTGTTCTAATTCTGCCAAGGACAACATGAGTCCATTAAAGTCTTTCTTTAAGCCTCAGTTGCCCAGTCTGTGAAATGGCTATAGCAATAACTGACATTCCTAGTGGGTTGTCAGAATTAAACGTATTTCCAAATAATGGTTCACGTGCATCTGTTTCTTTATCACGGGAATCAAGAACCTCTGCCCTCCCAGATGTCGGGGCTTATCCACACAGCAGCAAAACATGCATTTGCACCTGCTTGTCTCCCCATGAATACAGGTGCAGCCACAGGATCCCATTGTTGACCCATCCCATTGCTGACTCCGACCTTCTGCACACTTCTAAATTCAGCGCTTCTCAATCCTAGCCCTTTCAGACTTCCCAAGAATTGGGGGGAAAAAACCACCTTGCATTTAAAGTGGGTGTTGCAGACTAGGAGAACACTGAGGAGGGGGAAGGTATCATGTGGAAGGCCCTACATTAATGTGGGCAGAAGCGAGTGCCGATCCACATTATGCTCCTGTGTGGACAAACCCTGCTGTTGGACACCAACTCCCATCAGTCCCAGCCGGCATAGCCAGTGGCCAAGGATGCTGGACGTTGTCATCCAACATCTGGAGGGCCACAAGTTTTCCCCTCTCCTATATCAAAATAGACCCTTCTCAGCACGAGACCCTACTGAACCAGCCAGCGAAGACAACACCCGGAAAATGGGGAAAATGGTCCTATATTCCATTTCAGTCTGGGAATAGACTGTGCATGGTCTGAAGGCACACGATGCAGGTTCCTTGCAGAAACTTAGCAGGTCTGGCTTCTGCCTGCACAGGAAGATGGTCAGCAAAGCCTGTGTACACCAGCCTGACTCCCACCAGGGGAGAAAGATGGGATATAAGTAAACTAAGGGTCCCTCAAGACAGCCTTTTCATTGTGCATTTGTGATTATTTGTGCTCATGATGGCATCAAGGTGATAATACACAATTTCACTTTCAATACTGTTTGCACCTGCAAAGGTTTCAGGTTGGACATACTGCTTTCAGGTTGAACATACAGTGTGGTGTAATGGTTAAGAGCAGTAGACTCGTAATCTGGTGAACCGGGTTCGCGTCTCCGCTCCTCCACATGCAGCTGCTGAGTGACCTTGGGCTAGTCACACTTCTCTGAAGTCTCTCAGCCCCACTCACCTCAGAGAGTGTTTGTTGTGGGGGAGGAAGGGAAAGGAGAATGTTAGCCGCTTTGAGACTCCTTTGGGTAGTTATAAAGCGGGATATCAAATTCAAACTCTTCTTCTTCTTCTTCTTCTTTGTTCCCGATCAGTGTGTGTCCCATTGCAGAGATCGTGCAGCTTTTTACACCACGAATGTCCTGGGTTTGGGGGTTTGTCCCACCGCAGTAAAACTTTGAGGTTGTGGGGGCGGGCGGAAGGTTGCAGTCAAGTAAAAAGTAATTCTTTATGAAATAAATAAAAATAGAGTGCATCTTCTCCAGACAGCAACAACGCTGTAACAAAAGAAGAAGAAGAAGAAGAAGAAGAAGAAGAAGAAGAAGAAGACCACCTTTATTGTCAATGTGCAACCTGTGTACAATGAAATTAACTGAGCCTGGGGAAGCTCAGGGAAGCAATGCAGAATGACTAATACAGTGGGATTATATAGAATCATAGAATTGTAGAGTTAGAAGGAATCCCAAGGATCATCTAGTCCAACCCCCTGCAATAAAGGGATCCTGCCCACAGCCATCCCTGAGCGGGCTCAAATCACCAACCTTCTGGTTAACAGCCAGACGCACCGACCCATTGTGCCACAGAGACCTCTGTGCGGACAGTTCAGTATAAACCCACTAGCAATGCAGCGTTATTGCATCAATGACTTGTTGCAGAATTACACCCACCCACCCACAAAAACCACCTGTAATGCAAAGTGTGCTTGCTGAGGTGCTGTAAACATGGATTAGTTCCTTTTTGGGGCTAGATAATTGCTTGCTGCTGTCATCTAGATTGTTCAGCTGTTGCTGTGCTCTACCCCAGAAGCGGCTGCATTTCATGAGCAATTGTTGGACGGGGAGGAGGAGACCATTTTCCATCCTGGAGCAACTATGCAGCAGCTCCAGGCTGTTTTTCTCCCGCCTTGTGAATAGTATCACAGTCCCTAACTGTCACCGAGTGAAGGACACTCATGGTGCAATTTGCAAAATGATCCAGCAGAGGAAGGGGAGGGTGGAATTCTGTGGAGGCAGACACACACAGAGAGAGGATAGGATGTTGTAGATTCCCCGGCAATGGATATGTTGGTGGCTTGGAAACACGGGGGACCATTAAACAGGGATCTTTTGTGACTTAACTGTGTTTTCCTGGGTCTGGGGAGGTGTGCCTGCCCACAGTAAGGAGGGGGAAACGTGAAGAATGCGTTTTTGGGCGTGTCAGGAATGCCTCCCAGTAGAAAGGCTCAATTGGAGGAGATTGTGCTCTGATGAACGCAGCCGGAGAAATGGATTCACTGTGCGTCAGATCAGCACAAAAACCATCCCCGCCCCCCAGCCAAACTGGAAAACGCAGGAATCCTGACTCCAGAGCACCTTATCCATTAGGCCCCCATCTCCTCTTGTCCAGAGAAGGAAGAGCTGTGGTGCAGCGTTAGAGCATCTGCATCGCATGCCCAAGGTCCCAGGTTCAATCCTCGGTATCTCCAGGACAGTGGCTCATCTAGTCCAGCATCCTATTCTCACAGCGGCGAAACAGACGCCTGTGGAAAATACACAAGCAGGATCTGAGCACAAGAGCCCTCTCCTCTTCTACCATTTCCAGGAACTGATATTCAGAAGCATGGCTGCCTCCAGCTGGGCTCGTAGCCATCGACAGCGTTATCCTCCATGAATTTATCCAATCCTCTTTTATAGCCTTCCAAGTTAGTGACCGTCACTGCCTCCTGCAAGAGCAAGTTCCATAGTTTTAACACTATGCTGCGAACCAGCTCTCCATAGCCATCACATGGGAATGTTCAGGGTGGAAGGAAAGGATATATTGTTTATTTATATCCTTCCTAACAAAGTGAAGTTCCTTTACTTAGCAGAGTTACATCCCCCTTTTTACTTGCACAGCAGATAGCTGGTTGCAAGTTCATGTGAGCCTCTCCCTATTATACAATTCAATCTATCTTCAGATTGAATTGTGTGTTCCTGGTAAGTTCCCTTGAATCCCTCTTAAAAGAATAAAGATGCCACAGTCTTATTCAAAGTCAATAGAAGAATCAGGTAGGTAGCCATGTTGGTCTGACGCAGTAGAAATATATAATAAATAAATAAATAAAATTGTCCAGTAGCACCTTAGAGACCAACTAAGTTTGTTCTTGGTATGAGCTTTCGTGAAGGGCACTGTTGGCATTTGATAGCATGAAGAATTGTGCATGCACACGAAAGCTCATACCAAGAACAAACTTAGTTGGTCTCTAAGGTGCTACTGGACAATTTTTTATATATAGCGTGGTACCTTGGGTTAAGAACTTAATTCGTTCTGGAGGTCAGTTCTTAACCTGAAACTGTTCTTAACCTAAGGTACCACTTTAGCTAATGGGGCCTTCTGCTGCTGCCGCCGCGTGATTTCTGTTCTCATCCTGAAGCAAAGTTCTTAACCTGACGTACTATTTCTGGGTTAGTGGAGTCTGTAACCTAAAGTGTCTATAACCTGAAGCATCTGCAACCCGAGGTACCACTGTATATATATTTCAATAAAAGAAGTTTACTTACATCAGTTCACAGTTGGATCTCTGAAGGCAGACTTAGTTACAAATATGTACATGTGGATCTACCCCATATGGGAAAGTAATCCCAGTGCTTCTGCTAGCTGAGAGCTAGCAGAGCAGTCCTAGCTAAAAAGCTGGTCAAACAAAAAAGGAAGTCAAAAAGGGGAAAGGTTGCTACATGACTTGTCCTTTTGTTACCTGGACAGGTTAGGGCATGCCCACCTTCTGTCACATGCAAAAGGAAGGATGCTCCAGCCAGGAGGAACAGGAAGTTTTGACTGGCTGGACCAAAGATTACCTCGCATGTCTTCTCTAGCGTTACAAGGAATGTTGTACTTGACTGCCTCTCATGGATCGCATCCCACACAACATATATCACTGGCATATATAAACCACTTCCCCTCCCTGCCCTAATACATGCTGATCATCTGCTGGGGGAGGAAAGAGTGGAAAAGGAGGGTGGGACAGAGAAATAGAATGGGGGGGGCTGGGATTCTGAACAGGGAGCACTCCACGCTGCAACATTTGGTTGAAGCTCCCTCTTCTCCTGACTAATAGCCAATGGCCATTGATTCCACACCTGGAAATAGAAAATAGACGGTTCCACTTCTGAAAATAGAGTGTTCTCACCTCCAGCATCTTGCAGATAAAAATAGAGAAACTTGTGTATGTGTATGCAGGTGATACTTTCACAGCCTAAGGATTACTGAGTGTATGGTACATGTGCACACATAGTGATGCATAGCTTCACTGCTTTCCAAATGTTGCATTAATTTGCTTGGAGAGAACTTATCCTTCACTGGCTTTCAAAGCAGTCTTTCCTGAGAATGCTTAAGAGAAGGTTCGTCATTGGATCTGACTGCTCTTACCTAGGATGAGCTACAGCAACCACATTTGGTGACGTATATAGTATCCAGAGGGGCGGTTTTAGGGGGGCTGTGAGGGAAACAGCATTCTGACTCTTTGCACCCATGCACATGCATTTGAGTGCGCACACCCTACAACCAAGAGATCCGCTCAGATATTTAACTTTTGGAGTCACTGGAAAGGAGCCTGATGCCTGGAGAACTCAATCTCTATCCACACAAAAGCAAATATAGGGACAACAAAATAGGGCAATTAGGGCATCAGGAGCACCATGGTCCTCTCTTTGGGGTGAGGAGTCATAGCTCAGGGCTCCTTCAGGCAACCTATTTATTGATCACAGACCCTAATTTGCTCGAACAAATCTTATGTGGTGGTTAGACTAATGTGTAGTCGTTTTTGTGTGTTTGTTTTGTTTTGTTTATATGACAATGAGCATTCATCCTGCGCTCATCTTGATTTGCTGGTGGGGTGTTTACATGTCTTCCCATTAATTGCAGGTTCATCCTACGCATTTCCCCTCCACTTTCCTAACAGCAAACAGTCTGATTCATTTTTAGTGGAGATTTGTTGTAATCCACTTTAAATGCACAAACCAACAGCCCCTCCAGACATCCTTTTGGATTGCACATTCATGATGCTATTATGGTGGCTGCACATGTTCCCGCTTTCAATGCTGTTTGACCCTGCAAAAGTTTCAGAGTAGACATCCTGCTTCATTTCCAAGCAGTGCACATCCCGTAACCTCCCTCTGAAATCCTGTAGCGTTTTATACCCAAAATGTTCCGGTTTACTTATTTTTGTCCTGCTTTAGTTACACTATAGCCCTTCCAGACAGGAAGTAAAGTGGTAGCATTGGGGAAGCACCCTAGAACAAAGTGAAGCAGAATAAATCCACTGCTATTGCAATAATACAGTGGCACCTCGGGTTACATACGCTTCAGGTTACATATGCTTCAGGTTACAGACTCCACTAACCCAGAAATAGTGCTTCAGGTTAAGAACTTTGCTTCAGGATGAGAACAGAATTCGTGCTCCAGCAGCGTGCCGGCAGCAGGAGGCCCCATTAGCTAAAGTGTTGCTTCAGGTTAAGAACAGTTTCAGGTTAAGAACGGACCTCCGGGACGAATTAAGTACTTAACCCAAGGTACCACTGTAGTCTCCTTCTGCACTATACATTTAATGCAATATTGTATCAGTGTGAACAGCCATGGCTTCCTGCAAAGAATCTTGGAGACTGTAGTTTGTTAAGGGTACTGGGAGTTGTTAGGGGACCCCAGTTCCCTTCATAGATTTACAACTTCCACAGCGGTTTAAAAATCTAGTCACTCTTACCAGGGAACTCTGGGAATTGCAGCTCTGGGAGAAAAATACAGATCTCCTAACCACCCTGAACAAACTACAGTTCCCAGTATTCTTTCGGGGAAGCCATGACTGTTTAAAGGGGTATGGTGCTGTTTAAAATGTATAGTTCAGAGGGGGCCTTATTGTGTTAAGAACATGCTGTAGAATAGGGTTACCAGACGTCCCCGGTTCCCAGGGACAGTCCCCAGATTTGCAAATCTTTCCCCGGACGAATTCCGTCCCCGGAATGTCCCCAGATTTGCAAATCTGTCCCCAGGAAACATGGCAGCGACAGCCTCAGCAGCCCGGAGCCAGCCTGGTAGCGCAGTTGGCTCTGGTTGGATTCAGGAGCTGCTCGCTGCTTGCTGCCACCACCACTGCCGAAGGGGAACCGGGGACGTCCGGCGGTACAGATCTCCTGCCCCCTTCCCCCTATGTTTTGACAGATCGGGGGAGGCTCAGGAGTTGCAAGTGGGCGGCCGCTGCACAGGAGGGGCGCAAGGTGAGCAGTTTCTCTGTCAGGCAAGGTGCAAAGCCCTTCAGTCAAAACAAAGGGGGAAGCGGGCAGGAGACTGGGAGGAGGCTCGGGAGTCGCGGGCAGGCGGCATGCAATTGCCCAGTTTTTTAAAAACTCTGCGCATTTATGTTTCACAGGGTGCGAAAGAAGGACTTTGCACCTTGCCCGGCAGAGAAACCACGCACCTTGCGCCCCTCCTGGGCAATGGCGCACCACCCGCGCATGACTCCCGAGCCTTCCTCAATCTCCTGTCCCCTTCCCCTTGTTTTGACAGATCAGGGGAGCCTCGGGAGTCGCAGGCAGCCCAGTTTTTCAAAAACGCTGCGCATTTATGTTTCACAGGGTTTCGCAGCTTTATACAATATGCATGTGTGCTTGGGCCCAGGGTCTTTTGCCTCACCATCCCCACTACTGACTCCCTGTTGCTACTCAGCTTCCAAAATAATAATAATAATAATAATAATAATAATAATAATAATAATAAATTCCCTGGATTCATTGAAAAAAAATCTGGTAACCATATGTAGAATGTACCCAACATTTAAAAAATCCAGCAGTCTGGTAGGGCCCCTAACATTCCGGTTTGCACTTTAATCCCACCCACAAGATATTGATGGCCCGCAGGCACTTTCAGCGGTTGGGCGCACATTTTCCATGCTAAAGCTTCAATCCCTGGCAAGTCTAGTTAAAAGGCAGCAGTCCGGAGATGGGGGAGGCCCTCTCCTTCCTGAGACCCCTGGAGAGTCAATCGTAAACCAATTCATGTGTCCGGAAGGAAAAACAGCTTCCTATGTGCCTGGTCGCTCGTGCAGACCTCGGCCCCTCTCCCAGAATTCAGTGCAGAAGCTAGGATCTCATGCTGCTCTCAGGCAGGCAAGCTGCTCAGGATAACAGGTATTTAGCTGATTGCTAGATAATGGCACAACGCAAGAAGCAGGAGAGCAGGCGGATGAGAATTAAAAACCGGCTCCTTTTAGGGGAGTCCCAAGGCCCAGCCCAAATCACATCCACCCACAAGAGAGGAAGGAAGATGTGCTGCGAGAGAAGCAGCCAATGTACTAAGCCAAGCACCCCCCCCCCCACTTGCAGCAGCCTGTCTTTTCACTCCCCCCCCCCCCAACACGCACACATAGCCGGTGGAATTTGTGTGTGGGCTCCGCTTGCAGAAATGCAGAGCTGACATAGTCGGGCACCCACTGACACTCGCGTGCCCAGGAAGCTGCCTGCTCTGCCCAGATTCCACCTACGGATGCTGAGCCACCCTTGAGATCTCTTAGAAGCCCACAGGCAGGGTGGCAATTGTCCTGGGACAGAAGGGTCTGCAGCATCACTTCAACCCCGGCTAGGACTCCATCGTCCCTCTTTGCTGCTCTCCATCAGGCCCAAGTGCCCTGTCTCTGTTAGTAGCCAGCAGCATCAGAACCAGAGGCTCCGCTTCCATCTGCTGACTCCAAGGTGGAAATCTTTTTGCCCTTCTGCTTCCCGAGACAACCCAGGCTCCAGATCAGCTTGCTCTTTTCCTTCCAGATCCCCACCCCGTTGGTCCAAACTCGATGCTGGAAGCATCAACAGGAGAGAACGCCTGTCGACGCTGCTAAAAGGTAAGTTTCATCAGAGCAGCAGGAGTTTCTGTCTCTGTAGAGTTTGGGCAGGACCCCTTCAGGGGTTCTTGCAGAGTTGTTTTCCTAAGATTAAGCCCAGCCTGAATAAAGAAGAATGCTTGTTTGGAAGCTGGGTTTCCAGACCCAGCAGTCCTGGTGGAAGCATTGTCACAAACTCTGCTTTAGGCTCTGCCCCACATGCAAACAGCCAGTGTGGTGTGGGGGTTTGGGTGTTGTTGGACTAAGGTCTGGGAGAACTGGGTTCGAATCCCTACCCTGTTGCGAAGCCCATTGGGTAACCTCTGGCTTGTCCCTGTCTCTCAGCCTAAACTACCTCGCAAGGTCGTTGTTGGGATGATAAAAACAGGGCGGGGGTAAACCATGCATGCCACCTTGAGCTCTTTGGAAGAAAGGCGGGCTATACATGAAATGACTAAGTTGCTGAGCCCACTAGGAACCTCTGCCCCTTCTTACGTCACATTAGCAGAACCATGGGCAATATATCTGCCGACACCCCTTTACGTCCTGCCCAACCAGATCACCAGTACAGGGAGTTGCCTAGAAGTCTCAAGTTCTCCTCTGCCCCTTGGTACAGAAGGGCCACAGGTTTGGGGCCAATTGGCTCCATCCATCATGCTTTTTTTACTGATTGCAACTCCCTTGCTCCATACAAACTGGTTGGAACGAATTTGCCTGCAGACTTGGCCAGATCAGGGGAAAGACGTCGTAACTGGGAAGGGGAAAAATCTGGGGTAAGGATTGATCTTCATCTAAGGCAGTGAAATAGCTTGATATTCAGCCCTGGGCTGGGTCCCTGTTTCTTGCATGCCTCTCTGTCCTTGGGAGGAAGAGAGACCCTGGCACAGTGTTACAATGTGAGCTCTGCAGGTAGAAAGTCTCCCGTTCGATTCCTGGCATCGCCTTTCTCTGCCTGAAACTGTGCAGACCCACTAGCCAGACAGAGGAGGCAAAACTGATCTGGAGATGAACGTGAGCAGTCTGGCTTTGGTGTAGCTCCCGGTGCTTTCGGGCCACAGAGGTCAGGGCAGGAGCTGTGCTGGTGCTAAAGAAGCCTGTCTATAAATCGCGCCTGCCTCCTGCGACTGTTCTCCGTTCTGGAAGGAGACACAAATGTGCTTTGTTTTGTTTGCTCTGCAAACGGGGACAAGCAGCTTGTTTATCCGCGCGAAGCCTGTCTGGGGAGAGGTAGGGTGATGCCAGCCCCTGGGAAACGAACGGGGCCTGATCCCCTCGATTGATGGGTCTGAACAGACATCCACCCTGATCATCGCCAAGGGGGTTTGTTTCCCTTGGCTCTGGGGGTGAGATGGACCCTTCCTTGAGGAAGAAACGGAGCGTCTGCTGACAGTTATCTTGATGGCATTGGGCAGGAGCACTGTTCAAAGGCTGGGTGGACAGACTCTGACATCGAAGGCAGAGGACAATGATGAGAGGGTGGAGGTGTTCAAAATGGAGTGTGGAGAGCCCTAAGGGGACACAGCATGCCTGTCTGTCTGTTGGGTGCCTGTCTTCGCCTGTGTCATTTCAGATGTCTGTAGAGAAAGGGGCAGCAATTTCGTGGGGGAGCAGATTTCAGCAAGATTCCGTGGTCTGTTCTTGAACTGCATATAAGGAGCAAGCCTGTTTATGCCCACTCAGAAGGAAAGCCCACTGGGTTTTATAGTACTTGCTCTCAGTAATGTAGGGATCGGACAGCTGTGGCTTCCTGGAAGTTCATTGAGTTTAGAGCTGGAAAGGGACCCTGAGAGTCATCTAGTCCCACCCTCTGCAATGCAGGAACCTCAGCAAGATCACACATGACAAATGGCCATCCAACCTCTGCTTAAAAACCTCCAGGGAGCCCCAGCCAGCATGGCCGGTGGTCAGGAATGGTGGAGGCTGTAATTCAGCAACATCTAGAGGGCCCTCGCTTCCCTGCTCAGTTAGGGATTGCAGCTTCAGTTGCTAGAAAGCAGAATACACCTCCCCTCCCCTGCCACAAAAGCATAAATGGTGACTGTTATTAAATCTCCCAACAACTTCAGCAATTTTCTTTAAACAGATTTTAATAAGCAATTTTATAGAAACAAAATAAGAAAAAGAGGTGTGCATTTGACCTGCAGATCTGGAACGCAGGCCTCTTTCCTTGTTTGTAACTCTCCAAATGTTGCTGGACTCCAGCTCCCGTCGTCCATGCACGTCTCCTATGCTGGCTGGGGCTGTTGGGACCCGGAGTCCAGCAGCATCTGATGGGTCACTCGTTCTCCATTGCTAGATTATAGCAACACAAGGCAGCAGCTTTCCTGGTGGGGCAGAGCCACAGGAGTGGCCTCCCAGGGTCAGCACCCCTGCTGCTTACCAAGAGCAGGGAGGTCCAAGGTGGCAGCAAGGTCAGAGGCATTGGTGGAGCCTGGCACACCTGCCAGAAGGCTATCCTTGCAGCTGCACCTCACTGGGCAAGCCACACCTGTAACCACCATTGCCAATGTCACAGTTCCACCACCAGGGGGCGTTCATCAGAACAGGGCCTTTTTGGTGGTTGCACCCTCAATATGGAGTGGCCTCCTCTTGGAAGTATAATTTGCGCCAATATTTGTCCAGGCATTTATGGGACGTTAGTCCACTGCTACACATGGATGTGCTGGAATTTTTATTCTGGGTTGTATTTGAGTTTTGTTTGCATTTAGAAAAATGGCCCTAAATTATCCATGTCCATTGATTTCTGTATATTTAATATATATTGTGACTCACTCTTATTTTGCCTGGATTGTTGTTTCAATTTTTGTTTTAAATTATGTTGTAACACATCACAGGATCACCGGTGAGCAGACTTGGTTGAAAGTGCCCTAAACTGAATAAATAACTTTGCAATCTTGTGCCTATCTGCTTGGAAGTAAGTCCTACAGAGTTCACTTGGGGCAGAGGTGGGGAGCTTGGGGCCCTCTCAATGTTGCTGAACTACAACTCCCATCATCCCTCGCCATTGGCCATGCCAGCAAGGACTGATGGGAGTTGGGAGTCCAACAGCATCTGTAGGACCACAGGTCAGTCACCTCTGACTTAGGGCTCGCTTCCAGCTTGCAACAGTGTGCAGAGCAGAAATAACAGGCGCTCTTGAGGAGCAATTGCATATGTTCTGAAACACGAGGATGGCAGGGCACGGGGAAGTCCTGCCAGCCCTCCCTAAAAAGCACCCCAAACCTTGTGGCAGGGAGTTGGGGAAGGTGGTGGAAGAAGGTTGGGTGAAACGTCATGTGTTCCAACTTATCTGCAGCACCACAAATTTGGCTGAGAATGTATGAGGGCCAAAAGGAACAGAGGCGAGGAATTCTAAATAGATCCAGGCTCTGCTGGCCATTCCATCTCTCCAGCAAACCAAAACCCAAACAGCCAATGTGGCTATAGATTTACAGATAATTTCTGCAACAGGACGTCAGCTCCTTTCCTCCAGCTTCTCTGTAAACCAGCGAGATCCTTTCTCCTCCTCTCCGAGAGGGAAAGGCAGCCAAACTCTCCATCTTTTTAATCGCCTTTCCCAGCTAATCCCTCCTTCATAAGCAGCCTCTTTCTCAAACCTCAAGAAACACACGCACAGTCTTCCTGTCGTTTCCATGCCCGAGCCACCCGCCCACCCTGCTCTCTCAGCTCCTTTGCATCCTGCGGGTGCCCTTGCGATAAGATCTCCCTGTGTTTGTAACCTGAGCAAGCGCTGGGAGCAGGCAGGAGCTGAAAGCACCAGGGCAGCCCTGCCACGGCCTTCTGCAGCCGCCCTGGCAGCAACCAGCTGATAGCTCAGCTGCCACAAGCCAAGTATTTTGCCAGATTTGCAGGCAGGCACGGGGAGAGAGGAAAACAGGCTACTTTTGTTACTTTTGCTGGGAGCTGTACTAGGGTGGCCCTGTGTCCTGCATTGCAGGGCACGGTCCTTTCTTTGTGTCCTCTGTTTGAAGGGCTTCTTTCAAAATGAAGAAGAACCCTAAGAAGGGTATGAGGGCAACACAATGCTTTTATCTGCCTCAATTGCACACGTTTAAATGTCTGGTATGCGTCTGAATCCCTCCCCCAAAATAGTCTGGAGGTACCAACAACCTTTCCCACTATGGGGAGAAGCAGCATAATCCAATTTAAATGACAGGCCAGTAATAATTTTCCAAATTTGCATATGTGCATATAAATCAGCACATGCAAATAAGCGTCCTATTTTTCGAGGCTGATATGTCGATACGCTAAGCCTACCCGAAGCTTAGCTGTACAGACTTTCAAGCCGAACAGGCAGGCGTGCATTACTCTGTAGCCAGTCACAAGCCTTGCATTTCTGCATCCCCGGTCCTGGGCATGTTCTTAGACAAAGACCCCACTGTGTTCCGTGGGGCTTACTCCCAAACAAGTGTGCTTAGGACTGGAGCCTTATATGTAAAACTTATTCTGTCTTGAGTTGCAACAGCTTTCTTAATGAAAACATTGTGCAGCTGAGAGCAGCCATTTTGATTTCCCACAGTGCCCAGGAGTGATGTAACACCAGTGGCATTGTGGGAAATAAAAATGGAAGCTCCCAGGTGTTGTATTAAAGGGAGATGCAAGGCAGGAGTGAACCATGGCCCTGCCAGAAGGTGGGATTTGCAGCTGCTGCTAAGGAAGCACGCCACAAGCAGGCACAGGGGGTACACTCAGAGTAAGGAAGGTGTGACACAGAAGATGTTTCTGGGCTACAGCTTCCACCATCTCTGAGCATTAGCCATGCTGACTGGAGTCCAGCAACATAGAATTGTAGAGTTGAAGGGACCCCAAGGATCACCTAGTCCAACCCCCTGCAATGCGGGATTCTCAGCTAAAGCAGATAGATAGAACTTTGTTCAAAAACTTCCAAGGAAGGAGAGTCCATAACTTCCAAAGGCAGTCCATTCCACTCTTGAACAGCTCTTACTGAAATTTCTTCCTGATTTTGAGTCGGAATCTCCTTTCTTGCAACTTGGAGCCATTGGATCGAGTCTTGCCCTCCAGAGCAGTGGAAAACAAGCTTGTGCCATCTTCCATGTGACAGCCCTTAAGATATTTGAAGGTGGCTATCATATCTCAGGGATGCTTTAGTTGAAATTCCTGCATTGCAGGGAGTTGGACTAGATGACTCTTAGGTCTCTTCCAACACTACGATTCTATGTTTCCATGATCTCCTCTCAGTCTCCTCTTTTCCAGGCTAAACATGCCCAGCTCCTTCAACCATTCCTCATAAGGCTTGCTTTCCAGACCCCTGGTCATATTGGTTGCCTTCCTTTGCACACGTTCCAGCTTGTCAACATCCTTCTTAAATTATGGCGCCCAGAACTGGACACAGTATTCCAAGCGTGGTCTGACTAAGGCAGAATAGAGTGGCACTATTACTTCCCTTGATCTGGGCACTATACCTCTGGAGAGTGACAGGTTCCACAGCCCTGATGCGTGTGCGCACATAGATCCACACGTATCATTTTGTCGTGTTTGGATTATCCTCTCTCTTCCCTGTCCTGATGGGCCCTGCTCTGCTTCATTTCTAAGGTGGGCAGATGTAAAAAAGAATGGCCATCCTCTTTTAACTTCACGTTGAATAGAGAAGACCAGGAGAGAGAGGGCTTAGCAGCCGCAGAGTGTCATGCAAGATTGACAGCCCCTCTTCAACACCACTATTAAAGGTACCACAGACTTTTATTTTGCACTTTCAGAGAAGGGTTAATCACAGAAGATCATAGAGCTGGAAGGGACCGTGAGGGTCCTGAAATGCAGGAATATTCCACCCAACACAGGGCGAAGCTACAAACCCACAACCCTGAAATTAATAGTCCAATGGAGCTATCCCACGTTAGTCGTTTGCTTAAAAAAGAAAGAAAGAAAGAAGAAAGAATCTGGGGACAGGGCACCTTAGGAGCACAGTCAGACCCACTTGTCCCTGTAACCCAGTACTGTCTGCACTGACTGGCAGCAGCAATCCAAAGTTTCATGCTGCCAACCCTACCTGGAGATGCTGAGCCCTTTTGCAAGCAAAGCAGATGCTCTACCACTAAGCCATATTACCCAAAACTTTGCTACCGACTACCAACACTCCTCCATTTAATCTCAGACTGGTGGAGTGCTTTGTGCAGCGCTGGCAAGAGGATGGCCCTCTGCACGCCCTCAGAGGCGCTTCTCCTCTGCGTTCTCGCATCCCATTGCATTCTAGAACCCCATCCTCCCCCTACCTTGCCTGCTCATTTGCCCTTAACTATTTGAGGATTAAGTGTTACAGACCAGTGTCGGTGTCTCTGATTAAGTATCAGCTTCATCTGAGCTGCCGGGGATGGGAGGTGGAGAGGGTATGTGTGTGGATTGGATGCAGAGAGGAAAGTCCGGCATAAACAAATCAGCCCTAAGGAATGGCCAGAGGAAGGAGAGGGGTCTGCTGCTCTGCGGTGGACCGCTCTGAATCGGTGGTATTTGGACACAAGAAAGGCCACCTCACTCACAAAGATAAGAGACCACCTCACTCACAAAGATAGGTGAGCTGTGTGCAGGGAGAAGGTTTTGCTGTATGGCCTGGACGTTTCTGTGGGGGCAGGAAGGAAAGGCGCAAAGGAGAGATGGCAAGGGACGGTTGCCGGAGGGGAGTGTCGGAGAAACAAGAGGTGTATTGATAACTGCACAGGTGGCTTTTGTTGTGTGTTTGACGCAGGCCGCACCCAGCCAGGATCAAGCCCGCTCTTATGCCTCCATTTGCGACAGAGGCAGGCAAGTGGGTGTCACCGTCAGCCAAGCAACAATAGGAGCCTGTGTGTTTTCTTCTACTGCTGCTTTTGTTTTCTGCTCCCTGCTGCTTCCCAGCAGATCTTTGCCCGAGGCCGGTGCCACAGGCTGACATTGTGCAGGTTCTGGTGGGGAGGGGGAAATGGGTGAAAAGGGCCTGCACCTCCCACTGTGCCACCAGGATGATCATATTGGGGCCTCCATCCGGCAGCCATCTTGGTTTGGGATGTTCTGAGGACCTGGCGGTAGTTACAGCGTTCTCTGGCCTTCTTCAGTCTCCAGATGTTGCTGGACTTGTTGGAAGTGCAAAAGCAGGGATCATTTAGTTTGTAATGTAAGGGTTAATGTTAGTCAACTAGACAAGAGGATGGCAGGTAGAGATGTTGCTTAGCAACTAGACAGAGTGGCATGATCTTCACTGAGGCAGCACATTCTCTGACTGGTTGTGTAGTTCTGAGGGAGTTTTCCTCTGTACGTTTGGATGAATGTCTCCCTGCTATGTACAAAGGCTGAAGTAAGAAAGACAATGCCTCCTGTTCCTTTCTCCTAAGATTATTCGTTGTTTTCATTTATTATTTGTAAAACATAGCTATACAGTGGTACCTTGGGTTACATACGCTTCAGATTACATACGCTTCAGGTTACACACTCCACTAAGCCAGAAATAGTGCTTCAGGTTAAGAACTTTGATTCAGAATAAGAACAGAAATCAGGCTCTGGCAGCGCGGCGGCAGCAGGAGGCCCCATTAGCTAAAGTGGCGCTTCAGGTTAAGTACTGACCTCTGGAACGAATTAAAGCCCAGCCAGCAGCCAAACGAAGGCACAAGGCATGCAAGCTCCACCCCCCAGTCATTCTTAGACTCCTTATTGGGTGAGCAACGTAGCCAAGCAACACAGTTGGAGCCTCCCTCCTCCCTGGCCGGCAGGGAGGGAGGGAGAGGAGCTGCTTCCTTTGAAACCCGGGAAATTTAAGGGACATCATCAATAAGGGACAGCAGCGGGACACAGCACTGGGATAAGGGACTTTCCCGCCAAATAAGGGACGGTTGACAGTTATGCTCTGGAGGCAGCAAAGGAGCATCTCTCCACTGCCTTGGCTGCCACAGGGTAGGCCCAATTAGGAGCCTGAACGTGCGGTTGGCTCTGGATCTGCCTGCCACCTGAACAGCAGTCCTGACGAGCCTTAGAGATGAGAGCCATACAAGGTGGTGAGCCTGTTTATTTTGCAAGCCTTCCTTTGGCCTTTTCTCCCCACTCCCCAATCTGGGCATCGGTGTGAGGAGCCGTCCTCACTTTGGCAATGTCTGCTGGCTCAGCCCAGAATGCCTTGCTGATAAATCATTGAACTGGAGATGTTGAGAAGCCCAGCAAGCTATTGCGGTATCTTGTGTCTATGAGTTATCATAGTATCTGGTGTCTGGGCACGTTAGACCTAGCAGGGATTTGAAATTGCAAGAATTGCCCTTTTCTTGATCACGGCAGCTGTGATCAGATTCCTTCAGCTTTCTTTTTTTAAGTATATTCAGATCATGACTGTACTCAAAGCTGCTGAAAGGGTTTTGTGCCTAGGAGCAGAAGGGAGTCCTGCCTTTTTTGCGATCATCCTCTTGCAATCAGATATGCTAAAGAGCCGTTTCCCTTCTCCAAGTCCTGGTCCTTATGAAGCCAAAACAGCACCATCCGAAGAGACACCCTCAGAAGAAGGAGATGTCAGCAGACTCAGGGAAACACCGATGTTTGCACAACCACAAAAAAGAGAGTCAAATGTTGACTGAGCATGCTCAGTGGGTACAGAATGCTGAATTATTGTTGGAGACGCAATGATTGCAGAAGAATCAAGTGGCTGGAACTCTGAATGGGAGCAAGTGGGCCTGACTTGCAAGTGTATTTCATTTTTATCTCCAAGAAGCACAGTGTAGCATGCCTAGATCTTCTGTTTCTCTCCCCACCCCCTCCCCTGGTTGCTCCCACTTTTATCCTCACACAACATCCCTGTGAGGTGGGTTAACTAGGCAGTTTGAATCAAGGTCAACCCATGAATAATGTAGCTGAGTGTGGGTTTCTCTCTCCTCGCCCTCCATGCTGTGAATGTTTAGACTCCACCTGGGCTTTTGTGGAAGTTAAATCTGCCTTGCATATAGCAATGCTAGGATTTCACCTCTGCTTTGCATGAAAAAGCTCCTGGGTTCAATCCTCAGATCTCCAGGAAGTGATGGGAAAGACCCCTGCCTGGAACCCTGGACAGCTCTTGCTGCCAGTCAGTGTAGGCAATGTTGGGTTAGATGGTCCAGTGGGCAAAAACGCATTTGTTACAAGAGATAAGAAGCGGATTGGTCTACTGGCTGCTGGTGTCACAGCAACAGCCTACCTGTGCAACTGGGGAAACAAGCTGATTGGTCTGCTGGCTAGTGATGTCACAGAAGGGCCCTTAACTCTACATTGAGAGAGCCTTTTCCATCTTGCTAGGATGGAACATTTACATAGGTATTAGGAATAGGGGTCTCAAAATCTCTTCAATTAATTTAGGGGGGGGAAATAGTTTGACGGAAATGTCAAAAGCCCTACTCACATGGCAATGTTTCTCTATTCAGTGTGGACAACCTGAAACTTGTTGGAAGCGAAGAACTGTAGCTCTGAAGGTCTTCTGCTTAGGTCCTCAGCTCCACCGCAGAACATCTGAACTCCCTTGAGTGAGTCATATTTTCTCACAGGCTTAAGATTTTCCATCAGTACAAGGAGGGTGGGATGAAAACAATTTCAGCTATGATCCCTTTGTGAGTGTTCTTCTCTTGCATGTGTTACTGGTTGACATTTTATCTTTCCACACCATGCTGCTATGCTTGCAAATTCATTTGCTTTTCCTTTCTCATAAGTGAGGAGTGTGGGGGTGCTTCACCAACAACATCTACAAAATTCATCTCTCTGCTGTAGCTGCTGGTCTGGCCAGAGAGCTAGAAGCCACACGGCGGCAGCTCCTTTGTCTTCTAAGATTGACAGATATCTTAATTTTAAAACATAAACAGGCCTTTGCTCCTCCTGGAACAATAAGGACTAGAAACTTAACACTTTCTAAACTTGAAAAATGCATTTGATTTCTGCATGGAACTTGAATGTGCCTGTTATGGAGCAACTTACTGCCTGATTCGGGTAGAAAATAAAATAAATCATACTTTTCGATATCAACCATGCTGCCTATGTTCCTGGCGACAGTTGGGTTTATAAGTGTAATTTCCCAAGAATCTATTAAATGCAGGTGCTTTTTGGCACGTTGAGGATTAGTAATCAGTTGTTCCAGGCATAACATTTCACTTATTTTATTATTTCCTGGGACGACTGGCAACATTTCCTGAGACGACTCACAAGTGGGGGCGGAGGGGCGGATTATGCATATGATATTCTTGCTGAGTCTGCCTGGAAATACAGAGGACCCTTGTAGCAGTAATAAAGATTGAATGTAAATCAAAAGTCGTTAGAGTCTGCACCAAGGAGAACCCATATCCTACCAACAGAATTCCTGAGATTTTATGCCATAACTCTCTGTATTGTTATGCGTTCCCTGAGCAGTTAGATTTCTGTGAGCAGGGCTACCCGTGTGGAAATATGCAGAGGCAATACCTGGATGTGACGAAAGAGTGCTATTAACTCCCCTACCCACCCAGCCCAAGGATGTGTTTCCATGGGATCTAAAATATCCGACAATGACCAGGAATTGGTTGGAGACTCACCTGGAAGGCGGGTGGCTATTTTGGAAAACCCTAGTTAGCCAGCAATGATGCTGATAATAATAAAATAAAATTATTTATTTATTTATACATACCCCACCCATCTGGCTGTTTCCCTAACCACTTTGGGTGGCTCCCAACAGAATACAGTGGCACCTCGGGTTACATACGCTTCAGGTTGCAGACGCTTCAGGTTACAGACTCCGCTAACCAGAAATAGTACCTCAGATTAAGAACTTTGCTTCAGGATGAGAACAGAAATCGTGCTCCGGCGGCGCAGCAGCAGCTGGAGGCCCCATTAGCTAAAGTGGTGCTTCAGGTTAAGAACAGTTTCATGTTGCGAACGGGCCTTCGGAATGGATCCCATTCACAACCAGAGGTACCACTGTATGAAAAACACGATAAAACATCAAATGTCAAAAACGTCCCTAAACAGGGCTGCCTCCAGATGTCTTCTAAAAGTCAGATAGTTGTTCATTTCCTTGACATCTGATGGGAGGGCATTCCACAGGGTGGGCACCACTACCGAGAAGGCCCTCTGGAAGGAAGTCAAGACATGCATTCATTCATTCATTTATGCTGCCACCTATATACATCAGGGGTGGGGAAACAAAGGGCCGTCTTCCCTCGTGGCAAACATCCCAGGGGCCATTTCCCCCTGGTGGGTGGGGCCAGAGGCAGAAGTGGGTGGAGCTTCTGGGATGTGCTTCTTACCTTTGTACACAGACACCTTACAATCTAGAACAGGCACAGGGAAACAGGAGAGGAAGGGGGCAAATGCAGGCAACGTTCCCTGTGAGGAGGAATCGATGGTTAGAAACCGTTCTGGGAATTGTAGCTCTGGGAGGGGAATAGAGGGGCCTCCTAACAGCTCTCGGCACCCTTAACCAACTACAGCTCCTGGGATTCTTTGGGGGAAGCCATGGCCATGTCATGTGCTATCACAGCACTTGAAATGTGTAATGAATGTGGCCTATGAGGGAATGCAGCAGCTCCACTTCAGAGTAAAAAGGCTTCCCTATCCCTGTGGCAGACCTAGGAGATGAGTTTGAGCTCTCTAAGCCTCTAAGGGTGCTGGCTGTCTCCCTTGAGATCTGCTCCAGCCTTAGTTGACTTTACAATACAATACTATACGATAATCTTTATTGTCATTGTCCCATACAGAACAAGGAAATTGAAAAAACCTACGTAAGACATTCAAAAACCAACAAGCCTGCTATCCCAGCTATTCCAACCTGGTTAGCCCCCCCAAAACTCTCATACCCCATTTTTAAATACAATATACTCCCATAGAGACTCCTTACACTGCATTTAAAACCAAAATCGCATTTGGATAGAAACTGTTTGCCTCTCTGCTGGACTATTTCAATGACACCTTTCACCTTTGCTGCACGACACGTAAATCAATGCATATGTTACAAAATGCCGGTGAACGTCCAGTGACCTCCTTCCGAAGGAAATCAAACCTGGGTAATCAAACCTGTGTCCCTGGAACATCTCGCTGCTCAGAGAAGTGGATCGTGCTTACCAGCATGTGGAAAATAACTGTGCAAATGGATGGATCCAAACGAGTTGAACTTAAGTTCTCATGGAAACCAATGAGACCAGTTAGTCCCATGGATTTTAACAGAAAGAAATCTCAACGGTTTAGGCTGCAGTCCTAACCCCATGTATTTGGGAGTAAAGCTATGTGGAATTCAGGCTGGTCTGCAGTTCCTTACCCAGAGCAGTGTCATAATGCAGAATGAATTGAGATCTGCTTTTTCTCTCTTTTTCTTTCAAGAATTTCAGTTCTGTTAGGCTGTGTGACCAAAAAAAAAAAAACAACACAAAAAAAAGACCGTTCAGTGGGTGGGCTAATTAAAGCTGCCCCTGTCATGCTTCAGTTCCTGATTGGCTCACTGGCCGTTTGAGGGAAGAAGTGACAGGCAGAGTTGCCTGCAAATAATAACCCGTGTGGTGTAGTGGTTAGTGTGTTGGACTACGGACCTGAGAGACCAGGGTTCTCGTCCCCACTCTGCCATGAAACTCACTGGGTGACCTTGAGCCAGTCCCTGTCTTTCTGCCTCACCTTCCTCACAGCGTTGTTGTGAAGATGAGATGGGGAGCAGGAGAACCATCAGGCATGCCACCTTGAGCCCCTTGAAGGAAAGGTGTGGTATTAATCAATCAATCAATGACCAGGTGGATAGCTCAGTTGGTTAGAGCATGGTGCTGACATTGCCGAAGTTGCAGGTTAGATCCCTATAAGGGACAGCTGCATATTCCTGCGTTGCAGGGGGTTGGACTAGATGATCCTCAGGGTCCCTTCCAATTCTATGGGAATAATCTCCAAATGAATCCGGACTTCAATGTCTAAAATCCCTGGTAGAGGACAAGGATCCTGAGATCACGCTAAGGGTAGCCAAATTCTGTGCGATTGCCATAAAACTTAGGGAAGAAGCTGTGCTATCATAATGATTAAGGTTTTAAATGATAATTTTAGGTTATATGTTAGTGACTAAGTTTTAATTTATATATTTTTAACTTGCTATATCTGTATTGTCCCTCTTATACCTAACTGCAAATTAAAATGTATCCCTATCGTGTTTTATGACTTCCTTGATACTGTATGTGGGCTGGAACCGGTCTGTGACCAAAATAATAAAATTCAACTAATTCTATGGGAATATTTCCCAGCTACCTCTGGGTCAATGACCCTGTATCGATGATCTGCTCTCCGGAAATGTAGATTGCAATCATAGCCCCGAGAGCGTGCAAACCGAAAAAAGCTAGCAGGCCTTGGCTTGGGCAACCCAGTAGTTGCCACTGACCATTGTTTGAATAGCTACATGCAGAAATTCAACTGGTAAAGCTTTCTCCCTACCATTTCAGTGGAACAGACTCCCACGAATGCAGAAATTCAACTGGTAAAGCTTTCTCCCTACCATTTCAGTGGAACAGACGAGAGGTAGTAGACTCTCCTTCCTTGGAGGTTTTTAACAGAGGTTGGCTGAGATTCCTGCATTGCAGGGGGTTGGACTAGATGACCCTTGGGTCCCTTCCAACTCGTAAGTTTCTATGATTCTATTTCACCAGCTGCATGCTGAGAAAAGCTTCACTGCTGGATTTCTGCCTGTCACACAGGAGCCTTCCAAAGCAGGAGGGGAAGAAAGTTGGCAAGGCTAGAAGCCCAAAGTTGTTGTGTTCAATACAGTCCTGCTGTAACCAAAATACATTTGATGCCTCTGTTTAGACACCACAGAAGCAAAACATGTAAAGTGTCTCTGCCCTCTGCTGGAACGTCAGAGCAAAGCAAGCAGGGGGACTGATTTATTTATTTACTCATCTTCTAAAGCATTTTTAATCCCATTCTTCAGCGAAAAAAATGGTCCCAGGGTGGCTTTTATTTAGCCATTATATTTTAAGTGTTTGCACCCAACCGTTATGTGGTGTTGGGGCTTTACAATAAATAGAAGAAGAATAAAACAAAAAGTACTCCCAGCTATGTACAATAAAACAGCAATTGTTCCTCCTGTTATCATTGCTCAGCCAGTGCATGCAGTTCCCTTTGGTAACCAAAGCAGCACCCATCCATGCGCAAGAAGGAAGCATCAGCAGGGCTTGGGGAACCTCGAGGTTTGCAGAAGGACGAAATAGGATCCAAAGCAGCCTAATAAGACTTGTATCTGATCAGTGCCCGTGCAGTAAGGAAAATTGGGGGTGGAGTCTTCTTGTGGCTTTAAATTGTTAGCTGCCTTCGGTTTCTTCTGAGAAAAATTAGGCAGATTGTACATTTTTTAAAAGATAAAAATAGATAAACCATAAGAAGGAACACTCCACACTCCAACATTTTTGCTACAGGTCCCATTTGTTGCAGTCCAAAGCAGCAGATGGCAGAATAGCATAGAAGCTGGAGATAAAAAGTCACAATTAAAATGCCTGGAAGAACTTTTAAAAAAGATATTTGCGTGCGTGCTCAGCGTCCGCAGCCAACATCGGACATTTGCACAGGTTGGCTCTCAGCCTTCCTTTGCCATCACCACTCTCATTTGAGACCAGGTAGCAGCTTGACCGCAAGCCCAGTTCTGGTCGACGGTGATGGGACTTGCAGTCCAACTATATCTGGAGGGTCATGGCTTCCTTACCCCTGGCCTACACATTAGTGGAAGGCCATCCTGAACAGTCCAAAGTGTGTCACACGTGACACGTTAAATTCTTCAAGCAACGTAAGCCCCCAAATATCTGAAAGACCATCTTCCATAAACCCCCCTCAGGTATTAAGATTGACAGAGCTCTCTTGGTTGTTCCACCACCCTTAGAAGTGGTGGCCTGGGAGAGGGGATTCTCTCAGCAGCCCCTGAGCAGTGGGATTCCCTCCCCACAGAGATGTGCCTGGCTCTTTCACTGCATGGCTTCTGTCAAATGCTAAAAGCCCTGACAGATGTGTGTCCGGTTGCATGTGTGTTCACCCAAGAACCACAAAGGTAAAGGGACCCCTGACCATTAGGTCCAGTCGTGACTGACTCTGGGGTTACAGTGCTCATCTCACTTTACTGACTGAGGGATCCGGCGTACAGCTTCCGGGTCATGTGGCCAGCATGACTAAGCCGCTTCTGGCGAACCAGAGCAGTGCACGGAAATGCTGTTTACCTTCCCGCCGGAGTGGTACCTATTTATCTACTTGCACTTTGAGGTGCTTTCGAACTGCTAGGTTGGCAGGAGCTGGGACTGAGCAACGGGAGCTCACCCTGTCGCAGGGATTCAAACTGCTGACCTTCTGATCAGCAAGCCCTAGGCTCTGTGGTTTAGACCACAGTGCCACCTGCCATAGAATCATAGAATTGTAGACTTAGAAGGGACCCCAGGGGTTATCTAGTCCAACCCCCTGCAATGCAGGAATTGCAACAGAATCATCCGTGGCAGATTGGCCATCCAACCTCCACTTAGAAATCTCCAAGGAAGGAGAGTCTGCAACCTCCCAAGGGAGTCCATTCCACTGTCAAACAGAAGTAGTGTAGAAGAAGAGTTTGGATTTGATATCCCGCTTTATCACTACCCTAAGGAGTCTCAAAGCAGCTAACAATCTCCTTTCCCTTCCTCCCCCACAACAAACACTCTGTGAGGTGAGTGGGGCTGAGAGACTTCAGAGAAGTGTGACTGGCCCAAGGTCACCCAGCAGCTGCATGTGGAGGAGAGGGGAATCGAACCCGGTTCGCCAGATTACGAGTCCACCACTCTTAACCACTACACCACATTGGCTCTTACTGTCAGAAAGCTCTTCCTGATGTTGAGTCAGAACTTCCTTTCTTGTAACCTGAAGCCATGGGTTCAAGTCCTATTTCTTGGAGGTGAATTGTTTTAATTTATAATTGATTATTAAATTTCCATCCCATCTTTTCCCCAAGGAGATCAAGGGGGCATATCTGAAAGACCATCTCCATTTCCCCCTCACAGCAACCCTGCAACGTGGGTTAGGCTGAGAGGGCCCAAGGTCACCCAGCATGCTTCACAGTCAAGTGGGCATTTGAACCCTTCTCTCCCAGGTCTCAGTAGTCCAGTGCTATATCCCACTGGCTCTCTAACTCATCGCAATTGGTTTTAAACTGTTTTTAAAAATTGATTTTATTATTTTCAGAGTGAACAAACAACGAATACGCTTCTCCGCAAGAGTGCTACATCTTGCCAAACAAATTGTTTTTAAGATGCAAACCATTCCCCTTGTTAAATAAAAATATCGTTGCACAAATCTGGATGAGAAGCAGGTGGTCTCTATCCGTGTTCCTTTTTTTAGCTCATATGAATTAAAACTGAACCAAGTTGCAGAAAATCTGCCTGGCTTTTTGCGGGTTTTTCGTTTGTGTAACCTCTCCGCCAGGCCAGGTTTCCTGTGCAAATTAGGCTTGAAAGCTGTATACACCATAAATCTATAAAGATCTCCGAAAACTATTTGTAATTGTTTTCATGTGTGAGTGGGGTGGGTGTTTAGGATCAGGTTAGCCATTTTGATTTGTATGCTGTTGGTGGATATTTGTCATTGTCTTGTTGGGCTGTGTATGTGATAAAGGGGTGCCATACCGGGGTGAAGGCGTCTTCTTCTATTTGTCCCCATGTCAGTTTCAGTTTATTGGTTAATTTTTCTAGTAAGGCTGTTTCCCATACTATTTGGTACCATTGGTCCGTGCTTATTCCTGACAGGTCTCTCCAGTGTCTGGTTATGATGTTTCTGGCTGCTTTCCCCCTATTCTTCCTAATGTCTCAACAAATGAAACCGATTTGTTAAAAAAAAAAGTTACGTGGAAGAAAAAAATACAAGAGAGAGACATCGCACATACCTTTGTAAATCAAGAAAATCTTTAATAAAAATGCATTTTAAAAAAACACCTATTTGTAATTGTTTTGATTGACATTGTTGTAACCTGGAATCTTATGGTGAATGGCAACTTCACAACAATGGTGATGATGGTGTTAACCTCTGCTGGTTGCTGCTGCAGGTTTCCTGTTGCCATTTTAGCTGTGTATTCTTTTCCTTTCTTTGTTCGTCTTATTGATTATTGCTGTCATTTCTTTTTTTGTTGTTGTTCATTTCCTGATCTCTGCTTTGGAATATTCTGATTTGCTTTGTGGTGGCAGATTGGTTTTCGTTTGTTGCTGGAGTGCTTTCCTGTTTTACTGAAATGGTGATGTCGAATTGGGTTTTATCTTGTACACCACTCAGGGAAAAGAGCGGATGGCCATAGATGCTGTTGCAGATGGGGCTACTACACCTTTAACAATTTGCCATTCAAGCTGCACTACTATTAAAGGTGCAGAAGCCCACTTTTGCAGCCAGTCACTCTAGGTAAAGGGGTCGGATAGATAAATATTACAGAAAGCCCAAGCAGTTGTTCTTATGCTGTTGATTTAAACCTGCTTCTTCTTCTTCTCCTCTTCCTTAGACCAACCATTGCAAAGTAATAACAGCATGAAGTGCTTCTACAAAGCTCTCCTCATCTCCTGGGTCCTGTTTGAAGGTATGTCTCAGAGGCAGGGTGCAATCTCGCCTCTGGTGTTCTCACAGCCTGCAAAGCTGTGACCCACCAATCCCAAATGCAGACCCACCAGAAGTTTAAGGATGTATGGAGACCCTCCAGAGGCATGCTAAACAAAGGGTGAGGAACCAAGGGTCCAAGGGCCAAATAAAGCTTCCAGGTCTTTCCATCTGGTCCTCAAGACTCTCCCTAGGCCACACCAGTTCCCGTGACACACCCCTCATTGGCCCTTCTCACCCCAAGCCCCACAAGCCCCTCTATGAGGCAGTGATGACCACCAACTTGGATTAGGCAAATTCATGGAAGATAAGACTAGCCGTTGTGGCCCTAATGGCTATGTTCTGCCATCACTGTTGGAGGCAGTAACACCCTCAACACCAGTTGCTGGGAATCACAAGTGGGGAGAGCACTCTTGTGCTCGGATCCTGCATCTGAGCAGCCACTGTGGGAACAGGATGCTGGACTAGATTGGCCATTGATCTGATCCAGTACTTGTGTTCTTCCTAGGGGCTGCACCCTTGCCTGCTCGGCTTACAAAGCCCCATTCCTCTTCCCAGCAGATGCAGCCACCAAGCTTGCTTTTCACCTTCTTCTGTTCTGCAGCTCCATTTTGCACCCATTCATCCCTGTGTCCATGCCTTCACCTGCTCTTTTTGTGGAACACCCCCCTGCACACAAACCACACCCCTGTTCTGTAAGACCCTTTCTGATAACCTAGAAAGATACCATGCAATCCACGCTTGTCTAACTTGGAGTTTTGTGGTGAGCGAACCCACATGTCAGAACCAAAATCTTCATGTGTTTGATGTATGGCTTCTTGCCAAACATCTTCTCATAGGGGGTACAACCAATCGCTGAAGATAATCTGCGATTGTAACTGTAAACAAAACACGAGAGAGATTCGGCCCAATAACTCTCTGGAAGATTGGCATCATGCAGCAAGGTTTTTAATCCTTGAAGCAATGTCTGATTTGCCTGCTCCGCAAGTCCATTCTGCCATGGCGAGCGAGGACTAGACAAATCGTGTTGAATTCCTTTCTCAGTCAGAAAAGCTTCAAACTGCTGAGAAGTGAATTCCCCCCCGCGATCACTGAAAAGAGTCTTTATTTTCTTACCATGTACATTTTCCAACCAAGCACAGAATTCCTTGAACCTAGGAAAAGCCTCCGATTTCTGCTTGAGATTGTACACAAAAATATATCTAGAAAATGCATCAATGAGAACCATGAAGTATCTATTTCCACCCAAAGAGGGCGCTAGTGGTCCAACCAAATCAGCATGAACAACCTGGTATGGTTCTGTAGCTTTCCTACTAGACACCTTACCTTTCGCAGCCATTTTCACCTTGTTTGCTGCGCATGCTTTGCACTTCATGTGGTACCTGCAGGGTTTAATAGTCATACCTTCAACTAAGGCAGGCATTTTAGATACTGCCTCAAAATGCAAATGACCAAATTTGCGATGAAAATCGTGAATACATTCTGCATGCAAACTTTTGTTAGAACCTGCAATGCAACAAGTGTCATCCTGCACCACATCATCATAATACAAAACAAACAAATGATCAACATATTCTGCATGCAATACATAATCATTTTTCTTTGTGATGATGCACTTCTTGTTCTTGAAGGAAACGTCAATGTTCCGCCTCATTCAGCTGTCCAACGCTGAGCAGATTATGTTTGGCGTCTGGCACGTAAAGCACATTCTGTATCGATAAGTCCAAACTGTGAAGAACAACAGTTGCGTAGCCTTTACTGGGAATAGTGTGGTCATCCGCCTGGTGAATCGCACCTTCCTGCGGTGTAAAAGACACAAACAGTTTCTTATCGTTGCACATGTGGTGGGTCGCCGCTGAATCAATCACGAAGAAAGATCTAGACGTCTTCTGGACCTCTGCAACCTTTGGAGTGAAGCGTGAAACCATAGCCTTGTGCTGCGTTGTCCTAGACACCGGACCTTTGCCTTTGCCTCGGCCTTTTCCGCGCGATGAGCTCGCTGCGCTGCTCTGTCTTGGCCCTGGGATGTCTGCATTCCCTCTTCATATGGCCTAGACGTCCACACGAGTAGCATTTCACTGCCTCCAAAGCTTTGGCGCCATCTGGTGGTTCCACTGCACTATGGGATGACGTCTGTGAAGACTCCCCCTTGCCCATGCAGCCAGCACCCCGGCGATCTGCTTCATTTAAAATCACGGCAGTAACAAAGTCCACTGTCAGCTGAGCAGTTGGTTGCACAGCAATCTGGGTTGCAACAGACTCCCAACCTGAACCCAAAGATTGTAGTATCATGAAAGAATACACAGCCTCTGGAAAGTTGAGTCCTCTCTGTTGCAGCTCATGTCTCAGATTTTGCATCTCCATTAGATGTAAACGCACATCTCCACCTTCAGCAAGAGCCATATTGTGCAGCTTGTTAAAATAAAACATAGTGGATCCAGCTTCTGTCCTTAAGTGAGCCTCTTTCAGAGCGTCCCAAATTTCTCTGGCTGAGGTCTTATCACGCAATAGACAGAGCTCTTCTGGGGATACTATCAATGTAAGAGTTCCCTTGCTTTGGAATCCTTAGCTTCCCATGCATCTGTAACTGGAACTGGGGGTTCCTGTAATCACCTCAAACAAACCCTCTTCCGCAGAATTGCCTCTGCATACTGAACCCAGTCGCTGTAATTTGTCTTGTTGAGCTTAGGAATCCCACAAGCATCCTGAAGGGCCATCATGACTCTGGCATTAGCCTTCAGCGTCATTATATGCTGCTTTAAATCTTGCTGCGTCACTGCTGCAGCTGCCTCATTACAAAGGCACACTTAAAAGTTACTTTCGATTTCCCAGCATAGTGACTTGTGCCTGGGAGCCTTTTGCCTATTCCCGGCAAAACCGGCTTTAAAAGTTCAAAGTCCAGCCATAAAGCCATTAATTTGAAGCTGGCAGGCTGCCCGGAGCAGTAGCACATACCTCATCAATCACTTCTACGCGCAGAGCAGATTCCTTTCCGATCCGTCCCTCTGCATTCCGATCTGCCGGCACTGCGATTCGACCTCTGGGCCCATAACCACGTGTTGATTTAAAGCAGAGTCTGTCGTGTCCAGCGGAAGGATGACGATACGAGTTACATACTCTATATTGCTTTATTTACAGTTCAAAGCTGGTATATTACAGAAAGGCATCTTGCCTCTGCAGAAGCAGAAAAATGCATGCTCTCTCCTCAACAGCTTGGAGAGAATCACAGTGAAAAACAGGAAACCAGTGTACGTCACATCCAGTCTCCCTTTCCCGTGAGAAACTCCAACAGTACCTCTGACTGTGGAATGCAAAACAATGTCTTGTGACTGCAGTTGCTGCTCAGTGAGGGAAATAGAAACCAACAGTAACATCCTGCATGTTCGTCCGTTCCCCACCCCCAATGAATTGCAACTACCAAGCGTCCTTTGGACCATCCTTTCTCAACTTGTGGGTCCCCATATGTTGTTGAACTACAGCTCCCATCATCCCTAGCTAGCAAGGCCAGAGCTCAGGGATGATGGGAGTTGTAGTCCAACAACATCGGGGGACCCACAGGTTGAGAACCGCTGCTTTAGACCATGGGTAGGCAAACTAAGGCCCGGGGGCCAGATCTGGCCCAATCGCCTTCTCAATCCGGCCCACAGACAGTCCGGGAATCAGTGTGTTTTTACATGAGTAGAATGTGTCCTTTTATTTAAAATGCATCTCTGGGTTATTTGTGGGGCATAATAATTTGTTCATTTCCCCCCCCCAAATATAGTCTGGCCCCCACAAGGTCTGAGGGACAGTGGACCAGCCTCCTGCAGAAAAAAGTTTGCTGACCCCTGCTTTAGACTTTCTGCCCAGTTATGAAGCTACTATCTCCTCTTCAGACCCTTTCACATCCCTGGTTTCATCTTCAATCCCGTCCCCATGCCTCCTACTCCCAGACTTTCGTCATCCCATTTTGCACTCCTCATTTTCACTTCCATTCCCTGTTTTCCTCCCCCTTACTTTTCTCAACTCTCCTTTGCACATAGATCACCCCTGGGCTCATGCCTGCTCTTATCTATTCTGCAGCCGCCTCTGTGCACACACAACCCATTCTAATATATGTTACTGTAACTGTAGCCTGCTGGTTAGTTTCTTCAGTTGGAGAAGGTTGAGTTCAGTTGATGGATGCTGTATGTGCATGTATGGGTGTTTGCTTGCTAATAAAACATTTCTTCTAAATTGCTACGTTGAATCTGGAACTTCATGTTGAAGACAACACATGGTACCAGGAGTGAAATACATTGTGTGAAGGTACTATGGAATATTTGAGGGCCCCACATCCTTTATTTCTCTGACATCAGACAATTGAGGAATGGAAGAGGGAGAAGCTTGAAACAACCTATTTTTCCCCTTCCTTTTAGCGTCCCTTCCTTCTCACTGTACTCAAACAACAGAAGAGGTTTGAGTAAAGCAGGGATGGCGAGACACAGGAGAGTTGTTTTCTTAAACAAAGAAAGGAAGAAACCAGTTTTAACAAGGATAAAACAGCAGAGATGGGTGGAACAGAGAGGCTAACGCAGAAAAAGCTAACACATAAAAGCTAACACATCAGAGACTTTCCTTTCTCACTTTACTCAAACCTTGTTTAAACCCAGGATTGTGATGTGGCACTGCAAATCCTCCATTGCAGGCTGCATGATAATAGCCTTACACACATACACACACACACACATATACATACATACAGGCAGATATTCTTAATGTGTCCTGGAACTGTGATATTGCCTCTTACTTGCCTAGACAGAGAGGTATGGATTTTGCAAGGCACATGGCTTGTATGCAGCCTACTGTATCACATCTATTGCTCTGCCCATTTTTTGGCCTCCTAATGCTGGCATATGGAATGTGGCTCCAGGACTGAAAAATATTCCCCCCTCCTGTGCTAAACCTTCTGTGTTTTGTTGCTCCATCATTGCATTGTACACAGCTGATGCACTCGTTTGGCAGAGACTCTCCTGTTGCAAGCAATGGCTTCAGCAGCACAGGGGATCTGACCCAAAGCAAAAGTCCAGATTCAGGCAGCCAGAGCAAGGCGAGGCAAAGCAGAGCAAAGTTTAGTTCATCCTTTTCCAACCTCGTGCCTTCCAGATCTTTTCAGCTACAGTTCCCATCAGTTGCAGTTAGAACGACCAGCGATCAGGGATGATGGGTGGTGCAGTTGTCCAACGCATTTGGAAGGTACCAACCTGGGGAAGGTCCTAGTGAGATGAGGCGAGTGCCAAGATTCCTTGGTACCTTGGAGAGCTCCATGCATGGCTCAAGCTGAAGAACCCAGCTCAAATGTTGTTTCAGCACCAGCCAACCTCAGACTGAGCCTTAAATGAGGAGGAGGAGGAGGAAGATGATGATGATGATTATTTATTATTATTTATACCCCACCCATCTGGCTGGGTTTCCCCAGCCACTCTAGGCGGCTCCCAACAGAATATTAAAAACACAATAAAACATCAAACATTAAAAACTTCCCTAAACAGGGCTGCCTTCAGATGTCTTCTAAAAGTCAGATAGTAGTTTATTTCCTTAAAATCTGATGGGAGGGCATTCCACAAGGCAGGCACCACTACTGAGAAGGCCCTCTGCCTGGTTCCCTGTAACCTCACTTCTCGCAGTGAGGGAACTGCCAGAAGGCCCTTGGAGGTGGACGTCAGTGTCCTAAGTAGCTGCGTCTGCCTTCAGCCAGAGGAGCCGCCTCAGTTAAAAATTCCCCAGCCTGCTTTAACAGGCAGTGGCTCTGATGAAGCAGGAGGATACTGTGGTTCCACTAGGGCTTCTGAGTGGAGGTCAGAGGTGGGGCAACACAATCTCCTTGGGCTGAATAGGTTAGTATGAGCATCCAGGGTTTGCTCAGAGGACAGCTTCTTCTCTCTCTCTGAATCCCTGCCCTTATTCAACCCTGAGATCATAACAGAGACTGGATCATAGCAGTACATGCCTACTCCAGATTGTGTACAGCGATTGAAGGTCCTGGCTCACCTACCTTATGTGACAGCCCCCTCAGCTACCCTGTTTAGAAGTCTACTAAGGAGCGACTGCGTTATTTGACTAAGTTGGAAGAAAGCCAGCAGGGAGCTTGTTGTTTTCCTTATAGGCCCTTTCCTTTTCTCCCCCTCACTCCAACATTGTGTAGGTAGATCCAGACAGATCTCTGCCGAGTGATGGAATTAATTTTCACCTTTTTTTGTTCTTTTGGCCATTACCCATAGCCTCGTTTGCTATGAAAAGCAAAGGAAGCTGTGTTGATCCAGGAAAAGCGGAGGAGGGAAATCAAAATTCCCACAGTTGGACATTGAATGCCTTTATAGGACCAGTCAAAACATCACACAGTAACAAGAACAGGCTTTCAAGTTCTCCAAAACTCTTCACTGGGCTGGATGTTATATACAGCAGGAGAGAAGAGGGAGGGAATTAAAAAAGATTTCCCCCCCAAATAGCCTAGACACTGTAGGGTTGTCATATTTCAAAAAGTGAAAAGTTTTTGAGGTGTTGTTGTTTTTTTGCAAAGTCATTGGGCTTTTTCCAGTTTTGGCCAAAGTTGTTGAGCTATTTTTAAGGAAATTCACCAAAGTCTACATTTCCGACATGGGCTGCCATACGTCTGGATTTTCATGGACATTTTTAGCAATTTCCACCCGGACACTGTTTCTGATGGCTATGTCTGGGAAATTCCAGATGTATGGCAACCCTACTATAAGGTCTGTATCTACTACATCAGTCTCAAAATGAAGGTAGCTAGCTTGTTTGGATACAGTTCCTTCCAAGCAATCTGTCAGTAGCAGACGGTGTATTGGGCTGCTGGCGCTTAGCTGACCTCCCAGCAACTGAGGTTTACTTGGAGAGAGAGGCGGCGAGGAAGTTAGTGCAGTGCACATGCACCAGTGGAGCCAATGCAGAACTCCTACCAGTATGTTTGCATCATGCTGATCTCCCCACTGCCTCTCCCTGTACAGAGACTCAGTTGTCAGGAGGTTAGGTGAGCGGTGTCACCGCACGCCACCAGCTGCTACTGCAGTTTGTTTATTCATTCTGATTTCTTTGCACAAAGTTTGTGGGGAGGTTATGCTTTGTTGGCTTGCTTATTTGAGCATTCGTTTTGTTTGTGGGCAGGTTATAAGACGTCGTGTCAAGCGATTGCTTTCCCACACTTTCCAGTGCATTTCCCTGGCACTTTCCTTACCGCAAAAAGTTCGATTTTTTTTACAGAAGCGGATTTGTTGCGCAGGAGTGCCAAATCCACTTCCGTTGCGCAGCCTAACTTTGCCGGTATGCAACTGAATCCCACCTGCAAAATAGCCACAGTCTGGAGGTGCCCTTAGTCTTCCTTAGGTGCTGCTACAAATTGTAGGTTTTGCCTATAATTCTGGGACAAGGAAGCAATACCTGAACCCCCATTTTTGGAAACGGTTATCTAGACCTGTCTCCAGCATTAAGCAAAACATGCTAGGCAGAGAGAGAGAGAGAGAGAGAGAGAGATAGCAATCTTTATTTGAGCAAAGATGGAGATTAATTTTAGGTGGTGTTATAGTTAAAAGAAGAGAGAGAATCAGCTGAAGTGATTGAGCATTTGCCTCAAAAAGTAAAGCTCCTCTTCAGGTGATAGAAAATTGCCTTCCTTTACTTGTAGATTCTGCTTCCAAACAGAGAAATTTCTCTTCAAGGCACATAAAAATCAAAGGAAGCCTTTTTGGGCCCAGTAGGGGATACGATTTGCATGCATGTTCAGTTCCCATCATCTCTGGATAAGGCTCTTCTCCAAAAGCCTGGAGAGCCTCTGCCCATTCATATACACCAGACTTTCCCAACCTGCCACCTTCCAGGTGTTTTGGACTCTTATCAAGCCCAGCCATCACTGCCAACCATCGGAGATTATGGGAGCTGTTGTCCCAAACACCAGGAGGGCGCCAGGTTGGGAGACGCTGGTGTAGACAGTCCGAAGCTAGACAGACCAGGGATGGGGAACCTGCAGCTTTCCAGTAGTTGCTGGACTCTGACTCCCATCATTCCCAGCCACGATGGCCAGTGATCCGGACGAATGGGATTTGTAGCCTTCTGGGCCACAACTTCCCCATCCCTGAGATAGGCCATGTTTGCACCATATATTTAAAGCGTTATGCTACCACTTTAAACATGCATGGCTTCCCCCAAAGAATTCTGGGAGCTGCAGTTTGTTATGGTTGCTGAGAGTTCTTAAGAGACCCCTATTACCCACCAAAAGCTGTCAATCCCTCTTCAAAAAAACTCTGGAAACTTGTCGCTCTGCGATGGGAACAGGTGACTCCCAACAACGCTCAGCACCTTTAATAAACTACAGCTCCCAGAATCCTTTGAGGGAAGCTGCAACTGTTCAGAGTGATATGGCACTGCTTTAAATGTATGGTGTGAATGTGGCCTTGGTCTAGAGAAGCTTCCTAAATGCTATGTATGTATATACAGTATAAGCAAGTGGAAACAAGGCTGCTATAGGTAGGAATAGAGCCTTATGGTGCTGCAGCAGCGGTTTAGCCTTGAAAGCAGGACGTGCAGGGGAGCATGCCCGAAAGACGTACAAAACAGAGGAGGAGAGAGGTGGCCTTCTCTTCATGGCTTCCTCTGCGTCTCTCTCTCACAGGGGTCCTGGCTGGTCCATGGAGTGCCTGGATGCCCGAGCACATGTCCGCCTTTGAGGGCACCTGCGTCGTCATCCCTTGCCGCTTCAGCTACCCCGACGAGCTGCGCCCGTCGGCCGTGCACGGCATCTGGTACTTCAACAGCCCTTACCCCAAGAACTACCCGCCTGTGGTCTACAAATCCCGCACCAACATTGTCCATGAGAGCTACTTGGGGCGCACCCGCCTGCTGGGAGAGCTGAACTTCCGCAACTGCACGCTGCAAATCTCCCGCCTCAGCCCCGAGCTCACCGGCAAATACTACTTCCGCGGGGACTTGGGAGGATACAATCAGTACACGTACCCTGAGCACTGCAACCTGGAGATCATCAGTGAGTACCAAGCCAGGCCTGCTCTAATTCCCTTTTTCTGGGGGAGGGGGACTTTGTGCGCCGTTTTATTGAACAAAGACTTTACATCTCTGCCAGACTGTGCTTCTTGTGTGTGCTGACATGCCTCTGAACCAGCCCAGAGAGAGGCAAGTCATGCAAGTGAAGGGCCAGGTGCTTCCCCCTCCTCTCCTACACCACTGTCTCCCAGAACCAGGAGGAGAGTGAAATGGGAGGAGCAGGGGAAGTTGTCATGCAGGCATAGTCTCCGGCTGCATGCATACAGCCCATCAGGGGAAGGTACATAAACCGGTGGAGGAGGAGCTGTCCCTTGTAGCTGCAACTGCTCCATAGAGCACAGGCCTGAAAATATCTGCCTAGAACTAGATTGGTGTCTAGGTGTGTCAGGATGCTGTCAGCAGCCCCCAGCTGGTTGCCCAGGAAAGTATAAAGACAAGGGAAAGTTTCTTACTGTCCTTTTTCATTTCAGTCTTTACAGAGAGAGGCTATAGAACCCAGCCTCTTGGATAATGGTGTTCTCCCAAGTGAATCTCCACCCTCTGCCTCTCCCATTTCCCATTTCTATGGGTGCTGCTACGTGCCCTCTGCCTTCAAGCTCTTTGCTCTCCTACTTTTAAGGCTCGCGAGATGGAGGGTCTGGGATGCTTTCTAATGACAACGTGTCACCTGGGTGTTGTTCCGGCTGTCCCGTGATTTCCCAACTTTTCTCCTCATCTGCCTCTGAGCTGCAACCTCCCTCAAACCCCTGTTGTCATTCTAGACTGTCTTCCTCTTCCTCCTCCCTGGAAGGGTCAGGAAGGGGAGGCGGTCTCCACCATTCCTCCTCTGCCCAGTCCCTGACAGTGTGCATCCCCCCTGAGTTCTTCAAGGGGAGCACTGAGATGCGGGAGGAGGAGCTTGTCTGGTTGTAAGCAGGTTGTAAGCAGGAAGGCTCAGAGGAAGCTTGTTATCTTGATTTTACTCTTCCGGTAAGTTTCGCCATTTCTGCATATTCCATAAGTTTTTGTATCCATTCTTCCTTTTCTGGGACTACTACTTCTTCTTCTTCCCATTTTTGGGCAAGTAACATTCTTGCCGCTGTAGTCACATACATAAATAAATTTCTGTGCAATTTAGGTAGTTCTATCACAGAGCCTAGAACTTGCTGATCAGAAGGTCGGCGGTTCGAATCTAGGAGTCTTGGTTGACCACAAACTTGACATGAGCCAACAGTGTGATGCGGCAGCTAAAAAAGCCAATGCAATTCTGGGCCTCATCAATAGGAGTATAGCATCTAGATCAAGGGAAGTAATAGTGCCACTGTATTCTGCTCTGGTCAGACCTCACCTGGAGTACTGTGTCCAGTTCTGGGCACCACAGTTCAAGAAGGACACTGACAAACTGGAACGTGTCCAGAGGAGGGCAACCAAAATGGTCAAAGGCCTGGAAACGATGCCTTATGAGGAACGGCTAAGGGCGCTGGGCATGTTTAGCCTGGAGAAGAGGAGGTTAAGGGGTGATATGATAGCCATGTTCCAATATATAAAAGGATGTCACATAGAGGAGGGAGAAAGGTTGTTTTCTGCTGCTCCAGAGAAGCGGACACGGAGCAATGGATCCAAACTACAAGAAAGAAGATTCCACCTAAACATTAGGAAGAACTTCCTGACAGTAAGAGCTGTTCGACAGTGGAATTTGCTGCCAAGGAGTGTGGTGGAGTCTCCTTCTTTGGAGGTCTTTAAGCAGAGGCTTGACAACCATATGTCAGGAGTGTTCTGATGGTGTTTCCTGCTTGGCAGGGGGTTGGACTCGATGGCCCTTGTGGTCTCTTCCAACTCTATGATTCTATGATTCTATGAATCCCCACGATAGGGTGAGCTCCCGCTGCTTGGTCCCTGCTCCTGCCAACCTAGCAATTTGAAAGCACATCGAAGTGCAAGTAGATAAATAAGTACCACTCTGGCAGGAAGGTAAACGGTCTTTCCATGCGCTGCTCTGGTTTGCCAGAAGCGACTTAGTCATGCTGGCCACATGACCCAGAAGCTGTACGCTGGCTCCCTCGGCCAATAAAGCAAGATGAGTGCCGCAACCGCAGAGTCGGCCACGACTGGACCTAATGGTCAGGGGTCCCTTTACCTTTACCTATCACTATAATTCCCAAGAGAAAGGCTTCTGTTTTTGTTTGTTTTTTACAAATGTTCTTTTAAACATCCTTTTCACTTCACTGTATGTCATTTCCCATTGGTGTCTCTTTTCAACCCCCCACAGACAAACCCACCATTGTGAGCCCCCCAGAAGTGGTGGAAGGGACTGAGGTGGAGCTGCGCTGTGTGGTGCCGGATAACTGCCCTGACATGAAGCCCATCATCACGTGGATGAACCACGAGAACCTGGCTGAGCACTCAGTCTACGCACAGGTGGAAGAGGAAGGCGGCACCTGGTCCCTCGTCTCCCTGCTCAAATTCATGCCGTCGCGCGAGAACCACGGGCACGAGCTGGGCTGCAAAGTCACCTACTCCAACACCACTTTTGAGTTTGATGGGTTTACTTCCTTGGATGTCAAATGTGAGTCGGGGTTCCTAAGCGGCTGTCGCTTCGTGACTCGATACGTTCATCTCCCTAGGTCTCAAGGTGGAGAACAGGCCTGTTCTTTTTATCCTCACAGCAACCAGGGCCGGCCCACCTATGAGGCAAGGGGAAACGACTGCCTCAGGCGGCAGCATCCACAGGGGCAGCAGATCCGGCCTTCGAGGAACGCATTGCCCGCTGTTGCTACCACTGCTGTGCTAAACAGTGGTCTCTTTTGTTGCACTCCTTGGAGGCCGGATCTGCTGCCATCTTGGCAGCTCCCTGCAATGACACCTCTGCAACTGCTTCTTGGCAAAGAGGAGGTGGTGGTGGTCTCCCGCCACCCTTGTTTCCAATGTAGATCTTCATTCTGCTTTTGTTCCTGATGTAGATCTTCACTCACCCGTTCTTCCCTAGCCTGGGGGCGGGGACACCATTTTGTGCTTTCTTTAGGCGCAAAAAAGTTTTGGCTGGCCCTAACAACAACCCTGTGAGGTAGGCTACACTGTGAGATACTAGCTGGCCCAAGGTCACCCAGTGGGCTTTGGGGAGGTGGGGGGGGGTTTGAACCCAGGTCTAATAGGCCCCAGTTGGCACTATAACTGCTACAACACATGGGCTCTCACCACATTTTGCCTCTGGAGGATCTCTGGAACCAGGGATGTTTGCTCAGTGAACATCAAGTCCCCATGTTCTGCAATGAGGGAGGGCCTGTTGGGTTGCTTCTACACTGGGAGTCTTTAATGTCCTTCGAAGCCCATAAACCAACCTTGGTAGACCCACACCGTAGATGGAAAGCACATCCAATGCACATGACTTTCCCCAGATAATCCTGGGAACTGTAGTTCGCTCAGGGTGCTGGGAATTGCCATCCAGGGATGGGAAAACTACCATTCCCATGAATCATTGGGGGAAGTCGTGTGCTTTAAATACATGGTGTAGATAGCCATGGTTACTGCACGGAGAAACCAGAGCATCTCCCTGAGGCTGATCTCTTTTTGGCTTGCTTCCACAGACCCGCCCCGGATTCTGCAGGCAAACTCCTCCGTGGAGGTCATTCAGGGCTCGCACGTGGTGCTGGTGTGCTCCGTGGACAGCAGCCCCATGGCCTTGATCTCGTGGCTCCGAGAAGACGAAATTCTGCACGAGGACATGGCGGGAAGCCTCACGCTCCATCTGGACAACATCACCCACCTGCAGGACGGCATCTATACTTGCGCGGCTGAGAACATTTATGGCAAGGACAACCATTCCCTGGCCTTGGCTGTGCTGTGTAAGTAGCCAGTCCTGAAGCCCTGAGGCCAATTCAGGGGCGGGAGGAGAAGCCTGCACTGCAGTGTAACCCCAAACTTTGCAGCAGGAAATGAGATGCTCGCTTTCAGGCATCTGGACCTCAATTCTTTTATTTATTCCGAATGTTTCTATACCACTTCTCCACAATGAAAAAAAAGCAGTTGATGTATTACAGTATTTTAATATTCTTTTGGAAACCGCCCAGAGTGGCTGGGGAAACCCAGCCAGATGGGCGGGGTATAAATAATAAATTATTATTATTATTATTATTATTATTATTATTATTAGGGGTTTTCAGAACACATGCACACCAAACTTCATTAACTGCCATATATATAGCTAAATATAATTATTTTATAAAATAGCAAAATACATATGATAAATACATTATAGTTGTAATATACTGTATTTTTCTGTCTATAAGACGCCCCCATGTATAAGACACCCCCTATTTTGGGGGACTCAGATTTAAGAAAATGGGGGGAGATGGCCCAGAGTATTAGACACCCCCTAATTTTTGACATTATTTTTTAGGGGGGAAACCTAGTCTTATACACAGGAAAATACGGCACTTAATATTTTTACTATGTGTTCCTTTGATGGAAAAGACGGCTTTTGGTGTTTCCCCCTCCCAGATGCCCCTTGGAAGCCTGTGGTGAACGCCTCTGTGGTGGCCGTTGAGGGAGAGCCGGTCACCATCCTGTGCAGCTCACAAAGCAACCCTGAGCCCATGATCACCATCTTCAAGGACAAGAAGCCCATGGCCATGGGCGTCTACCAGAACCAAGTGGCTCTGGAGTTTGAGTCTGTGACGCACGAGGACGACGGGGAATACTGGTGCACGGCAGAGAACCAGTTTGGCCAGCGCAGCACTGCCTTCAACCTCACCGTTGAATGTGAGCACTCGCCTGGGGCCCCCAGAAACTCTTGTGGGACATAAATGTGTTTTGGGTGGTATCCAACTGTGGCATCTCATTTGCTCAGTGGACTTCTGCTCTTGCAAGCAGAATTATTCATTCCACTCTCCTGCCTCGCCCCATATCAGCCCCCAAGCCTCAGCTGCCTCATTCTGCCTAGCTGTAGGGCCACCACCATATTCTGGTCTGATGTCAGCAGCTCTGACCAAGTTCTTCTGGGAGCTCACATCTGTCAACCTCTGGCTCGGAGGTCTCCCAGTCTCTAGTAGCAGTTTCAGAGCCTTGATGCTGGTCTAGTTCCCTGTCCAATGCCTTTGCTGGAGACTCTGCAGTCTCTGACTCCTGAGTCTTGACTGCAGGTGGTCATTACAGCTGGCCCATTACCAAAGCATGTCTGTGCCACCATAGGACAGCCCCTGGTGTTCTGACACAGGCTTTTGCTTGTGGGCCCCCCACCCATCCAAAAGAGCATGTGCAGTCCGGCAAAATAACGGGACTAATCTGCTGTTGCACCTCCACCTCTTTCACAAGGACATAAGAAGTGCCTGCTGGGCCAAACCAGTGGCCCATCTAGTCCAGTGTCCTGTTCTCACAGTGGCCAAGCAGATGCTTATGGGAATTCTGCAAGCAGGACTCCAGCACAAGAGCACTCCTCCCTCTTGCAGTTTCCAGTATTCAGAAGCAAGGCTGCCTCCAACACATAGCTGTCAACTTACAGATTTGAAAATAAGGGACCAGCAGCCTCGAAAATAAGGGATCAGCAGCAAAAATAAGGGATTTTGCTATTGAAAAGAGTTACGTACATTGTTGGATTGACAGATGCTGTCAATCCGGCATGAAGCGCTGCCTTTCTGCATCCCTCCCCATCCCCTCCTCTTCCTCCTCCCTCAGGCCGCCTCCTCAGCTGCTGCCTCCGGGCTCGCGGGCGGCATGGGCAAGAGTGTCTCTCCTCCCCCCCCCTCTCTTGGGCGGGGAAGGGCCGATGGAACGCCTCACACCAGGACGACGGCGCCAGCGCTCACTCTCGCGCGCGGTGGAGGACCCCGAGCTGCTGCTTCCCTCCCAAGCCGGGCGAGCATGAAACCCGGGAAATTTAAGGGACATCATCAATAAGGGACAGCAGCGGGACACGGCGCTGGGATAAGGGAGTTTCCCACCAAATAAGGGACGGTTGACAGCTATGCTCCAACAGTGAAGGCAGAGCTTAGCCATCATGATTAGTAGCTATTGATAGCTTTCTCTTCCAGTCCTCTTTTAAAGCCATCCAATTGGGTGGCAATTGCTGTCTCCTGTGGGAGTAGGTTCCGTAGATTAACAATTCACTGTGTGAAGAAGCATTCTCTCTCTCTCTCTCTGTCTCTCTCTCTCTCTCTGCAGTTGCTCCCCTTATCCTTTCGGACTCCAAGTGCACAGCTGCCCGGGACACTGTGAAGTGCATCTGTGCGGCCAAATCCAACCCGGAGGCTGTGATCACCTTTGAGCTCCCCACGCGCAACGTGACAGTGAACGAGACCGACCGGGAGTTTGTGTACTCGCAGAAGACCGGCTACATTGTCACCAGCATCCTGACCTTGCAGAGGGAGGTGGACTCCCAGCTTTACATCGTCTGCTCAGCCAGGAACTTCTACGGCACCAGGAACCAGCAGCTGCAGTTCCACCACTCCAGTGAGGGCCCTTCCAGGCAACTGCCCCACCTTGGTCCCTACAGCTCTCACGAGGCTCATACCAGTCTTGTCCAGGGGTGGCGCTGTGGAAATGGATTTAGACACCAGGAGGGGACCTTTTGTTTAGTTATTGTCCTTCCTTGCTCACGTGATTAAGATCAGCAGAATACCATCCTTTGCAATTTAAACTTGGAAGCAAAGACAAGATTGATTTAACCTTCTAGAAACAATAATCCAGGATGCTTTAAGGCAGACTGGATTTTCCCTCATATTATCCCTTTTCACCCACTTAAAAACAACCATCACACACTTCTAGCTGCTGGGTGACTCAGCCAGTAGAGCATGAGACTCTTCATCTCATGGTTGTGGGTTCAAGCCCAACGTTGGGCAAAAGATTCCTGCATTGCCGGGGGCTGGGCTGGATGAGTCCGGTGGTCCCTTGCAACACTACAGTTCTATGATTCCACATAGCTTTTGTGAAGAAGTAAAAGTAGTATTTACTTACATAATCTAGGTCTTGAAGCAGCAATTGCAGTAGCAAAATGAAGGCAGGTTTATAACTAGTATCTAAGTTACAAAAGTACAAAATGTAAGTTCAAAAATGGTGCCTGAGCTGCAGAGCTCAGATATGCACGTGTGGTCAGCTTGGAGGCATGGTGAAAGAAGAGAGATGCGCCCAGGCAGGATGGAAGTACCATATTTTTCGCTCTATAAGACGCACTTTTTCCCTCCTAAAAAGTAAGGGGAAATGTGTGTGCGTCTTATGGAGTGAATGCAGGCTACGCAGCTATCCCAGAAGCCAGAACAGCAACAATCCCTCTTGCTGTTCTGGCTTTTGGGATAGCTGCGCCAAGTCTCCTCAGGGCAGCAGGAGGAACGTTCCCCCTGCCCTGAAGAGGCTTTGCATTGTTTTCGCAGAAGCCAGAACAGCAAGAGGGATCGCTGCGCAGTGAAAGCAGCAATCCCTCTTGCTGTTCTGGCTTCTGGGATTCAGACTATTTTTTTTCTTGTTTTCCTTCTCCAAAAACTAGGTGCGTCTTATGGTCTGGTGCATCTTATAGAGTGCAAAATACGGTATGTAGCGTTTCAGATTCCTGCCAAGGCAGACAAAGGAAGTGATCTCACAGAGTTCTCTAGCCAATTTCACAAGTAGCTCTGTGAGATTCAGCCCCTCCATGCGTCTATACGGCGAAACATGAATTGTTTGCTTGTCTGCAATAATGTCCCGCAGGTTCCACACATTTCAGCCAAGCAGAAGGGGGCAAAGCAGGGCCAGGGAGGGGCGTAGCCTTGGGAGGTAGGTGACGACTGAGGAAGAGGTTATAGCCTGTGGCGGGGGGTGGGGGGAGTTAGTCCTAAGGACCATCTAGAGAGGCCTAGAGGGCTGCATTTGCCCCTGCTCTGCTGAGACCAGAGCAGTATCTTGCTAATCCTGTGCATTTCTCTCTCTTTTTTTAATTTTCCAGATAGTCTGATGTGGGCAAAAGTGGGGCCTGTTGGAGCGGTGGTAGCCTTTGCCATCCTCATAGCGGTCGTGTGTTATGTCAGCCAGACCAGGAAAAAGTAAGTTTTTTTGTGGTGGGGGTGAACTCAAGCCCTCCCTCCTTCATATCGCCTCATTTTCTTCCTGTAAGAAATCCAGATCCAAATTCGAATCTGGGAAAACATCACCAGAACCAGGGCCTTGTTTCCCCTGTTTTGCACCAAACACAGAAAACACACTCCCTCCCTCCCTCACTGCAGCCATGCTCCTGGAGCCAATGGCTACAAAATCAGCCAATGACCGTTTGACCATAGGAACCTAGAAATCTGCTTTATATTGTGTTCATCTAGCTTAGCATTGTTTACTCTGACTGGCAGGGACTCTCTAGGGCACGGGTGTCAAACACAAGGCCCGCGGGCCGAATCCGGCCTGCCAGACCTCGTCATGTGGCCCGTGTAGCCGCCAGCCCGGCCTGCCCGCTTCCCCCTGCGAGGCGGCGCGCTGTGGGCGGGGATGGGGGGCTGGAAGGCGGGCGGTGGAGAAAGCGAAGGCGCTCCCTTCCCCCGCCATTACTCGGCCGGCCTGAGAGAAAATTTCTGAGGCGGCGGCGGCCTTCGTCCAGGGTCGGGGGGCCATGGCGGAACTTTGCCCTCCCGGTGGCCTGGAGCATCTGGAGCTGGGGCGGCTGCGGGACCCGCCGGGCAGCAGTGGCGGTGGCGGAGTCGTCGTCGGCGCTTCTTCTCCTTCTCCTCCTCCTTCGTCTTGCTCGCCGTCACCGCCGCTCTCGTCTTGCTCGAGGCAGGCCTGGAGCCGGGACAACCCGGGCTTCGAGCCCGAGGAGGAGGCGGGCGAAGCGGCCAGGGTGGCTGGCGGGAGCGTGGCGGCGGGGCCCGTGCTGCAGATGGGCGTGGTGGAGTGGGGCCGAGGAGGGGCGCCTTCGCCCTCGGAGCCCGACACCCGACGCTCGGGAGGGCCCGCCGAGAGCGGGAGGCAGCGGAGGCGCAGGCGGCACGGCGAAAAGGAGGAAGGCGGAGGGGAAGGCAAAGGCCAGCGGCCTTGCTCCGCCGGAGGCGCCCTGACGCCGACGCCGTGTTTCCCTCACGAGGAGACGGGCGAGGAGGTCGCCGAGCAGCCGCTGCCTCACCTGGGCCAAAGGGATGGCGCACCACCTGCAAGGTGAGTCACCGCTCGGCCGGGCCCTTCCGTCGCCCTTCCCGGCTCACATCTCTCCTGTTTCACCTTATTACTTTTATGTTACTCGGGAGTCTTCTGCTCTGAAGACAGATGCAGATAATCCGTTCAGCTCCTCTGCAATCTCCTTTCCCACCTTTAGCACACCTTTGATTCCCTTGTTGGCCAAAGGCTCTACCACAGACATGTCCAAAGTCCATTTCGGGGGCCTAATCCGGCCCCTTCGACAGTTTATGGGGTAAAATCCTCAAAAAACCCCTCAACAACTTCAACCCTAAAAAAAAAAAAAGCTCAACAATTTCAATCCTAAAAAAAGCGCAACAACTATGGTTGGCCCTCACGGCCCTTCACTTCATCAAATCTGGCCCTCCTTGAAAAACGTTTGGGCACCACTGCTCTAGGGTTTCAGACAGGGAGCCTTCTCCACTGTCCTGGGAGATGCTGTGGGACCTTCTAAATGCTCCACCACTGAGCGATGGCCCTTCCATAAGGCCTCCGAAGGCACCTGCATCCTACAGAGGCTGCTGCTCCTCTTGCACAAGTGAGAATGCTCCAGCCAGCATTGGCTACAGAGCTATATAATAATAATAATATTTATTTATACCCCGCCCTTCCCAGTTCAAAAACCGGGCTCAGGGCGGCTAACAACAAGTTTAAAACACTTGATTATAAAAGTAGCATAAAATACAGTATAAAAACATGAATAACAATAAAATTCAAAAATCAATTTAGGGGAAAGAAGCATTAGATAATCCCCAAGGCTAGCTGGCTGAATTGGTCCTACTTGGGCCAGTGAGGAGGCCAGGAGAGAATTAGCTGTGGGGTCTCAGAGCTGGTGATTGTCATAAAAGGGGAGGGGGAGGGAAGAGAAGGGAAATAAAAGATCAGGCTGAATTCAAATTAAAGGCCAGGTGGAATAGCTCTGTCTTACAGGCCCAACGGAAGGAAGTTAAATCCTGAAGGGCCCTAGTCTCATGGGACAGAGCATTCCACTAGGTCGGAGCCATCACTGAAAAGGCCCTAGCCCTGGTGGAGGATAGTCTGACTATATCCAGGGTGCTGACAGGCCTGGCCCAGCCTGCTGTGAATCAGTAAGTTTTGCTGCTGCAGGCAGCTTCCGCTGAGCCTTCAGCTCTGACGAGACAGGGCACGTTCTCTCTATTCATGGTTTGTGCAAACAGTGGCTTTGCATGATCTCCGAGCCCACGACTAAAGTCTCTGCAGATGTCCTGGGATGTGTGAAACCGCCATCACATCTCAAACACCGCAGGCAGAGGTTTCGCACGCCTTGTGGTTTGCTCCTGCAAGACCATCCACTGAATGAAGTTCATGTATTGAGCGGCACGTCACTGTTTCGCACATTCGCCTCTGGAGAGTGGGGCGAGGGGCAATGTTTGCCACTCAACTTCCAGTAAAACACATAAGGACGTAAGCACAGCCCTACTGGATCAGGCCATTGGCCCAGTTAGTCCAGAACCCTGTTCTCGCAGAGGCCACCCCCATGGCTGTTGGAAGTTGAGGCGCAGCTCAGCTTGCTCAGAAGGCTCTGCCTGGAGTAAAGGCAGATAGAGGGTGAAACCTCCAGGTTCCTAAACTGTCTCTGTCTCTTTTATCTCTCTGCTGACCTGCCTACTGAAGTCAAAGGGATGTGTGTTAAATCGCGTCCTCTCAGGGTTCTGAGAGTTGTCAGTAGACCCTCTCATCACCTCCTAGAACTACAGTTCCCAGAGTGGCCTAACAAGCACTCCCTCTTTCCAATTCTTTCACAATTTTTCTCTGGACCTTCATTGGTCGAGGTCTCCTTGAATGTCTCTTCTGAGAACAAAGTGGCAAAAATAAATTCTCTGTTTCTCCGCCTAGTTAGTTATCTAGGACTAGAGAACTCCTACCTATCAAATATGTTCTTTCCTTAATAAAAAATAAACTTCCTAAGCCTTAACACCTTCCAATTCAAGTTGTGCTCCAAGCAAGGATTCATTTCACTAATGTCTGCTGTTATGTTCAAACTCTGGTATGCTAACACAACTAGGGCTTGCCAAGTCAGACATCATGCTAAACCGTCATTAAGCTTCCTTAACCATAGCCTGGTGTGTTATCTGAACTGAGCCCCAAAGTGAGGGATATACCTAGGTAAACTTTCCCTAAACCATGGCTCAGTGATAGAGCACATCCTTTGCATGCAGAAAGTCTCAGGTTCTACTCCCTGCAGGTAAAAGGTAAAGCTAAAGGACCCCTGAACGGTTAAGTCCAGTCAAAGGCATCTATGGGGTTGCGGCACTCATCTCGCTTTCAGGCCGAGGGAGCTGTTGTTTGTCTGCAGACAGCTTTCCAGGTCATGTGGACTGGAAAGCATGACTAAACCACTTCTGGCGCAACAGAAAACCAGAGTGCATGGAAATGCTGTTTACCTTCTTGCCACAGTGGTACCTATTTATCTACTTGCACTGGCGTGCTTTTGAACTGCTAGGTTGGCAGGAGCTGGGACAGAGCAATGGGAGCTCACCCCATCATGGGGATTGACCTTCCGATCAGCAAGCCCAAGAGGCTCAGTGGTTTAGACCACAGTGCCGCCTGTATCCCTTCATCACCAACTAGGGCTGGGAGAGACTCCAGACTCTGAAACCCTGGAAATCTGCTCCCAGTTGAGACAGCTGATTCTGGCTAGATAAGCCAATGGTCTGAATCAGTATATGGGAGCTTCCTGTGTTCCTAAACTGGATGTCCCCAGTTTCATTTGCATTGCAGCCAAGAAGATGCTGAGAGTCTCTGTGGCTTCCCAACAAACAATATAATCTAAGAAACAAATTAGCACTCTTATTATACCCTTAGTGGAATTTTAGAACTCAGTCCACAATCCAATTACATGCAAGTAATTGGATTCAAAATTATTTCAGTCCCACTGCAATCAGCGAATAATACAATTTTGAAAACAAAATAAAACCCAAAACTTAAATTTCCTGCCCATTGCCCACTGAGGACAAGATTATTAAAGAAATACTGACAAACAGAAGATAATTGAGGATTTGCAAATAGTAGAAAGATTGGATCGTTTATCCTGGCTGGAGATGATTGCCAAAATAGCTATCAGGCCTTGAATATGGAAGTGCACTTATCAAAGCTGTCAGATAATCCATTGGTTAATTAATGAATTGTTTACTAATCACTCTTCAGCTGTGATTGCAAATCTGAAACTCATCATGCTAATGAAAGAAGCCACTTGGGATTCGAACGGATTTACATTATATAGCCTGGTTCCAAAATAATAATAATAATTTATTATTTATATGTTGTCCATCTGACTGAGTTGCCCCAAAATGGAGGTGTTGGTTGGAAACATGGACAGAGTTTAACGTTATAAGTCTTTCTCACTTCCTTATTTTATTCTTATTCCCAGGAAAAGTATGAATGAAAGTTCGAGTTTCATGCAAACAGAAAACCCTCCTGTCGCCTACAGCGGAGACTACAGGACTCCTGGCCATCTGGAGAAATCAGAGGTACTGATAAGAGGGAGGGCGATGGGGGTGTCCCATGTCCCCTTTTGGAAGAAGTATGCCTCTGCTGGGCATCTCAGGTGGGGAAAGTGCTGCTGTGATCTCGCCCGGCTTGTGGGCTTTCCTTTTTCGTAGAATTGTAGAGCTGGAAGGGGCCACGAGGGTCATCTAGACCAACCCCCTGCAATGCAGGAATACCGTATTTTTCGCTCCATTAGACGCACTTTTTTCCTCCTAAAAAGTAAGGGGAAATGTGAGTGCATCTCATGGAGCGAATGGCGCTGCGCAGAGGGGTCTCCTTCTGTTCCTTCTCCAGCTTTGCTGAAGGGGCGCTGCGCCTTCTCCCTCTCTGCGCAGTGCCTCTCCTGTGAAGGAGAGGCGCTGCGCAGAGAGAGAGAACTGCGCAGTGCCCCTTCAGCGACGCGCCTGTCCTGGAAGCTGGAGGAGGAACCGAAGGGACTCCTTCTGTTCCTTCTCCAGCTTCGCTGAAGGGGCGCTGAGCAGTTCTTCCTCTCAGAGAGGGAGAACTGCGCAGCGCCCCTTCGGTGACGCGCAGTCCTGGCTTCTGCCTTAGCCGTGAGCAGCCTCTTCGGGCAGGGGGAGCCTTCATCCCGCTGCCCTGAAGAGGCTTGGCGTGGTTATCCCAGAAGCCAGAACAGCACACGATACCCCAGAAGCCAGATCCCTCTTGCTGTTCTGGTTTCTGGGATTCAGAATATTTTTTTCTTGTTTTCCTCCTCCCAAACCTAGGTGCGCCTTATGGTCTGGTGTGTCTTTTGGGGCGAAAAATACGGTATTTTGCCCAAAGCGGGGCTCAAGCCCACAACCCTGAGATTAAGAGCCCCGTGCTCTACTGACTGAGCCGTCCCTTCAGTCAATGAGACACCATCCCTTGAACATCTGGTTAGCCACTGCGAGAACCAACCACACAGAGAGACATTAAGCGAAGGAAGGAAAATGTGAATGTTTCTTTCTCCCTCCCTTGTGACCTGGCAATGGGTATTTGGAGGAGAGAGAGAAAAAGAATAGTTTAGGAAAAAGCCTCGTTCGGATTGCCAGAAAAGATTGGCGGTGCGGAACCATAGCTGCATGCAGAAGCAAAAATGAGCAAACATCCTCTTTTTTACTTGTAACACCTTTTGAGTTGTTCATGTGAGAGCGGGTGCAGGTTATTTCCTACAACAGAATCTTGCCATTTTTCAATAAAATGGGGGAAAGTAGGAACCTGGGGAGGGACTGTGAGTCAACACGAAGCAACTCAGCTTGTAAAAATGGAGGCAATCAATTTTTAATCAAAGCAGACAGGTGGGAGCCGGCCCACAAGGGTCATCCAGTCCAACCCCTTGCAATGCACAACTCTTTTTCCAGTGTGGCCCTAAGATTTTGAACCTTGTGCTCTACTGACTATCCCTGGGAAGAAAGATTGCTTGTTAGGCCGCTCTGGAAGCTGCAGTTCTAGGAAGGGGAATAGAGGGTCTCTTGATGACTCTCAGCACCCTTAACAAACTACAGCTCCCAGAATCCTTAACAAACTACAGCTCCCAGAATCCTTTGGGAGGGGGAAGCCATGGATGTTTAAGGTGGTATCACAGTGCTTCAAACGGAGGGTGTGAACGTCCCCAAACTGTGCCCCACGGCTCAGATCTGCCTATCTCCCAAGATGGGGCCCCAAACTCAGCTATCTCACCTTGCTTCATGGCAGGGCTGATTCTAGGGTTAGCCTTCCTCAGTCAGGTCACTAGTGACTGCTGTTCCTTTTCTAATAAGGAGATCTGCTCCCTGGAGAGCCACTGACCTGGGCAGGTAAGTATGGACCTCTCCATCCATGTGCATAACACCGTCCTTTTTGTGTATATGGCACCCGGGCCTTAGAAAAGAGAATTGTCCCGGTTTGGACTGAATGGGGGTGGGGTGGATGGAAGTGGTTCTGGTCAATGCTGCCGCCCCCAGGCAGCTGCAGTTTCTGATCAGATCAGACAAGGCAGGGTTGATGTCAGTCAATTCTGGTGTCTGTTCTAACAGAGGGTGCTTTCAGGTGCATGACGCTTACATCGCTTTTATGTCTTGCATTTCCTATGTGCATCAATTGGCGTCAGTATCTACCGCTAGTGACTGGTGCCCTGTGGTAGGAGGCAGGGAGGCCAACAGTAGGTGGCGCCAGAGAGCCAATGAGACAGGAGGGCTGCCTGAAGGCAGGGTGAGGTTGGTGAGGCAGTGCCCCCATTTGCCCAATTGAACCAGCCTCCTAATATACCTCCATTGACTAAGGGGAAGGCCAATTTGTGTGGATGGCTTTTAAAAAGGAAACACAGACCCTCCAAGCGTCCCTATTTTCCAGGGACAGTCCTGGATTTGCAGAAGCCGTCTCGGTTTCTGATTGATCCTGGAATGTCCCGCTTTCCTCACGAGGTCCCTATTTTCATTGGAGAAATGTTGGGGGGTATGGAGTCATGTGACCCCTGAGCCAAGGAGATAAGTAACTATACAACCTTTAGAAGACATTTGAAGGCTGCCCTATATAGGGAAGTTTTTTTTAATGTTTAATGTTTTATTATGTTTTTATATATGTTGGAAGCCGCCCAGAGTGGCTGGGGCAACCCAGTCAGATGGGTGGAGAATTATTATTATTATTATTATTATTACTATTATTATTATTGAATAGGACATCCCTATTTTTATCGGAGAAATGTGGAAGGATATGTGCATGTTGTGGCTTAATCTAGGTCAGATCTTTGCTGGAAGGGGGTCTTTATGTCATTGAAATTCTACTCAGTATTGATCCAGAGCAGAATTCCAACGTATAGTTAGCAGAGTAAAACTTAAACACGTTGCAGGATTCCCCAAAAATAGACCAGAGGCTACTGTATTTCATCCAGCAGAGCTTTACTGCTGCTGAAGGCAAATGAGCATAATGGTCACAAATCCAAAACATTCAGGATTGGCACTGTCCATAAGAAATCCAGTTGCAGCAGACTTAACTTAAACTTACAGTAACTTATAATAAGTCTACCTTAAAACTAAGCATACTATGTACAGAGCACCACACCGGAAGGAAAAGAGATAGAAAGGGAAAGGGAAACCCAGGATCCCTCTGGCCTTACTTTTATAGTCAGCATGACCTTGACAGAAACAGATAACAGAACCAGTTTAAGCCAGCTGCACTCAGCTTCTCTGAAGGAAAAACCCAAATACAGTGGTACCTCGTGTTATGGACTTGATCCGTTCCGGAGGCCCATCCGTAATGTGAAAAGCCTGCAACTTGAAGTGCTGCGTCTGTGCAGGCGTGGCGCAATTTGGCGCTTCTGCACATGCGCAAAGCGTGATTTAGTGCGTCTGCCCATGTGCGAGTGGTGAAACCTGGAAGTAACCCATTCCGGTACTTCTGGGTTGCCGTGGGATGCAAGACGAAAACACGCAACCTGAAGCGGACGTAACATGAGCTATGTCTGTATCATGAACCTTCTGCTTGCTTCTTTCACACAGAGAAGCTCCCAGAACCCTCTTGAATTAATTAGAATAGGAAAGATATCTACACATCAGATCAATACTTTCTGTACTAAGAAATGCAAACTGAGATTTAACCCTTGGCCCTGTTGCAGTCCTGATCTGGATTGGCACGTCCCATGCCTGCCTCTTTAAAAAGTCAGTGATTCCATGTCTCGTTTCGCTCAAAAAGTGTCTTTCTGATTTGAAAACGGCCCTCTGCCTTGGCCTGTCCTGCGCGAACAGCTTCCACGTGTGTGCATGCATCATGGAAAGTCCTTGAGCCGCTTTTAATGTCGCTTGTGGAAACGCACCGGATCGTTTGTGTCAAAGCTGTGTGTTTCCTTGAGTGTGCCTCTGCAATGGCTTCCCCCAGGGTCTGTGTGTCTGTCCCTCCCAGGCACTGTTAGGCCTTTCCCTGCCCTTGCTTGCTTCTGTGACATGTAAACTTGTGGTGAAGACAATATGGGATATCTGTTTTCAGCGGAAGGGCCCAATCCTGAAACATAAGAAGTTCATAAGAAACAGGAACAAAGTGCCTCTGAACAGGTGCAGAGTGCATTTGGGCACCACCGAGTAACTGCAGCACTTTGGTTTTCACGTCACATGGTAGGGATTCCAGATAGGCTTGATCTGCAGCACATCCGTCGACCCTTGTAGCTTAAAATACTGCTTGGGTAAATGGGTTGGTTGAAACCAACCACATATACTGAACCAAGCCATTGGTCTATTTACCTGGGGGACCAGTGGACCCTCGGGATGTTGCTGCATTACACCTCCCATCATCTCCTGACCATTGGTTCCCACTGCCTGGGTATTATGGGAGTCAGAGTCCAGCAATATCTGGAGAGCCACAGGCAGGGGTCAGCAAAGTTTTTCAAGCAGGGGGCCGGTCCACTGTCCCTCGGAACTTGTGGGGGGCCGGACTATATATATTTTTTAAAAAATATGCCCCACAAATAACCCAGAGATGCATTTTAAATAAAAGCACACATTCTACGCATGTAAAACACCAGGCAGCCCCCCACAAATAACCCAGAGATGCATTTCAAATAAAAGGACACATTGGGCGATTGGGCCGGATCCGGCCCCCGGGCCTTAGTTTGCATACCCATGGCCACAGGTTTCCCCATCCTTGTCGTAAGAGAACGAATGTGTTTGTGTTGTCTTCCAAATAGCGAGTCTTCAGGATTTAAGCCCCCGCAGCAGTGAGTTCCGCAAATCCGAGGTGTGATCTGGGGGGAGCCTTCAACCTGGTCTTCTCTCTCCCGCTCCTGCAGTATGGGCGCTGCGACAAACGGCTCTTGAACAAGGACCTGGGCATTGACTACGCCAACATAGACTTCACCAAACTATCCACGAAGGACAGCTACACCCTGACGGAGGAGCTGGCTGAGTACGCTGAGATCCGAGTCAAGTGAGCCCTTTCCCCAGCCACCGCGGCAGGCAGCTCCCATGGACCGCCACCCGTTGGAACTATTGTAGTCTAATGAAACGCCTGGCCACGCCTCTCGGCTTGGGCTTCCTAGTCTTGAGAAGACCCTACCAATTGGTTTTGATGTCTTGATGCTCGCTCTTTAAATGCTCATCTGTATCTCCCTGGGTCCCCTTCCTTCCCCTCTCCAGGGTGCAGATTAATCTAATGCAGATTAGTCTGTCCACTAGTTTGTTTGTTTTTAATTCTTTCTTCTTTTTTTGCCACCCAATCAGGGTGGTTACGAAATTGTGGGGTGCGGGGATGACTTTGTTCCACTTTTGCAACGTGCATGGATGGTTTGCGGCGGGCTGGTGGTTCTAATCCAGAACTGGGAAATAATTCTGGGTCAGTTCTTAGATTAACAAATCTGAAATAGCCGAGCGATCTTAGGTATGCACAGATCCAAGAGCGGGGGGGTCACCTTTCTGTATCCCCAGCAAGTGGACCAGATCCCCTCCAGGGGAGCACTTGGGTCTTGGTCTGGCACAACCAGTGCTGATGAACACCTGCTGTGGGTCTGACTCATAGCTCCAAAATGTCCATTTCACATTCCAGATCCCGCTTTTAGAAAGCACTGAGCTCTTAATTAAAAAGAACACGGAAGCGCTTAGAGGCTGCGTCTCACTTAGGACCCCTCCTGACTGATGTTTTCCCTTGGGTTTTTTTGTTTGTTTTTTGTGGGTGTGATTCTGCAACATATCCTTGATGCAATAATAGTGCATTAGTGGCCGTCCACACACCATTCCGCTTTATTGTTCTGCAATGTTTCCCAAATTCCACCGCGTTATTGACACCTGGAGCAGGACACTCTTGCGCTACAGCCCAACAAAAGCAGAACGACATCATGAACAAAGCTCAGGACGGTTGCGGTATAAAAAGTTGCAGCATTTCAACTGGAAGTTACAGGGCATGCACCGCTTGGAAACATAGCAGTGTGTGTCTGCCCCCAAACTTTCGCAGGTGCAAACAGCATTGAAAGCAAGGTTGTGTGTACCATCCTGAGCACAAATCCTCATGAGTACACAACCAAAATGACTTATGGAGGGGCCCTTATGTAAACATGTGCTGGCCAGCAGTTCCTTCCCACCCTTGCAGCCTTGGTTTTTAAAATCCAGGATCAGAAAGAGAGGCAGGGGTCTGTGTTTGACTGCCGTTGACATACTTGGCTAATGCACGTGCAAAACGTTTTCCCCAGTGATGCTTAATGTCCTTTTTGCATATCTCTCATCTGTAAAGCAGAAGGTCAGTTGACGAGAATGTCAACTCTGCTTTTCTGTGCTGCACTAAGGTGCATTCCAAGCATCACTCGCGTCCCTTGTGAAAACACATTACGTTTCACTGATAAGTATGTATGGCTGAATACAGTGCAACAACATCTGCCCAGTTCTGCTGCCATTTGTCTTTGTGGCACTGAAGCTCAGTCTCTGAACTGCAGCCTGCTCAGAAGGCGGATGTACTGGGCAAAAACCTTCTCTCTATAAAACGGTGTCCCGATCTTGAGCATGTTAGCACCAACAATGAGCCGGCTGCCTTTGATTGCATTGGAAGACATGAGAGAAGCATCTTGGACTCTTCAACCCAATCAACAACGCTAGCTGTATATTGCGACCTCCTGATGTTTATGTGACTTCATGTTGAAAACCCTGTTATTTAGCAAATTTTCTTTTGGTTAACAGGAGAAGCAGACATTGTAGTCAGCTGTGTGAGTCAGTTAAAAGAAAGAAACCCCCCCCCAAAAAACCCAGTATGGTAATAATACTGTTATTAAGAATAACCAAAATGCTGCAGGTTCGTCGTGAGCAAGCTTGAGAGCTGTTCAGAGCTCTTCATCAGATTATGAAGAATTTGGGAGGCCTTGAAAGCTTGCTCATAAGTTTGTAATGTTTTGGTTTGTCCTAATGAAACTGTTTCTCAAATGTGGCTTTGGGAGAAATAGAGCCTCTCATAAGCCGGAAGATGAATAAAAATAATTCAGCAAATATTATTTCTTTTTAAAATGCAACTCACAATTTGTGAACTAGTTCTGTAATAGGTGAGGTGCTAATAAGTTATTTTTGAAAGCTTGGGTTTGGCAACTGGGGCCAAATCTGCTTCTGCAGCCCATATCCCTTGCAGAGTTAGGCATGTCTTAGCCCAGGGATGGGGAAGATGTGGCCCAGAGGAAATTTCCGAACTACAGATCCCATTATCCCTTACCCTTGGCCACGTTGGCTGTGGCTGATGGGAGCTGGAGTCTGCCAACATCTGGAGAGGAGAGACAGCTTCCACACCTTGTGTTAACCCATTGAAATCACCTGAAATTCTCGTTTCCACTGAACCTGCTACCTTGATGAATGGCCTAACCTGAACCCTAAGTGTCGTCAAGAACCAAGGGCCTTGGTTTTGAATTGTCCGATAGCTAACCAGTTGCTAACATCACATGCATATCTGTAGCTGTATGAATGGGGGCCTCTTCTTGTGCATACAGCAGCTACAGCAAGTAGGGTTGCTGCCCTGCTCCTGAAGTTTTTCAAGTGATTTCCATCTCCCGTATTCCAAGAAAAGATTCCGCTGCACCTCTTATCACTCCAGGTCCCATCCTATGCAGAAATGTTTAGCTTTAAGATCAAGGCTCTGCCCCCAGTCTCCTTTTTCCAGCATGTTTGTACTGTACAAAAACGTATTGTATTTTGCTGATCAGATTACTATCAAATCACAAAAAAGCTGGGAATTCATGAAACACAGCTAAGGTGGACTCCCTCACCGCCTGTTCCAATGAAATGACTTTCCACCACAGGCAAATTAGTGGGGGGGAAGCTGTGGTTCCTGATTTCTGGTATAATAAGCACCATCCGATACAGGTTGTTTATTAGTGATGGTATTTAAAGCAAAGTCGGTGTAAACCAGAGATACACTCAGATGAAAGAAACTTGTTTTCCTCCTAGCTTTGTAACCCAGCTAATGCTTCCTACCACTTCCCACTCCCCCTAACAGCATTAATCTCTAACCTTCCAGGAACGATTATGGTATGTTCTATTTATTGCAAAGATACTTTTTTTGGGGGGGATACTTTTTATTAGGAAGGGGAGGGTGGGGAGGATATGAAACTGGAATTTAATAACATGTTCTAAAGATGAGCATATACACATTGTGTCAGAAGTAATTTCCGCTGACCTAAACAGGAGTTACTCCCTTGTTACTAGGGTCTAGTAAGTCTGTTTGTAGGACTGCAGCCTACAACATGAAAATATTCCTTATACTGAGTGACACAGTGACCATGTGGCCCTCTAACAAAGCTGTCCAGGATTTCAAATGAGGGATATTCTGAGCCTGGCCTGGAGATGCCAGGATTTGAACCTGGAACCTTCTGCTTGCAAAGCACACCCTTATGTGATCATAAGCAGCAGGCAGGCACACTTTGAGGGGAACGGGGTGTGTGTGTGTGTCCCTTTGCTGAGGAATGAGGAACCAACTCAAATATATATATATATATATATATATATATATATATATATATATAAATTTCAAGTCACCCTTTAGTTATATACTAGTCCACTTTGTCAGTTTCCCATACGAGCAATTTTAGTGTGGTTGTAAATAGGGGTTAGATAGTTAGGTTTAATTTTAAAGGCCACTGTTTGCTCTCTAACTTCATTAAGTACATTCCTCCATATGTGTGTGTTTGTGTGTGTGTGTGTGTGTGCGTGTGAGACTGAGTGAGAAGTACTCTTGTGTTTCGAATGAGTGTCGGGCAGATGTAAATCTCTATCACGATCTCTACGGGCAGTCCAGCCAAGCAAACGAGGAAAGGTCAACCCCACCTATCAGGTTGGCAATATTAATCTTAAGAAAAAAATGCTGGGCTTTTGTACAACTTTGGTCCCACAATACAGCAAGTGTTTAATGACTTTTAACCCATCTGACTTTGTACCCTGAAAGAAATAAAACAGTATTTTACAAAGCCATCTTGTGTCTTGGCTCCTTTAGGTGGCATCTTCGGAAATCACAATCGTTTCTCAGCAGCAAGGGGGCATTAGGAGTGAAATCAGGTGAAACATGGCACAGAGCCCTAGTGTCCATTTGAAAGAGGCACTGCCTTCTTCCTCAGCACAAGATCTTGTTTTTTGGGGAAAAAGAAAAAGAAAAGAAACACCGCTCTTGCAGAAGTTTCCTCTGCTGATCACTGAAATTAAAGTCGGAGCCGCCATATTTATGGCAAAGACACACAGAGCAGTATGTTTCTGCCAAAAATGACAACGCAGTGATGTGTTGGGGAACCTTTCCCCCCATATTCTCTCTGGGTCAATCCCTTGGGAGCCACATGCAAGTGGTGGCCAGAGCTAGAGGCGAAAGCAAGGCAACGAATGTACACTTTGCCTTTGCACAGTTAAAGGTAAAGGGACCCCTGACCATTAGGTCCAGTCGTGGCCGACTCTGGGGTTGCGGCGCTCATCTCGCTTTATTGGCCAAGGGATCCGGCGTACAGCTTCCAGGTCACGTGGCCAGCATGACTAAGCCACTTCTGGCGAACCAGAGCAGCTCACGGAAACACCGTTTACCTTCCCACCAGAGTGCTACCTATTTATCTACTTGCACTTTGTGCTTTCAAACTGCTAGGTTGGCAGGAGCAGGGACCGAGTAACGGAAGCTCACCCCGTTGCAGGGATTCGAACCGCCGACCTTCTGATCAGCAAGTCCTAGGCTCTGTGGTTGAACCCACAGCACCACCCACATTAGGTTAACACTAATTCTAGCCTCAGGATAATGAATGCAGCTTTGAACTGCCACGCACACTGGTTTGATGGAGGTCAACCTGAAGCGAGACCCACCACAGCTCGTTGACAGAGCACATGCTTCTTCCCCTGCAGAAACTCCCAGGTTCAATCCTGGCCACTTTCAGGTAAACCAGATGAAGGGAATCTTCTGCAGACAGAGACAACAAAATCCTGGGAGGTTGTTAAGCAAGAGGTTGGATGGTCAGGGATTCTTCAGCTGTGATACTTGTGTTTGCAGGGGATTGGACAAGATGGTCCTGTCAGGAGTTCACCCTACACTCGAGTAGGCCCCAGGCAGAGACACATGCCCGACTGTCATGTTTTCTCCCTCCTGGTTGATCGTTTGGGAGCTTCATAAGCTTTCTTCAGCCCAAACATGATAGCGACCGATGCCAACCGACACCGGCACCCTTAGGGATCCGTAGAGTTTGTGCAGCATGTGCAGGATAGACCTCAGCAACTCAGCATTTTGGCTAATCTACTTTATTTACATATAAATACACACGGAGCACTGCAACATGGCTCCCTCTCTAGCATCAGACAGCAGAAAAAGACAAAGGAAAATGGTGTCTGGGTGGGTTTTCGCTGAATTGGCAAAAAGTAGCATTTTTATTGGGGCAGCGGGGAGAGAGAGATTCCCCCAAAAAACTCAAGAGTTTTGTCTGGATTTTAACTTATGGGAAAAAGTTAGGTTGGGATGGGGGAAAGAAGAAAGATGAGGAAGCTTTTTCAGCCCGAGGACTGCATTCCCATCTAAATGACCTTCCAGGGGCCGCATGCCATTGATGGGCAGGGCCAGAGGCAAGAGATATGGTATATATTATAAATTTGTACAGAAGGCTAGTTTTTCTTCACACCTGTCTTTTCTCCATCTAAGCAGCCCCATGCAATGCAGATTGCAATAACCTATATATAATTTTATGGGTGACAAAGTCCATACTATATTGGACCACAAACAGCCACAGCTGCTGAACTAACCATAACTGGAAACTGGCACTCCTGACCACCAAGACTACCTGAGCCTCCAGAGATACCATCAGGTCAAGGAGTGCCCCGGAGATTCATACCTGCTTCTTAAGGGAAGTGTGTTGTGGGTTTATATTACATATACATAAACTGATTGAATATGCACAGCTTGCGGACCTAACATATAGAATAAGAGAATAAGAAGAACATACATTTAAAGAAGATTGGAAAATGTTTACTGAATATATAGTGGGAAATCGTGTACACTTGAAAGCACTGGCAGCATTAAGATAAATTCAACGGTGTAAATAAGTTTTGATGGATGTAATAATGGAATACTGAATGATTTAATTTATGTAAAATATGCAGGGATTTATGATATGCAAAATAAACCATAGAAAGAGAAGAAGGGGAGTCATTGATATTTTAAGGATGTTTAAATGAGTATTCTAAATTGTAAAACATAATATATAATATATATACACACACAAACATGCACACACATTTCGAAACGCATGCATAAGTCATAAAAAGGGCTAAGAATAAAGATGCAAAAAATGTACTGTACAAATAGGAATAACAAGACAATCAGACACGGCCTTTCGGGCAGACGCTCAGCCCGCTCACAGCCAACCCGAAACTACAAATCCCAGCAGCCTGTGCGAAAGCGGAGTCTCTCTTTTTCGCGCTCCCCCCCCCCTCCGGCTACACGTCCCAGCAGTTCTTGCGACACGGGACTACATCTCCCGGGGTGCCACGCGAAGGTGGGTGGAGCCCGGGAGGGAAGGCGCTGGAGTTGAAGTTCCGCGCAGGCAGCGGGAAAGAAGAAGCAGCAGCAGCTTCGGCTGCGGGAGAAGTTTCGTCGAGCCGCGGCCGTGGTCGGGATGGAATGGGGCAGCGGGGCGTCGCTGGCGCAGGAGCTCCGGCGCTGGGCGGCCGAGGAGATGCAGCTCCCGCCGGACAGAATCCCCTCCGAGAGTGCGGCCCGCCGGTGGGTGACATTCGGCCCTCTCCTGCCTCAGACCCGCGCCCGCCAGGCGGCTCCCTGGAGTATATTTCAAAAACGCCAGCAAAGCGAGTACCTCTGAGCATGTGCAGAGTTCAGGGCCTTACGCCCTCTGGTGACCCAGTTGCTGGGAATCTGGCGGGCAGGGGGCTGTTGCTTGCAGGTCTTGCTTGCAGGTTTATTTTATTGCATGTAGAATTTGAAAGGACCCTTTTCTTTTGCTCGAACCCACAACCCTGAGTCTTACGCTCCACCGGCTGACCTATCCCACCTTTTCCTCCAAGCTGAAGGTGGCATACGCAGTTTTCCCCCACCCCGCCTCATTTAATCTCCACAACGACCCTGTGAGGTAGGTTAGGCTGAGAGGCAGTGTGTGGCCCAAAGCCAGATTCGGTGGGGATTTGAACCCAGGTCTGAAAGGTCATAGTTCAGTACTCTAACCACTACACCATGCTGGCTCTCTGGTTTCCACAGGCATCTGGTCGGCCACTGTGATAACAGGATGTTATGCTAGGTGGGCCATTGGACTGATCCACCAGGGCTCTTCTCTTAGATTTACAGGACCTTCGTTGGCTTAAGTCTGCCCTCAGCCAGCAGGGAGGAGGATGGGGAGAAAACTAGAATCGACTGAAACAAAATAAAATAAAAAAATTCCTTCCAGTAGCACCTTTAGAGATCAACTAAGTTAGTTATTGGTATGAGCTTTCGTGTCAATAACTAACTTAGTCGGTCACTAAGGTGCTACTGGAAGGATTTTATTTTATTTTATTTATTTTGTTTTGTTTCGACTATGGCAGACCAACACGGCTACCTGCCTGTAACTAGAATCGGCTGAGTCCATCTATCACTGACTCTGCTTCTGCCTGCTGTGGGTCTCCCTATTTTCCATTCTACCCGTCCTAATGGGGCTCTGGCTGCAACGCTTGGGCCTGATGGGTGTTAGAAGGCTGCACCTGTAATGTTTTCTTCCAACAATGTCTGTCTTAGAATTCAAGTCTCTTCTAAGCAGATTAATTCCACATTTCCCCCTGTTTAACCCAGTTGTGTACAGCAGAGATAAAAATTGTCCATCAGAATCTGAAACCTTACATAAAATGCCTGCTCAAACAAAAATACCGTATTTTTCGCTCTATAACACGCACCCAACCATAACACACACGTAGTTTTTAGAGGAGGAAAACAAGGGAAAAAAATATTCTAAATGAAAAAGTGGATGTATGATTTTTGTGGTTCATGCTGTGGCCACAGACATGTGATCTGACAGTGAGTTTGGAGTAGCCCAATGCAAAAATCCTGAGGATCCATGTGGATCCATGCTTTGTAACCACATTTTTGCACCACTGCGGCTCCAGGCAACAGTGGGTGCGTGATTTTTTTGGTGCAAGATGTAGCCATGGACATGCTATGTGATCTGATGGTGAATTTGGGGTGACCCAGTGCAAAAATCCTGAGGATCCATGTGGATCCGTGCTTTGTAACCACGTTTTAAGTGGGGAGGGAAGGAAAAGCACTCAAGGGACAAGGAGCACGCGTGGGGTGTGTGGAGAATGATGCTGCTAATAATGAAGAAGAGGGGTATAAGGGGAGAAGGCTCCTCTCCTCTCCAGCTTTGCTCCTTTAAAGAAGCAGGCTCTCTGTCCCTCTCTCCGCCCCACTCAGCGGCTCTTCTCCCGCTTTGCTGTTTCAAAGCGAGGCACGGAGGAGGGAAGGAAGGGGAACCATGGATCCTCTGCTCACGACTGCAGCAGATCCCCCCCGCCACCCGTAGGCATTTCCCTCCATAACACGCACAGACATTTCCCCTTTCTAGGAGGAAAAAAGTGAGTGTTATGGTGCAAAAAATACGGTAGTCCTTGCCAAGCACTGGACGTTCAGGGGGAGGGGAGAGAGGCCTACTGAAATGGGCCCACAATTCTGAACGTGCAGGTGGGTCTAAGCCATGGGGGATCGCTAACAGCGCTTCCCGCAAAGACCTCCTCGGCCAGGCACCGATATAACGAATTGAGTAGACCTTAAGGGATTCTGGTCCCAAGTTATTAAAGGCTTTGTAAATTAATCCAAGAGCCTAGAACTTTGCCCAGAAGCATATGGGCAGCAGTGGAGTTACATGCTGGTTGCATGTAACAGATTGTATGTTAGTCGCTCTGGAAGCCTTTATGGCTTATGAGTGGGACATAAATGCTTTCCTTCCTTTCCCCTACTCTCTAGGATGTGCTCAGGTCAGTGTGCTGAGATCTGGAAATTCGTCATCCAGCATGTTCGCCACCAAAGGTAAGAAGCTAAATGGTTGTGTTCAGGAGAAGCACTGAGAGGCTGGCGAGTTAGAATTTGGCTTTTTGTTTTCCCCACAGTGGGGAGCTGGTAGATGTCGGCTGGACTTCATGCTGGCTTCGGCCGGTGGGAATTGGAGTCCAGCACACAACTTGGAGGGCCACAGGCTCCCCGTCTCTCAGGTGAAGCTGTCCACATTCAGCAGTTCTTTGGCCAGAGGAATTTTGCTACTCCTGGGATCCTGTTTGCGTTCATGGGACGTCTTGGGAAGCAGATGGGCTGAAACAGCCAGCTTTTGTTATTGGCTCTGTTCTCATGCCTTTAGTGCTAGGCTGAGATACTTAGAATTATGGAGTTGGAAGGGACACTGAGGGTCATCTAGTCCAACCCCCTGCAATGCAGGAATCTCAGCTAAAGTAGCCATGACATATGGCCATCCAGCCTCTGCTTAGAAACCTCCAAGGAAGGAGAGTCCACAACCTCCCAAGGGAGTCTGTTCCACTGTCAAACAGCTCTTGCTGTCAGAAAATTATTCCTGATGTTTAGTCAGAATCTCCCTTCTTGTAACCTGAAGCCAGTGGCGCAAGTCCTACCCTCCAGAGCAAAAGAAAGCAAGCTTGCTCCATCTTCCATGTGACAGCCCTTAAGATATTGAAGATGGCTATCATATCTCCTCTCAGTCTCCTCTTTACATGCTAAACATACTCAATTCCTTCAATCATTCCTCATAAGGTTTGGTTTCCAGACCCTTGGTCACCTTCCTCTGCACATGTTCCACTTTGAAATTGGGGTGACAGTATTTTTTGGCACAGAGATCAAGTAGTGGGGGATACAATGCACTTCATTGACTTGATTTTTCTCTTTGTTGATACTGTAGGACCGTAAAGAAGATCCGGGGCAATTTGCTATGGTATCCTTTTTGTGGGCATTTTCCTTCAGCGTGCCACACCTTCTTCTGCTAAGAGTTATCCCTCCTCTTTTTTTCACCCTTTGCAACAGTGGTGTGGCAAGCAAAGTTCAGCAGTGGGCAAGTTCCTTTGCCGTTGTGCTGTAGCTCAGTGGTAGAGCATCTGCTTTGCATGCAGAAAGTCCCAGGTTCAATTCCTGGCATCTCCAGGTCGGGCTGGGAGAGGACCCTGCCAGAAACCCTGGAGAGCTGCTGCCAGTCAGAGTAGACAGTTCTGAGCTAGATAGCCCTGTGGGCTGACTTGGTGTAAGGCAACTTTCTGTGTTCCTCCCCTTTATCTGCTTCTCCATGCAGGAGGAAGCAGCACCGGTTGGATTTCTGCAGTGTATTTCCTTTTTATAATCTGCCATTCCTCCAAGTGGATGCACAGTTCTTTCCGCCACTCCCTTCTTATCCCACCAATCCTATGAGGGAGACTAGGCAGACTTCTGCCTGTGTTTGTTGTCATTTTGGCACCAGGATAGGACTTTTATACTTTCCCAAACCTTTGCATTTTTAAGTGTTGGGGTTTTTTTGCCTTCTGCCTATACCTTCAGTAGCCTGACATCCAAAAATTCAGCAGGTGAAGCTTTGCCCACTATTTCTTTCATGCCAGGGATGTATTACCTGCTTAATTTGTATGCCTGGCTGTGGTTAAAAGAACAGCAGCAGAGGCACTCTTCCCCACTCCCCCAAAAAAGAGGCAGCCCTACTCTAGAGGGCTGTAGAACAACCTTTCTGTAGAACAACCTTTGTGCCACTGCCTTCTTCATCAGTATTACTCCAAATGATGAACTTTTTCCTGTTTTCTGACTTCTGTCAAAACACATTGCTTACAACTGCACCACAGTTTACTGTGTTATAAACAAGCCTAGCCTCTTGCTGAGCTCCCACGCTCCCCCCTTCTGCTGCCTTGCCACATCCATGAAAAGGGCTTTGGTGTTTCATGAATCGCAGCTTGGCATCTCATCCAGACCCAGCAAACTATGGTTGATCTTAACATACAATTTGTTTGAAAGACATCAAACCATGGTTTACAAAGCTGGCATTTTCAACACACCATTGTTAAGATCAACCACAGCTTAGGATGTTGATGTAACCACTGAATTGTGATTATTCATCAGAATCAGAAGCTTCCAGACTTTTTAAAAAAATGGCTATTTACCTCAAGGGATGGAAGTGGGAGCACACCTGCAGCAGAGAAAACTGGGTTCTGTGCTTGTTGGCTTCTTATGACTTCTGGACGTAGTTGTTGTAGCGACTAAAGAAAAATGGGAAACTGTTGGTTTTCTTAACCCGAACCTTTCATGTAGGTATCGGCAGATGGAGGAGACTGAGGTGAGAGATCAATATACTGGGAGGGATTTGGGTGTTGCTGTTTCTCCGTGTGGCTTGGGCTTTGTAATCTGTGGGGAGGGGGCTGCCTTTAGGATGGGGAGGGGGAGAACTTGGAGATAGAGGCCACATTCAAACCCTACGTTTGTGGGATAGTGGGGCAGGGAGGAGGGTTGCCTTATGTCTATGAGTATTTTGGGCAAATGAGGTGTGAGTGAGCTTAAATGTGCCACGGCAGAGTTCCACCCTGGCAGGGCTGGTGTTTTTCTCCCCAGGGCAAGCCCAGCAGTTCAGAATCAGAGAAGGAGCGCCGTAAGCAGCTGGTCCAAGACATCTCCCGTCTGCGGGGGGAGCTGCAGCAGCTGGACTTGCAGATTGAATCAGCACAGCATGAACTCGTGGCAGATGGTGAGAGGGAAGACGTTGGCTCAATGGTCATAAGGACTAGAACCTTGAGTTGTTTTAAAACATAAAGAAGGCCAAAACTAATGCCTATTCAAGCACTTGTGCAGAGATCCCAAAGTTGCGAGGGGGTACCCACACAGCCCAATTTGTGATGCGCCCTTGCTCTCGTCTGGTCTCTCAGAGGTCGCCCTGGAGACGGCGCAGGAGGAGATCTGGGATGCCAAGCGCCGCAGCTTGCTGCTCAAGGCGTACTCTGCCCGGGTCACAGCAGAGCGTCAGCAACTGCAAGCGAGAGCGGCAAAAGTCGGAGGCCGTCTGGAGCAGCTGCAAGAGATGGAGAGGTAGAGTCCCCCATTTCCAGTCTCTTGGATAGGCAGGGCACATTTGTCCAGAATAGGGAACCAAGAGCCGAATGTGGCCCTCCCTGCCCTTGGAACTCTTGTGAGGCCATGCCCCCTCTCCAGGCCACACCCCTCACCTGCCCCGGCTTTGCCCCCTCCTTGATTGCTTTTGCCTGGATGGAACTCTGATGACACCTCTCCCTTGTCCGGGTGGCGGATGAACAGTCGCTTTGTATGTGCATTAGTTGCTTTGCCCACAATGGGCATGCAGGGAATGTTTGAGAGGTCTGCCCAGGCGCTGGAAGGGGTTCTCTCCGTTCTCATTTGTTCTCTGTAGGAAGGCCAGGACAGCGGTGGTGTTCAGCAAGAAAGCCACGGAGCCTGGATTCCCCAGCATGGAGCCGGAGGTTTTGGTGAGGACTGGTGGCTTGCTTGCAGGGAAGAGGGCAGAGTAGCTTCTTGCAAAGGTATATTTACTTGAGATCAGGGAAATCAGGATTTCCAAGTACTTATTTACTTTGTAGTACTGGCTTAAGGACAGCTCTTTCTGCTCAAAGTGTACGTACCAATGTCTGGTTACTTATTGGCCGAAACCTTGATTCTGAAATCATAATCTTTTAATTTCTGGCGCTTATATCCCAACTTTTTTCCCTCTCCAAGGAGCTCAAGGCGGCATACATGGTTCTCTCCCTCATTTAATCCCCACAACGACCCTGCGAGGTAGGCTAGGCTGAGAGGCAGTGACTGCCCCCAAAGTCATCCTGTTCTCACAGCGGCCAACCGGATGCCTATGGGAAGCCTGCAAACAGGACCTGAACCCAACAGCACTCTTCCCTCCTGTGGTTTCCAGCATCTTGTGTTCAGAAACGTGTTGCTTCTGACAGTGAAAGTAGCCATCGGGGTTTGGAGCCAGTGTTTTCCTTCTCCAGGAATTTGTCTAATTCTCTGTTAAAGACACACGCGTTGGTGGCCCTCATTGCATCTTGTGGGAATGAGTTCCATAGTTTTAACTATGTGTGAAGATGTTATTTCTGTCCTGAATCTTCCAATATTCTAGCATTGGCTCTAGTGTTTGTGCACGAGTTCTAGCACGTGCCAAGGTTCTGCGGTATGAGACCAGACACAGTTTTCGGGGCACGTAATTTAGTAGATTTGGAGGGCTGTTTTGGGTGTATGCACTGTGGAAGCTCAGTCAAGCGGTTAAACTCACTGCAGAAAACAGGCACTTAGCAGAGTTGTCATTTTACTAGGCCAACACCAACATGCACTTCACATACATACACTATTTATAGATGTTACAAGTTATCTCCTCTCTCTGAGCCCAGAGAGGGCTGTTTCCTTCAAAGTCCATGCTTGCGTTAATGTCCACAGCCAAGTCCTTGGTTCAGTTGCTTGCAGAGTCCTTCAACTTAACGAGTTCTCTGAAGTCTGCCGATTTTCCAACTTCTTCCTCAGATGATCTCTTCAAAAAATATTCACTCAAACCCACAGTTTCATTATATAACCTTCAACAAGTCCTGCAATCCCCTATCACACCAACCCACACAGCATGCTGTAACCTGAGTTTTTATACGCAAAGTTTCTCCCAAATCTGCCCCATAGCACAGATAAAAGAGTTAGCCTGCCAGTGCATTGTGGGGATTGAACCATCGTCTCTGCTGACTCATGGAGAATTAACCTGTTAACTGCATTTTTTAATAGACTGGAGGTAGGTGTATTTGGGGGGAGAAAACCTTAGCTGAGGTCTGTCCCTTGTTTCTCTCCAGCGAGATGTCCAGGAGGCCTGCCAGCTGCGCTTCCACTTCCTGAAGACCCTCTTTGAGCGCAGCGTATCAGGGCATTTTCCGTAAGAGCCTATCTTCCACCCCTTTCCCACTTCCCTTACATTTGTCCCATGTTTTGTATACTTTTCTCCCATTAGCCTTGCATTGTAGACCTCTCCCTTGCTCCATGAGTGCCCAGCTTCCGGATTTCACATTGGGTATCTAGAAAATGAGTCACAGTCTCTTTGGACGGCCCAACATAGCGCTGGCTAACCGAACTGGGACTCTGAGGTCTCTGCTGCAGTGCTAATCCTCCAATTTTTTAGATGGGGGGGGGTTGCTTTAGTGGGACTTTGCCTGCTTCTGCCAGATGTTGGACTACATGACATTTAAGGTTACCTCTGTCTCGTATGATTCTATGAGATGTGATGGGCTGAGCCTGGGATCTTCTAGAAGGAAAGCAGTTCATAATTTTATTCCCCCCATGAAATTCCTGCACTGGCTCCCCATCTGCTTCCAGGCTTGGTCCAGTGCCATGGTGTTCCCTTTATAAAGCCCTTGCAGCTAAAGACCCTCTCCCCAATTCTACACCCACACAGTTTGTCCTTTCCAAACACCTTAGGTCTTCAAACCGTTTGGGAGTGCCCTTTCCCTTTTGGTATCCTTCCCCTTTGAAAAGCATCCTGGTCATTCTTACCTGTCCTTTTCTCCCTGCCTCCCTGAGCCGGTTTGGGGGAACCTGTGGCCCTCCAGAGATGTTGCTGGATTATGCATGCTGGGGCTGATGGGAGTTGTAGTTCAGCCACATATGGAGGGCCACAGGTTCCCTATGCCTGCCCTTGAATTTCTAACACTCTCTCTTTTTTTCCTTTGGTGTCTCTCAGCAGCGGGATGAATGAGGAGCAGCTGAACCCTTCCTACCAGCACTGGCTGAGCATCGTGGAGGTAGGACCACACATTGCAGAGCAGCGACAAGGAAGCCTGTTGCTGTGCTTGGACAGCCTGCTCTATGACTGCCTGTGAGCAGTCTCCTCTCTCTCTCTCTATCTCTCTGAGGTCATCCTCACTACCTTTCCCTGTCTCCCCACAGAAAGTAGCTGGCTCTCACCCTCCAGCCCACATCCTTTCAGCCCTGGAGCACCTTGCCCTGCAGAACACACAGCAGCTGCAGGAGCTCACCACCAGCATCAACATTCCTAGGGATGTGGAAGCCCTCAAGTAGGTCCTGTCCTGGGGGAGAGGGGTGGCGGCGTTGGGTCTCCTGGGCTAATGACGCCACCCAGCACCCCCGGGCAACCTCTGGAGAGGTCCGGAGGGTGGCAGCATGAGAACGGGACTTTTCTGCAGTGGCTCTCTATTGGTAGAATGCTCTCCCCAGGGAGGCTCCCCTGGTGCCTTCATTTAGGTGCCAGGCAAAAATGTTCCTCTTCAATCAGACAGCCACAGATTGACAGCCAGTGCCGTGGAAGGCGGGATTATTGGGTTGTCTTTGTTTTTGTTTTCATTATGTATTTTCTGCTTTTTTATATTGTGATGTTTATTTCATGAACTGCCCTGAGACCTGGGGCGTATAGGGCAGTATGCAAATTTAATTAATTACTAAATAATAATAGTAATGAGGCACGGCCAGGGAAGGTTGTGACCTAGGGAGAGGAGGCATGGACTGGGGAGAAGGTCTGAGGTTCTTCACTGGCTCCCGTTTCAATTACCCGCAATGTCTCTCTGTGGAGCAGAACTGTGGGGAACTTAACCTGGCTGGCCCCGAACCAGCTATTTTTTACAGAAGCATCACGGTTCTTTGGCACCAGTAAGCCCATCAAGGCTCAGGGGAAGTGGTGGGGGTGGAGGGAAACGCACAATGTCCAGCAATCGCTCAAAGTCAGAGGCTTCCCCTCGGTATCTCATGAGGCACTTCGGGGTCTACAGTTCTCTCCTTTCTGCCCCATGCTCAGGTTTCGCTATGATAATGCCCACCTGGAGGATGTCTCGGAGCCAATGAATGACCTGCCCTCTGTCCGGACCCTCATCCAGGTGACGGCCCTTGGCGCTCCCTTGTGGCTGAATGTATAGCTATGGTTCACACATGGTCTGTTTTATCTCTCGTGAATAGGGCTGTCAAACACCTACCTTGTCTGAGTTTCTGAATGAGTGCCATTTCCAATGCAGCTTTTGCTTCGGCCAGTTCATACATTCAGTTCTTCACTGCTTGAAAGTGCTTGTGCTGCTATATTCACTGTTGTGTGAATTCTGAGAGAGCTAACTAAAGACACCGGTTATCTGAAAACTTGTTTCCTTGGAAGTGTATAATTGATCTCTCCAAATTATTTTGGGCAGCAGGATTTAAGGCGGATCTGGTGATAAGGACATTGGAAGCTATGTTTCTGAGCATTATTCAAAGAGCTGGTCCTGACTTTTAAAGCCCTAAATGGCCTTGGCCCTGTATACCTGAAGGAGCGTCTCCACCCACATTGTTCAGCTTGGACGCTGAGGTCTAGCTCCAAGGGCCTTCTGGTGCTTCCCTCACTATGAGAAATGATGTTAGAGGGAACCAGGCAGAGGGCCTTCTCGGTAGTGGCACCCACCCTGTGGAACGCCCTCCCATCTGATGTCAAGGAAATAAACAACTCTCTGACTTTAAGAAGACATCTGAAAGACAACCCTGTATAGGGCAGTTTTTAATGTGTGATGTCTTACTGTGTTTTAATTTGTTGGAAGCCGCCCAGAGTGGTTGGGGCAATCCCGGTAGGTGGGTGGCATATAAATAAATTATTATTATTATTTATTAGCTGCCTTCTACTGAGTCAGACTTTGGTCCCTCGAGTTCAGTTCCGTCTGCACTCGATCGGCAGCAGCTCTCCAGGCTTCCAGACAGGGGCTTTTCCCTGCCTTGCCTGGAGATGTCAGGGATTGAACCTGGGACTTCCTGTGTACGAAGCAGATGCTCTGCCACTGAGCCAAACCTTCCCCAGCTTTGTCAGCACTGTCATTTTCCATAGGGGTTGGGTGCCAAAGAAAAGGGGGAGCTCATAGTCTTTGCTTTCCTTCTTCCTGGTTTGACATCAACTGATAGGAAGTGCCTACAGAGGGTGGTGAATACAGCACAAGATATTATGGGCTGTCCCGTGAATCCGCTGGAGGAAATAGCGGAAGAAGGTTGCCTCAGGAGAGTGAGGAAAATCCTCAGGGATGATTCACACCCTGACCAGCACTTTCTTGATCTCCTGCCCTTGGGCAGAAGATATAGAAGCATGCTTAGTCGCATCAACAGGGTAAAGAACAGCTTCTATCCGTGGGCTGTGAGGCTGCTGAATGAAAAGATAACAACAGGGCAACTGACTTTCGGGTTTGGTGGGTGTGCGTCAGTAAACGAGGGGAATTAAGACTAAGAGAGCTGAGTGGGGGGTGCTCGTGTAATCTCACTGTATACAAATTGTACATGTGACAATAAAGTATGTCAATTTCAATTCCTCTCCAGGAGGGCTGGAGCAAGTGCGAGATGCTTTGTGTGGAGCAGATCCCTTTAAACGCCCAGGAGAGGAGCCTCTTGGCTCGGCTGGAAGCTGTCGTCAAGGAGATGCATAGCCTGCTGTCTGATGACTCGGAGCGCTCTATCCTGGCCAGGTGAGAAGACGGATCTTGCAGTTGCGGTTCCTTCAGGGGAGACCATGAGCAGCAATGGAGCCGTGCATCTCACTTTTAAAAACAAAACTCTAAGCCAGTGTTTCCCAAAGTGGGCGATACCAGCCCCTGGGGAGGGGGCAGTATGCTGGAACGACCCAGGGGGGCAGTAGTAGTCTTGGGTGCAATTGGGGGGTGTTGAATAAAAATAAGGGCAGTGGAAGCAAACGGGGAAACACCCATAAATAAAATAAGTGCACTGTGTGAACAGACACGTGTCAGGGATTCTCTTCCCCCTTTTTTTCATGCCTCCCATCCCAGAGCTGCGTTTGAGCTGGAGCTTCGGGCCGTGCGGTTGAGGGGATACAGAGACGGACTTCTGCAGGGCTGCCGGGAGCTGGAAGAGGCAGTGAGGACCCGGCACGAGGAACTGCAGGCTGTGCAAGCTAAACGCCAGAGCATCCTGGACTTCCGCCACCTGGTGGTGAGTGTGTGGAAGGGAGGATAAATATTCGAGGGGGAAAGAGTTGTGTGGGTCTCGGGATCATAGGTGTGTGGAGTTGGAAGGGGACCTCCAGGGTCATCTAGTCCCACCCCCCGCCATGCAGGAATCTCTTGCCCAACGTGGGGCTTGAACCCACGACCCTGAGATGAACAGCCGGCATTCTCTACCAACTGAGCTATCCGAGCAATAGATCTAGAGAATCTGAGGCGTAGGGTCAAAAGCCTTGAGACAATACTGATTAGAAGCCATTTTGGCATGTAAGCAGGATGTGAATGAATAATAATAATTTATTATTTATACCCCCGCCCATCTGGCTGGGCTTCCCCAGCCACTCTGGGTGGCTTTCAGCAAAATATTAAAATACAGTAATGCATCAAACATTAAAAGCTTCCCTAAACAGGGCTGATTATACAGAAGGATGTCAACTTCCGCCCCCTGTCCCCCCGCATAAATATAATGGACTGCAATACCCATCATCCCTGGCCACAGGCCATGTTGATTGGCTGGTGGGGCCTCTGGCAACATCTGGCAGGTGCTGTATTGGTGGAGGTTGTTAAAAGCCCCCCCTTTCCCTTTTCAGAGTGCCCTGTGAAGTGGAATGGTTTGTTTAAACCACTCTGGGAATTTTAGCTCTGCGGGGGTCTCCTGACAACTCCCAGCACCCTTAACAAACTTCAGCTTCCAGAATGCTTTGGGGGAAGCTGTGACTGAAGTGGTGCCATACTGCTTTTACTGGATGATGTGAATGTGGCCGTGTGTGTGTGTGTGTGCGTGTGTGCGTGTGGTGTGCCTCTGCCATTAGGAGAGGCTTTGGGGGAAGGGGGTGCCTTGTGCAGTCTTTTGAAAAGTAGCTCCTTAATCTCCCTTCTCTGCCTCCTTCCTACAGAATGAGAAACAGCAGCACATCCGGGCGCTCATCAAGGGAACGTCGTATCTTAAATCACAGCTTCGCAAGGACCAGGCAGAGGCAAGATCTGAGGCTCCCTTTCACCTCCACACAAATATATTTATGGCAATGTGCCAGAATCTGTTGCTTAGAAGTTGGGAGATGAAGTCTGGCTATGTAAAAAGGAGGGCATGCTAGATGTTGGGGTCAGGCTAAGGGGCAGCAGCAGATTCTGAGAGGACCAGTGTGGACTACCAGCTCCCATCAGCCCCTTGCAACATCCCCATTGGTCAAGGCTAATGGGATTTGTAGCCCAACCTGGTGCCCTCCATTAAATTATCTTAGAATTGTAGACTGAAAGGGTCATCTAGTCGCTAGGTTTCCCCATACCTAATGCACCATCTGCTTAAAGCCAGACTGGTCATGCTACAAAATTCATATGCTGGACCTAAGAATCTGCCTTATGCTAGGTTGGTCTATTTGCCCACCCAGCCCAGGATTATCTCGTCTGACTGGCACCTGCGGTTCTCCAGGATCTCGGGCAGAGGTGGGTCTTTCCCATTAGCTGTTTCCTGGCCTGTTTAACCGACGAGCACTAGGAAAGGCATGGCATAAGAGGAAGATGAATTTGGAGGGAGGAGGAAATCTGCCAACAGCAATGCAAGTTCTTAGTTGAATGCTGGTCTTCTAATGGCCAGCTAGGATACAAGAGCTCGGGGAAGAGGCACCAAAAGTTGCTGTTCTCTCAGCTGCACTGACAGAGTGGCCCTACACCCCACCTATTCCCTCCTCCTGCAGCCTGATGTAACGACTGCTGCCGGGTGACCATTGATAGAGGATGGAGCACGGCTTCTTAGCAGCAAGGATCGTGGCATTTAATAATAATAATAATTTTATTATTTATACTCCACCCACCTGGCTACGTTTCCCCAGCTACTCTGGGCGGCTTACAGCACATAAAAAATTGTAAAACATTAGATATTAAAAACTTCCCTAAACAGGGCTGCCTTCAGATGTCTTCTAAAAGTCAGATAGTTGTTTATTTCCCTGATATATGATGGGAAGGCATTCCACAGGGCGGGCGCCACTAGCAAGAAAGCCCTCTGCCTGGTTCCCTGTAACCTCACTGCTCACAGTGAGGGAACCACCAGAAGGCCCTCGGAGCTGGACCTCAGTATCCAGGCTGAATGATGGGGTGGAGATGCTCCTTCAGGTATACTGGACCGAGGCTGTTTAGGGCTTTCAAGGTCAGCACCAACACTTTCTTTTTAAAAAAATAATTTTTATTAACAGGCCAATCAAATCACATTATTTCCAAATCACATTAGTTCCAAATTATACAGCCAGATTTTTAAATTTTGTTGGGGGTCCCCATACTTCAAGCTCCGAACGGGGGTCCAAGCATCACTTATATTGCTGCTTTAATTAGACAGTTCTATCCAGTTCTGTCCAGATAGTCTCTTTATTACTTTCTTCATTTTCTTGTTGTTATCATATATTCCTTTCTTGGCGATCTCTGATAATCTTCACAAGCGGGTTGGAAACAAACATCCTCTGTGTGGGTTTTAGACTCTCCCAAAAATCATATCACGTAGGGACAGACGCCATTCCACACTTCCGTAAAGAATTTATCCTCGGTCTGTCCTTTAATTTTCCCAGGCTTGCCAAGTATATCACAAAGGGCTCTGCCAGGTTTAGATCACATTCCAATCGTCATTCATATTCCGATGATCCTGGTCCTCCGCCCCCCGTCTTTCTTAGACAAGCCTGTCTTAGCGAGACGCCATTTAAAACTACGTCATAAAAACTTTCCTATGTTCTCCAATGTTTACCAATCCTCTCTTTGATCAATAATTCACTCCACACAGTTCTTGAATTCCTGCTTGTGATTAATAAAATGCAACGATCTTCTTTCTGGGGTGGAGGGTTATTAATACTCACATAAGGCAAAGAAAAGAAAAGTTTTTTCCTCCACCCCCCCCTTCCATTTCACTCCAAACATACCAGTCTCTTAATGGTGATTCATCACTTGATTTATTTGTCCCGTCCGTCGCTCTGGTCACAGAGATCCATTAATCAGCAGTCTTATCTCCCGAACTTCGCTTGATGTATGTGCTTTAGCTTCTTTCCAATTATATGTTTCCAATTATATTTTCGAGCTAAAGCGAACCAGGGCGCTGATTGGAGACAGCGTCAGGAAGAGCAGACTTCACAGAGGGCTTGTGCCAAGTGACCGGGCACCCCCTTCTTTCGAATCCAGTGGTGCATTATGGACACCGCTGGCAAGGCAGTCCCCCCCATCTCCTTGGGGGGGTGGGAAGGCTGCATACTTCCCATAGCAGCCTCTTAATTACCTCGTGTGGATCGGAGAGATGTTATTGTTGGCCATCTTCCAATGCGCCACCTGGTGGCCCCCCAGCACCAACACTTTCAATTGTGATCGGAAACGTACTGGGAGCCAATGTAGGTCTTTCAGGACCATTGTTATATGGTCTTGGTGGCCATTCCCAGTCACCAGTCTAGCTGCCGCATTCTGAATTAGTTGTAGTTTCCGGGTCACCTTCAAACGTTGCAGTAGTCCAAGTGGGAGATAACCAGAACATGCACCACTCTGGCGAGACAGTCTCAGCCTGATTACCTGATGGAGCTGGTAGACAGCTGCCCTGGACATAGAATTGACCTGCGCCTCCATGGACAGCTGTGAGTCCAAAATGACTCTCAGGCTGTGCAGCTGGTCCTTCAGGGGCACAGTTACCCCATTCAGGACCAGGGAGTCTTCCACACCTGCTCGCCCCCTGTCTCCCCAAAAACAGTACTTCTGTCTTGTCAGGATTCAACCTCAATCCGTTAGCTGCCATCCATCCTCCAACCTCCTCCAGACATACTGCCGCTAGAGTTGTTCCTGACCCAAGTGGGGCTCTGCAACGTTGAGGACTAGAAACTTTCAAAATAAATCTTATAAAAAGTGCAGCGAGGAGACCTGGGATTCCGTGTTCTGCACCTGGGAGCAGAGGTACTGTGGTTACGTGGCAGCTTTGTGACCATGCTGGTTTTTCTTTTATGTCTCTCCATCAGATCCAAGACTTCATAGAAAAGAAGCTGCTGCCTCAAGAGCAATTGGTGAAGGGAGCAGCAGAGCAACTGGAGGATAGGGTGGACCGCGAGGTTCGACAGTTTGGGACCATCGCTCTGCCTTGCCTGCTGCGCCGCGATCTCCCTGCGTGAGTCCTCCTGCTCCCCTCCCTATGGATGAGCAACGCTGTGGGCTCTAGAAACAGGAGACCCCCACATTGGGCAGCAAGATACCTACTTCTAAGTTTTTTAACAGAGCAAAGTCACACTTGGCCGTGTCTCCTGAAATCGTTGAGGCTGGAGAACTGGCTGCAAGTAAGAGTAGGCCTCCTTGATCCTGGTGTTCCCCAGATGCCCTTGAACTGCAACTGACCATGGGCCATGCTAGAGTTGAGACAGCAGGGTGGGCAAGGCTGCTAAAGACTTTTGCTGGTTGGAGGCGGATGGTTAATTGGTCCTGGCTCCTCCTGCGATGATCAAAGCCGGAATAATGTACTTGAAACAAGTACAAATAGTTAAAGTGTATTCAAATGAGATTGATGTGGGTTCCGAGTCTTGTCCTTCTCTGATGCATAATCTGGAGGGTGGTTAATTTATATTTTAAGCCTGACGGTGCTTAGAGCTGTGTGTATCGCATGGCCCCATCTGCACTACACATTTGAAGCAGTATCATGCCACTTTAAATTGCCATGCCTTCCTCCAGAGAATCCTAGGAACTGTGAAGGGTGCCAATAGTTTCTTGGGAGTCCCTTATTCCCCTGCCAGAGGTATAATTCCCAGAGTGGTTTAACAATCGGGGAACTCTGGGTATCGTAGCTCTGTGTGGGGCACAGGGCTCTCCTAACAACTCTTGCTGGCCTTTACATTTCCCAGGATTCTTTGGGGGAAGCCGTAAAGGATTCAAAGTGGTATGATACTGCTTTAAATGTATAGCGCGGACTGGGCCCATGTTCGTACCTCAAGCAAGCACACAAATGTGTGTGCGTTGGGATCAGAATGCATCCTCCATTTTTGATTTGAAGACAAGGGGTGGAGAGGAAATTGTGAGCCCTTCTTTCTGACACACACACTCACCCAAAAATATTCCAGGTCTCAGCGAATCCCCGCCCATGAGCTTTCTATCCACCGCCTGAGCCGAACAGCGCCAGCCGTGTACCAGCCCTTCCTCAATGTGTGCCAGGGAGTTGCCTTCCCTCTCTACAAGGTGAGTGCCTCTCTGCTGCGGGCTTGGTTTACATCTAGGTGGGGTGTGGGGAGGAAGCTAACTGGGTTGGATCACTTGAAATAACTCCCCCAATAGCCCAGTGGTAGAGCCCATGCAGGAAGTCCTGAGTTCACCTTTTTGTTTATAGCAGGACAGCAGGCACTCACCTGTGACACTCCAGCTTTTGCTAGACTGCTACTCCCATCATCCCCAGCCACCATGGCCCAGAGGTCAGGGATGGTGGGAGCTGTAGTCCAGTAGTGTCTGGAGGGCCTCAGGTTAGCCATCTCTGTGTTAAAAGGATCAGGAAACAGGCGGTGGGAGCAATGCCAGGAGTCATACTGGGCTTCATGGACAAATAGCCTGGCCTGGTGCAAGGTGGCTTCCCCATGTTCCTGGGATCCCACACAGCCTTTTTTGCAGGTTCCTTTTCTAGCAAGAAAAAATGTGTTCTAGCGGCTTTGCATATTATGCAGAAGCCGACACAATTGCCATGGCCTGTCTGTGAAAGCAGAGAGCTCTGGGCGACTCCAGTTCCGTGAAGTGTGCATTTGTATTCTGTATGCACCTTTAGGTATGCCCTAGTTTATAGAACAGGACAGGATTTTGTTGGATTAGTCTGTCTCTGGGGCTGGGCGATAACTGGTTTTCAACATCGTGACAGATCACCTGCTAAACATCGCGATATGCCACAATGTCTGAATTAATGTAGAGGCATTGTCTGGCTTCACAGTTTCTCCCCACATTGCGTGTGCGTTATGCAAAAATCACATCATGGTTTGCAATATATTGCCAGGTCAAAAATTGTGAAACTGATATCATACCGGTTTTGACTTCAAACTGGTTTTGGGCAATATATTAATATATCGCCCAGCCATATCCATCACCCGTATCAAGAGAACAAAATGCAGTTCATTGCCACATCAAACAAAACGTCTGTTTCTTGGGTGAAATAGCTGGAAATTAAACATGGAGCTTTATTTTTAATAGGGCTGCTGCTTGTCAAAATGACTCGGTACCCTTAACTCCGAACCTTTACCAGTGGTCTAAAATCCGCCCTAGATAACTTTTTCTAAAATGGGAGGCCTTCCTGTTTTGCTCTCCAGCATCTTGTTTTGATGTCTACTGTGCCCTGTGCTCCATCATTCCTCTCTTTCTCCAGGCCCCGGAGGAGCTGCTCGTGCACACCACAGAGCTGAAGAAGATGCTCATTCTCCTGCGTGCCCAACTTGGCTCAAAGCAGAGGGCACTGGGAAGCCTGCAGCGCCAGCTGGATAACTCCCCGGAGCCAGATGCGCAGGGTGAGTCGGCCTTAGCGTGGCACCTCTTGGAGAAGGGAGCCGTGGCTTGTGGGTGAAGCATCTGCTTCCCATGTAAAGGTCCCAGCTTCAGTCACCAGCATCTTCAGTTAGGGCTGGGAATGTCCACTTCCTGAAAGAGCCCCTGCCAAGTCAGTGCAAAACCAGGCAAGGGTGTATGTGGTTTTTTCCCCTACAGCCAGAGGGCCACATTCCTTTCTAGGCAAGCTTTTGAAGGCCATGTGCCAGTTGTGGGTGGGGCCAGAAGCACAAGTGGGCAGAGCAACAGGTAATAATAATAATAAAAATTTGTTTGTACCCCGCCCATCTGGCTGGGTTTCCCCAGCCATTCTGGGCAGCTTCCAACAAAGATGAAAAATACATTAAAATACATCCTTTGTACAATAGGCTGGTTTCTACACACACACACACACACACTCACTCACTCTCGCTCCCTCTGTACAGTGGTACCTCAGGTTAAGTACTTAATTTGTTCCGGAGGTCCGTTCTTAACCTGAAACTGTTCTTAACCTGAAGCACCACTTTAGCTAATGGGGCCTCCTGCTGCCGCCGCACCACCAGAGCACGATTTCTGGTCTCATCCTGAAGCAAAGTTCTTAACCTGAGGTAATATTTCTGGGTAAGCAGAGGCTGTAACCTGAAGCGTATGTAACCTGAAGCGTATGTAACCCGAGGTACCACTGTATTCTCCATTCAAGCAAGAGGCATTATCGGAGTTCCTGCCAAGCCAAAACACTGGAATAGGCCTAGTTTCCTCACCTGTGGCCCTCCACCAGTGGCTCAACCAATACCCAGCAATGTTCTTTCTCAGAAACACTGGAAAATACCTTATATGCCAGTGGTTTTCAACCAGCGTGCCGTGGCACACCAAGGTGCTGCAAGCAACAGGGGCTACTTCCGTAGCTGCCCGGAGGACTCTCAAGGAGAGGAGAGGGGAGGCAGAGGGAACACTCCACAAGGGAGGGGTTTCAAAAAGAGGTGAGGGGCTACAGGCTCTGCAGACAAGGGGTGACATAGCTGGACTTCTGAGGCTCAGAGCATGTTTCCCCACAGAGAAGCAGCAGGAAGAATGTGGCTGGTCAAGGGAGCCATGGACTCAAAAAGGTTGAAAACCTCTGTCTTATGCTAACTCCAGGAATACACTTCCTTCCATTCTGTGTTAGGCTTCATTGGTGCAAGCAGGGAGTTGCTACTACCATACTACTTCAAAAATGCATTTTTCGTTTCCGTTTTTGCGTATGATGTGGACTAACCCCGAGGCGACCCACAAGTTGAGGGAGGTAAAAAACCTCCGTACATAGTTGCTGCTTGATACTCAGTGAGTTCTTCCCAAATCTCCCTCCCCCCCAAGCTCTCGTGCGGGAGGTGCAGAGCCACGATGAGGAGCAGGTCCGTGAGCTGCTGCCCCGGATCCAGCACATGACGGATCAGTGCCGGTGTCGTATTGAGCGTTGGCAGGAGGTACAGGCTGTTGTGGATGCCTGGTAAGTGGAGGGAGGTTGGCAAGCCATTGTGGGATATATTCCTGAGCCTAGTCCCTTCCGGATGCAGTTGGGACCACAACTCCCATCATCCCTGGCTGTTGCCCATGCTGCTTGGGGCTGATGGGAGTTGGTGGATTAGGGCAGCCTTACTCAAACATGGGCCCCATCATCCGTGAGGAATAATGTGTGGGTAGTGGGCAATAGGGACATGGTGGCGCTGTGGGTTAAACCACAGAGCCTAGGACTTGCTGATTAGAAGGTCAGTGGGTCGAATCCCTGTGACGGGGTGAGCTCCCGTTGCTTGGTACCTGCTCCTGCCAACCTAGCGGTTCGAAAGTACGTCAAAGTGCAAGTAGATAAATAGGTACCGCTTCAGCGGGAAGGTAAATGGTGTTTCCGTGCGCTGCTCTGGTTTGCCAGAAGCGGCTTAGTAATGCTGGCCACATGACCCGGAAGCTGTACACCGGCTCCCTTGGCCAATAAAGCGAGATGAGCACCACAACCCCAGAGTCGGTCACAACTGGACCTAATGGTCAGGGGTCCCTTTACCTTACTGGGCAATAGATATAGGACACAATATAGAATTTAACCTCTGGTAAAAACTCTGGAAAAGTGATTTGAAGTTCACAGCATGTTATTCTTTGAAGGAGAACTACTTGACAATGATTTACAGATGGTATTTAACTCCGAGTAGGCTTGCTAAGATGTATAAAGTGCTGGAGATGCAAAGAAAACGAGCGAGGCCCCAACCAAAGAAGAATGGCAACTCAAGTTGACAGAATATTCGCAGCTTGCAGACTTAACATATAGAATAAGAGAACAAGAACATACGTTTAGAGAAGATTGGAAAATGTTTATTGAATATGTTTAGATGGATGTAATAATGGAATACTGAATAGTATAGCTTTTGTAAAATGGTATAGCTTTTGTAAAATGTGCAGGGATTTAGGATATGTAAAATGAACCATGGAAAAACAAGGGAAGCCATTAATATTTTAAGGATGTAAAAATGAGTGCTTTAAATTGTAAAACAGAAATATATATATACAGTGGTACCTCAGGTTAAGAACTTAATTCGTTCTGGAGGTCCGTTCTTAACCTGAAGCACCACTTGAGCTAACGGGGCCTCCCGCTGCCGCCGTGCGATTTCTGTTCTCATCCTGAAGCAAAGTTCTTAACCCAAGGTACTATTTCTGGGTTAGCGGAGTCTGTAACCTGAAGCGTCTGTAACCCGAGGTACCACTATATATGGAATAATGTGTGGATGGTCCAGTATCCACCCCAATGCAATGGCATGTTGTGGGATGCACCTGCAAAATAAACCCCACAGTCTGGAGGAGCCCTAGTTGACAGGGATTTCTGCCTTCACCCTTAAAAAAGAGAAAGAAATTGGTGCACAGGACCCATCAGCTCTGAGATTCTTGGGGAGGTTTTTGGAGGGGGATGAGGTGGGGGGAGTCCTTCAAAAACTAGCCCAGCTGCCACTCTGAAACACCCTCTCTGTTTTCCCTCTTCCAGGTGGGAGCAACCTGCGCAGTTTGTACTCCCCACTGAGCGCCGCCTTGGCTTCACCCTGCAGCAGTGGCTGGAGCGCTGGACCCTGGCTTCCAGAGCTCTGCAACAGAAGCAGCAGCAGCAACACCAGCAGCAGAGCTGGGTCTGAGACCAGGGTGGGAGAGTGCTGGGCATTTGTGTCAAAATGGCACACACACACACATGCCACTTGCTGGAATATAGGTATCTAAGCCTAGCTGCACTCATTACCGAAGGGGCACGGCATAGGTCAGGCTGCTATGGGGAGGAACCTAAGAGCTGTCTGTCTCTCTGTCTCTGTCTCTGTCTCTCTCTCTCTCTCTCTCTCTCTCTCTCTCACACACACACACACACACACACACACACACACACACACCAGCATCCTTTCTTGCTGTAAGTTACGATTTGATAAGTAGAATGTGCCTTCGTATTTTCTAATTCTTTGGAATAAATCTTACTGCATCAAAACGCGCCTTCATATTTTCCAGTTATTTGGACTGAATCAAAATGCCATGAAATCTCAGTCAGGGGTGGTACTTGCTCTCATCCTTCTGTGGCCTGGCTCAGCCATTTCTAACTTCTGCAATACGTGCTGCTGCCCTGCGATTTTGGCAGCAGTTCCTCACTTGTACACCTGGCAGGATCCTTCATTGGTTTGTTGCTCCTCCCCAAGAAAGCAGGGTTTCATCTAAGGCTGGGGATAGGGGGTCTGTGGCCTTGCAGATGTTGGGACTCAGACTCCCGTCAGCCCCAGGCAGGGATAGTGGGAGTTGTTGTCTAGAAACAACTTGTGGGCCACTGGTCCACCCCCACCTGAAGTAAGGCTAAGGTTTGTGGTGCTCCACAGGCCAGGTGGACATTCAGAAAACAGAAGTTCTACCATCTCACAGCAAAAAGGGAAACCACCTTGGAACATCTGCAAAGCAAATTGGCTGCCTTTTTAAAGGCAGCATGGTTTGGCACTAAAAAGGGTTTGTGTTGCTTAACCTACCAGTAGTCTCTTGATTCCTTTATTAACAGCACCAGACCACAAGACGCACCTAGTTTTTGGAGGAGGAAAACAAGAAAAAAAATATTCTGAATCTCAGAAGCCAGAACAGGAAGAGGGATCGCTGCGCAGTGAAAGCAGCAATCCCTCTTGCTGTTCTGGCTTCTGGGATAGCTGCGCAGCCTGCATTCGCTCCATAAGACGCACACACATTTCCCCTTACTTTTTAGGAGGGAAAAAGTGAGTCTTATAGAGCAAAAAATACGGTAATTTATGTCATCAAAGATGGCTCTGGGTCTGTCTTGAATTGCAGTGCAGGTGAAAGGATATCTTCACCATTTCCCGGACATATAAACCTGCTCTGGTGTTTGTGGTGACGACTTGGAAAAATCTTACCTCTCTGTATCCTAAGAAGCAGGTTCTGCAACGAGTTATTCTGAAAGTTTGCCATCTTCCACTGCAGGCAGGCAAATGCACATACATACATTTGCGCTCTGTCTTTCCCACTGAAAAAAAGGCTATGGTACCCCACAAAACAAGTGGACATTCAGAAGACATGTGGATGTTTGCTACGAATTAGAGAAATTATTCTAATGCTGTATATGTCTATTCAGAACTAGTTCCTGTTTTTAGTTCGTTGGACCTTACTCCCTGGTAAGTAAGAGTAGGAAACTGACCAATTAGACTTGTCAATTGCACTGTAATCCTGTGCATGTTAAATGACTAAACACGATGGGGAACTGTAACCGTACTTAGATTCATGGTGCATGGTTTTTTGAAAAGCTGCTAAAATTTTGCTGCTTACTTTCAGCCATGGCCCCTGCGGCCAACAGAGCTGAGAGATATTTTTCACCCACCTAAAAATTACGCTTTGGGTTTATTTGTTTGTTTTATTTTCATACTACTACGGTACATGGTGCTTTACAAATTCTGGAAGGATGGTTCCTCTGCCCCAAGTGGCTTACAGTCTAGCCACTGACCCAAGGGAGGGAGGCAAAGAAAATTCTCTGCATATTCTGAATACTGTATGTATAATTGCTAAAATATTCAGCAAATGAGGCATGGGGATGACGGAGGAGTGGAGGAGAGAGACACCAAGGAATTACATACTCTTCCCACCCTGCACTATTTTGTTCCAACTAAATGCCCAGGTATTTTCTGCTTCTGACTGAATCTGCATCTTTGCTTTGTTGTTCCCTGCTCCATGAGTGGGGAGCAAAAAGTGTAAACTATCACTTTGTCAAATAGTGAAACCTGCTTCAATGGACATACCTTTGGCAAACAGACTCTGGCCAGCCTGCAAACAGCAGCAGCAAAAAATGTCCTATTTGCAGAAGCACCAACCTTGTGCCAGCCTTGCTGTCCACTTAGCTCTTAAGCAAAGTCTTAAAGGAGCTGGCAATGTCCCCACTAGCACCTTGCTCCTTGTTTTCTTCCTGGTGTTGGTGGAGGGTAGGCCCAGGGGCTTGATGCTGACAACAATACTACGCCTTTCTAGCTGTGCAATTTCTCAGCTAGTTCACCCATCGGGCCCTGGATGTCACAGACGAAACGGTACACGTAGCGCTGTCCGCTGGTCTTGTGAATGATGTTCTTGTGATAGTAGTAGCGCAAGCCGCGGCTGAGTTTCTCATAGGTCATGCGGGGTTTGTTCTTCCTCTTGCCCCAGCGCCTCGCCACCTGCCCATAGTTGAGAAAGAAGAATGGGATGGAAGGTAGCCCCCAAGCACTGCGTAAGCATAACGATCACAAGAGCCAGAGACCTGTTGCAGCTGCGCGTGTTGTGCTACAGCAGCCTTGACCAGCCTGGAACCTTCTAGCTGTTTTGGATACAATTCCATCAACTCTCCAGCCAGCACATAGTCTGTGTAGCTGGAGGGCACCAGGTTGGCAAAGGCTGCCTAGTGAGCTGCTGGCATCTACTTTCCGTACAGCTGACAACAGCTGGAGACCCACAGATTGCTCCCCTGTGGTGTAGCGAGGTGGGGGCATAGCCATTTTCTCTTGTTCGAGGGTAGGACTCGAACCAATGGCTTCAAGTTATTAGGAAGGAGATTTTGACTAGACATCAGGAAGAACTTTCTGACAGCAAGAGCTGTTCAACCGTGGAACGGTCTCCCTCGGGAGGTGGGGGGCTCTCCTTCCTTGAAGGCTTGTAAGCAGAGTTTGGGGGGCCACCTGTCCTGAATGCTTTAGCTGAAATTCCTGCATTGCAAGGGGTTGGACTGGATGACCCTTGGGGTCCCTTCTATGAATCCTATCTCCCATTCCTGTACAATACACAGGTTTTCAAACTGAGGTTGATCCTGTTCACACATTATGATTCTTAGGCATACATCTAAGACCCCCATTTGCACCGCAAAGGTCTTTTCTCCATGCCCCTCTGGTCCCCTGTATTGATGGGTAGGGTTGTACCTAAGGGTTAGTGAGGTTGGCCCCCACCAAGGGGGTGTAAAAATCATACCACTCTGGCTCGGATCCTGCCAACCCATCCACATGCTCTCCTTGCCAAGGGTTCAAGGGAGCCTTGGCACACCTCTGTTGATGGGAAGGGCATGGAAGGAGTTTTCCCACTTGTGGGTTAAGTGCCACTCCTTCCATTTGCATACGAGCCTCACCTCATGGGGGTCGCAGAGTTTGAACTCCCAGTCGTTCCCCGTCCAACGGATGAAGGCCTGGCAGGAGCCATCTTGGAGCAGCTCCAATAGGAAACGCCATAGCTGGATGGGACCGGAACCTGTCCAAGAAAGAAAAGCAAGGAGTGTTGGTGGTATGCAGGGCTTAAACAGAGCCAGTGGTGTAGCGTGGGTTGCCCCGAGGCAAGGCAAGTATAGCACCCCCTAACCTGTGGTTCCTGTCAGGGCTGGGCGGTGGTGATTTTGGTGGGGAAGGGTCTTCCCAGCAGGGAGAGGGATGTTGGGGAGGGGACAGCAGTGGCAGCTGTTGTTGTTGTTAATTATTATTTATGTCATGAAATTTTTACACCGCTTGATTGTTTTAAACCAGCAGCGGCCTGGTTGCTGTCTACTTGTGCCTGCTGGTGTCCCACTGTTGGACCCCGATTTACACAGTGTTTTTCTGGGAATCGTTGGAAGTGGTTTACAAGATTAAATCAAAGCTACAGGCAGAACAATAAAACAGCCATTAAAAGCTGTTGCTGGAACCACACAGGTAGCAGCACATCAAGCCGAATAAATTGAAGGGAGCAGATTTAAATCTGCTGATTCCTCCCCCCCCCCCAGGTTTTAGAGCCATGCACTAAAAAATCCTTCAGCAGCGCAGCAACCTTTTGAAGACCTCTGCAAGCCAAAAGAGGAGAACCTTGACTGTGGGTAGGCAACCTAAGGCCCGGCGGCCGGATCCGGCCCAATTGCCTTCTAAATCCGGCCTCGGACGGTCCAGGAATCAGCATGTTTTTACATGAGTAGAATGTGTGCTTTTATTAAAAATGCATCTCTGGGTTATTTATGGGGCATAGGAATTTGTTCATTTCCCCTCCCAAAATATAGTCCAGCCCCCCACAGGGTCTGAGGGACAGTGGACCAGCCCCATGCCAAAAAAGTTTGCTGACCCCTGACCTTGACAGACTTTTCCAATAGTTTGAAAGCTATGGAACAGCCTCCAAAAAGGCCCTGTCTCTGGTTTCTAGTATTGATGGGAAGGGCAGAAATCTTTCCAAACTCTTACCTGTCCGTTCCCTATGGGACAAGTTGGTGACATGGGCCTCTGCCCAGTCCCTTGACTCCTTTTTCCTCTGGGTTCTGACCGGAGGGCCACACTGACATGAATCGCATTCCAAGGGGATCGGTTGGCTGAAGACAGCTGGGCCAGATGTCTTTCTCCAATCACGGGATGTCACAACCCCCAATAAATCTTGTTCTAGAGGGGAAATTATGGAAGAAGAGGACTGTGAGGGTAGACTGGAAAGCATGTGGAAGATGCCTGATAAGGTCATAGAGGTTTGTGAAGGGCTCAACATGGGTTAGGGCATCTGTGCATCTCATGGATGTAGCCAAGGGGAGAAGGCAGGCAGGAAGCTGCCCCCCTAAATCATTAAAAATCAATACAAATCTGAGGTTCTGCCCCCCCAACAAAAGCCTGCCCCCACCACCACCACAACAAAAATCCTGGCTACAGTCATTGTGTATCTACCTTTGGTCCTCCTCTGATTTAGGAATGGGCCATAGCATCTGCTTTGCACGTAGAAGGTCCCAGGTTTACATCTCCAGTTAAATGGATCAGGTAGCAGGGAAGGCATCTACCTGAGATTCTGTGGGAACACTTCCAAATGAGAGTAATTTTGGGCTAGGTGCAGCGTGAACCACATCGAACTAGAGAAGCAGCGTGGTTGTATCCAGCTTAGTTCTATTCAAAGCAGACACGTCAAAATGAATGGAAACTAAATCACATCCATTCATTTCAATGGGTTCTCTTCTGAGTAGGACTAGCCTTGGCTACAACGGCTACCATGTGTTCTCCTTCCGCTATCAAAATACTGCATATCAGTGGTTGCTGGGAATCAGAGGAAAGGAGAGAGCTTTGCGCTCAGATCTTGCTTTCCAGCTTCCCATCAGCATCTGCTTGGCCATTGTGAAAACAGGATCCTGGATTGGATGAGCCAGATCCAGCAGGTCTTCTTTCATTCTTACATTGACGCAGACAGTGCAAACTGTTTAATGAGGCTGCAAGATGCTGCTTTCCATCCTCCAGAATCCTCTGCTTCCACACTTCTTTCAGAACATACAGACTAGAATTGCCTTGCAGGATCAGACCAAACATCTTCCATCTAGTTCAGGATCCCACAATGGCCAGCCAGGTGGGTTTCTGGGATGCCCAGTATCAGTGCATGAAGCCAACAGCCGAACATGCCTACCTGGTTCTTGCTGTTCCAGCTGACCTCCGAGCAGAGGCTGAGATGAGGGCCGTTGCTCTTCAGGGCAGCAGCGGCACAGAGGAGAAGACAAGGCCTGAGGCGCAGGGCTAACATACGGGGAGCCTTGCAGACTCGTGGGGCTGCTGTCCTGATAGGCAAGCTTAGAATCTGAAGGCGATTGAAGGAGAAAGAAACATCAACAGGAGGGGCAACCACTTTCTGACCACCTCACACCAAGGAGCTCTGGCCCTCCAGGTGTGGCCTCCCATTACTGTTGGCCACTGGCCGGAGTGGATGGGAGTTGCAGGCCAATATCCTCTGAAGGATCCCCATTCCTGTTTTGCACCTACAGCCAGGATCTGGGACAATGTGAAGCAAACATCCCCATAGCATGCAGAGAAAAACTAACTCCATATACAGTGGTACCTCGGGTTAAGTACTTAATTCGTTCCGGAGGTCCGTTCTTAACCTGAAACTGTTCTTAACCTGAGGTACCACTTTAGCTAATGGGGCCTCCTGCTGCCGCCATGCAGCCACTGCACAATTTCTGTTTTCATCCTGAGGTAAAGTTCTTAACCAGAGGTTAGGGGAGTCTGTAACCTGAAGTGTTTGTAACCTGAAGTACCGCTGTACAACATACCTGGAAGCATAAAACAAGCTCCCTTGTTGTATGTACCATGATTTCAGGACTCTGGAAATTTGCCAGGTTCCCTCTTTGTTTGCCCATCTGCCAGCAGATGCCAACGTCTTTTTTAAAAAATAATTTCAAGCCAGCTTTTGAACAGTAATTGCCATCTTACAATCTTCTGAACTCTTAAAGCCTTTGCCTCTTGTTGACTAAACGTCTGGTCACTGTTGTAATTAATGGGTGACTCTTATGGCACCGATATTGTTTTATGTGTATGTATGTGTTTATTACAGTAAGATGCTTTGATTATTTTGTAATGTATAGAAATGAAACATTTGCCCATCTGGTCTGAACCCAAAACCACGGAGGCGGAAATGACCCGAGGCAGAGATAGCTGATGTGGGGTCTGCCAGATATCCCTGGACCAACTCCCAACACCCCTAACCATTGGTCAGTGTTTGCTGGTGCTGATGGGAGTTGTAGTTCAACAACATCTGGAGGGCATCTGGCTCTCCCTTCTCGGATGTGTCCCAAACTTCCTAAAACTGCCTACAGAGCCATCTCTTTCCTCTTGCCTATAACCAGTGGCAGAGCTTCATGCTCCAGCACCGGGGGGGGGGGGGCGAAGAGCAGGCGGGGGGGTGCCACCTGCAGGGTGTGTTGCATGTCCTGGGGGCATGGCGCGTAGCCTGCGGGGGCATGGTGGCCAGCACGGGTGGGGGGCAGCCACGATGGCACCCCACCGGGATGGCGCTGCCGGGGGCGGTGTGTTCCCCCTGCCCCCCTCTTCCTCTGCCAGTTCCTATAACTTACCTCTTTCATACAGTGCACTGTAATCCAGGCAGGTAGAGGAGACCTGTGTCAATTCCATTACCGTATTTGTGTACTCAGGGAAGCCTAGAAAAGAAATGGGATAAATATTAGACTTGTTAGTTGCTTGCTGCTGCCCAAAGGGTCTCCAAGCAACTTACAACATGTGGGCTCCATCCGCAATACACATTTGCAGCGGTATCATACCACTCTGAACAGACATGGTGTCCGACCAATAATTCTGGAAATTGTCATTTGGATGCTGAGAGTTGTTAGGCGACCCCTATTCCCTTCACAGAGCTACAGTATCCAGAGTTCTCTAGAAAGAGGGATGGGTTGTTAAACCACACTGGAAATTGTACCTCTGTAAGAGGAACAGAGGGTCTTCTAAGAACTCTCAGCCTCTGTAACAAACTACAGTTCCAAGGATTCTTCAGGGGAAGCCATGCCATTATTATTATTATTATTATTATTATTATTATTATTATTATTTCTATTATTTGTACCCCACCCACCTGACTGGGATGCCGCAGTCACTCTGGGCGACTTCCAACATATATTTTAAAATGTTTATGTGGTATGATACTGCTTTAAATCTATAGTACAGATGAGGCTTTGGGATCCATCAACATCTGGAAGGTCACAGATTCCCACGACTTTCCAGTGTGGCTGATGCTAAGGTCGGGATACTTTAGTGATCACACCCAGGGATATCATTTACCTTTCAAGCCCGGTGTGTGATGGAACGGCATTTCCTTCTCAAACCCTTCAAGCTCAGCTAGGTAGCTCCCACCAGTCCAACTTGGTGGCGGCTGATTCACCTCATTTTCTGGCAAAAACCAGGAATCTACAGCACTGAAGTCTTCCTCTTGGAAAACCTTCTGGTAATCTTCCATGAAATCTTGATGCAGGGGAGAAATAAAGAGAAAGAAGTAAGGGCATCAGACTTTCATTTGAAAACACTTTCTTTCGTAGGGCAAGGACGAGGAGATTGAGACCCTCCCGGTATTCCTGGCCTACAATTCCTATCACCCCTCAGCCATTGGCTGTGCCAGAAAGGGTTGATGGGAGTTGGAGTCCAAAAACATCTGGAGGGCCGCAGGATAAACAGCAGTCGGGGCTGAATACGGCTGCACGAAATGGTACAAGAGTTAAAGCTGGCTTGAAAGAAATGGTGTCTACATTCATCCCAAGGCTACCCCTTAACGCCAGTGTACTGGAAGAAGCAAAGATCACCAGTGCCAAAGCAATGATTCTTCAACATCAACTTCATTGGACTGGTCATGTTGTGTGGATGCCTGATTACCGTCTTCCAAAGCAACTACTCTATTCCGAACTTAAAAATGGAAAGCGTAATGCTGGTGGTCAACAAAAGAGGTTCAAAGACACTCTCAAGGCAAATCTAAAAAAATGTAGTACAAACACCAACAACTGAGAAACACTGGCCTGCGAGCGCTCCAGTTGGAGAACAGCCTTTACCAAAGGGGTCATGGGCTTTGAAGATGCTCGAACTCAGGACCAATAGGAGAAACGCACTAAGAGGAAGGCACGCTTGGCAAACCATCACCATGATCAACTCCCGCCCGGAAACAAACGTCCCCACTGTGGAAGGACATGTGGATCCAGAATTGGCCTCCTCAGGGACTTACGGATTCATTGTTAAAACCATGTTTATGGAAGACACTCTTACTCAGCTACGAGTGATCACCGAAGAAGAAGAAGAAGAAGAAGAAGAAGACCCCTAACCACACAGGCTTTGCAGATCATTTGCAAGCTTCTATGATGAGAGGCAACAAAAAGACAAAGGAAGCCAACCAGAGTTGCTGGAGCAACTCAGTCTGATGGGCAGGGTATAAATAATAAATTTATTTTTATTTTATTTTATTTTTATTTTTATTATCTGCAATATACTAGGCTTGTCTGTTCTGACTGGCAGTAGCTCTTTAGGATTTCAGCCAGAAGTTCTTTCCATCATTTGTGAATTCATCCTTTTGAACTGAAGGTGGCAGGGCTTGAACCCAAGACCTTCTGCAAGCAAAGCATCTGATCTATCACTGAGCTATACATCTCTCCCAGAAATTTCTTAAGATAAAGCCTCCTGCTTTCCCCCTGGCATTGGTGCCTAGAACTGGCAACTGTTTGCTCCACATGCAGTGGCTCTGAGTGATCACCCAGCCAGATGGGAACAATGAGTGTACACAAGTGTGTATACCCTGTCACAGGAAGTGAAACCACTTTCAAACTACTCGCTACCACCTCAGAAAATAATGATAATCCCTGGCTCTGCTTTAACATCTTGTCCTCTGAACGCCTCCATTTGCATTATACAAAGAAGCACCGTTTTAGGATTCTCGTTACGTTGTGCCCTGTGATTTCCTGAATGACACCCAATACTGTGTTCCCAATACTGTACATTTAATCTCAGTGAATGACTAGTACATGTTAATAATGCCCACTTAAATTCTTCTACATCTCCATTTATATTAACTTTATAATTTTGTCTAAATTTATAAGGGATAAGATGCCACTGATATATAGTTCTGCAGACATTTTCTTTAAGGTTCAAAACTTCCTAGCAAAAATGTTAAAGAATCAGTTGCATTCTTCTTCTGCTAAAGACACACACACACACTCTTGAAAACTGCTCAGAAGTCATTATGGCATGTAAGTGGTATATTAATTTATTATTATTATTTCTGCTACCACTAATACCTACCCTAGGTAGCATTGTCTGTAACTTTCAACGCTCAGTTCCAACCATTTTGATAATTCATGGCTTGATTGCCAGTGTTGCTTCAATTTTGCATCTTACATTTTTTTTTTAAAAAAAAGTTTATTTGTGTTAGTTTTGCATTAAATTTTGCATTTCAAAAAATCTGAGGGGCTACTGCCGTTGACTTAGAGCATTTTCTTAAGTGATGCTGAAGAGACACGGAATGTGTCGTTGTCGTCATCATCATTATTATTTATCTGTATTATTTATCTGTATGCCACTCTTCATCTGCAGAGCTCAGGGTGGTTCACAGCATGAAAATACAAGATAAAAACCCAAAACAAAGACAAACCAAACCAATAGCCCCACCCCTACCCACAAACACATTTAAAAAGGCTATAGCGTCATGAATTCGATTAATGCAGGACAGAAAGCAAATGGCTCTATATATTTTAACCAGTGCATACTTTACAGCGGGGAAAGGAGCCTGCAGCCTTCCAGCTGTTGCTGGACTCCAATTCCCATCAGCCCCAGCCAGGATGGCCAAAGGTCGGGGATGATGGGAGTTGCAGTACGACGACAACTGGAAGAGCAAGGGTTGCCCACGGGAAAGGGCAACAGCTCTGCGAAAAAGCATCTGCGTTGCATGCAGAAGGTGGCTGGTAGGTTGGGCTGGGAAGGTCCCTTGGCTGAAACCCTGCAGGGCTGCTACCAGTCAGTGTAGACAATACTGATCTAGGTGAAAGATGTTGCATATTTAGCAGGTTAATTGCGCTGCAGAAAGCGTGCTGGGGAGACCACACATTCAGGAAACAATGAAGAAATGCAAAAATATCTTTTGCTTGGCTTTAATTACAAAAACATAAACTCCTCTCGCGTTAACTCTATAAGTATGACCCATCCATCGACGCATTCACCAGGGGACTGAGAGAGGTACACGCTGCTCTTTATATACTACAGTGGTACCTCGGGTTAAGTACTTAATTCGTTCCGCAGGTCTGTTCTCAACCTGAAACTGTTCTTAACCTGAAGCACCACTTTAGCTAATGGGGCCTCCCGCTGCGACCGCGCTGCCGGAGCATGATTTCTGTTCTCATCCTGAAGCAAAGTTCTTAACTCGAGGTATTATTTCTGCGTTAGCAGAGTCTGTAACCTGAAGCGTATGTAACCCGAGGTACCACTGTATACCCAATTGCTGACACAGCTTAATTAACACAACTTAACAGCACCTGCTATACTGCTTCACAACTGTAAAACTAGGTGATGATATTTACTCTGGCCTTTAAAGACATACACATCTTGTGAAACAATAATGAACCTTAATATTTAAATAAACCATTCAACAGGCCAGTGGTCTGACTCAATATAAGGCATTCGTCCTTTACTTTGGCATGCCATAGGTGGGAACAGTAGGAATCACTAAAACGAAAAAAGCTGTTCATTTATTCATTTGAGTCATTCTTTTAAAATAAAGCACTACAAAGCAACACCCAGCAGCACAATCCTACACACAGGCACTGAGAAGGAAGTCCTACACTTGCTGGTATGGGGCTGCAGCCGACATGGTTAAGGGCTGAGTGTGGGAGAATTAAAAGGGAGAAGCTCTTACCCAGCTGTTCCACCTCTGCTCCAGTCGGGACCATTTGCAAGGGGGGCTCCATCCAGCATTGGCGCCAAGGATCCATGTCTGCAATCTATTTAGATCGATTTAGATCTGAATTGAGCAGAATTTTTTATTTTTTTAAGGAAAGAAGTATCAAAAGTAGGCAAAAGTAAGGCAGATATAATAATAAACAGTTGAAAAACAATAGCAAAAAAAAAAGTTCATATTCTAACACTCGCAATCAGATTGCAGTATGATTTTTGCTTTCCTTCTTATTTGTTAATATCTGGACTTGCCGTCATAGAATTTCAGAGTTGGAAGGGACCACAAGAGTCATCTAGTCTAACCTGCTGCTCTGTAGGAATCTTTTTTGCCCAATGTGGGGCTCAAACCCACAACCCTGAGATTAGGAGCCTTGTGCTTTAAGGTTAAAGTACGGCAGATGTGCTACACTGAGCCAAACCACTGATCCATCTTAGCCCACTAAGCGGCAGTGGCCCTCCCTGATCTGGTCAGCAGTGGGTTTCCCAGAGACATGAGGGTCTCTTAACTGCAAATGCCAATTACATTGAACCTGAAACCTGTAGTACGAATGTGCATTGAGCTGCTGCCTCTCTTTCCCTGCTCACAGGCATCACCTCAGCATTAGTTAGGAATCTGTCTTGTACTGAGTCTGACTGTTGGTCCATTTAGCTCAGCATCCTCCAGGGATGCTGCTGGACTCCAACTCCCATGATCCGCAGCCAGTCAGGGACAATGCAAGTGAGAGTCCAGCATCACCTGGAAGGTCAGAGGTTCCTGGTCCAGCAGCAGCTCTCCAGGGTTTCAGCCAAGAACCTTCCCATCCGTTGCTGGAGATGCTGGGGATCAGCAGGACCTTCTGCACATAGAGCATGTGCTTCTTGCCACTGGGCTATGCAGGCTACTCACCTCTTTGCTGCGTTCTAGGATAGCTGACCCAGTACCGCCTGGTGGCGTCTTCCTCTTCTTTTCCTTGGACAATGAAACTGGCAAAGGGAGGGTGTGCGTACCTACACAGACCTCTGAGCGGTGGGATCCTGCACCATGCCTTAGGGGGGGGGAATGCTGCTGGGTGCTTTTCCTTGGCCAGGAAATTCAGAGGCTGCTACTGCTGCCCTTTCTCCCTCTCTCTATTAATATCCCCCTACCCTTCCAGTTCCTCTGCCCAGCCATTGGCTGGTTTAGCCAGTTTCGTGACTTTTTTCTAAGTTTATGGGGAGGGGGAGATAGGCGTCTATGTCGTCACAGCCAGTGTGTGTGTGTGTTTGTGTCTGCGTATCACGACTCTGCAGCCCCAGATCAGAAGGCCAGGTGGTCGGATTTCAGAGCTGGGGGGAGGGAGGGGGGAATCGTGAGAGGAAGCAGGACGGGTGTGTTTATCTCTAGGGACCACGGTGCAGCCAGCAGAATCTCCTTGTCAGGCTGTATAAGTAGCCCTAATAAATCTCGAAATGAGACACCGCAGCTTCCTCTGAGGCCTGTCCTGGGCTGAGAACTATGAGGCTGAGCTCCTCTACCAATTTACCTGGAAATAAGCTAAGGAGGACTTGTTCCTGAACGCCTAGGATTGCACCATTAAGAAACAACTTTTCCCAGGCTCTAACCAGGCCATCTAAGGTCAGCACCGCCAGAGTGCCACTATTTCGTGGGAGAGATTCTATCACATATTGATCATTTACGTTTGCACAATTGCAATGATGGGGCTGGCGCTGAGCATAAAAGCTGTCGTTTAAAACAGCCTTTGCAAATCCTCAGATATACAGTGGTACCTCGGGTTACATACGCTTCAGGTTACATACGCTTCAGGTTACATACTCTGCTAACCCAGAAATAGTGCTTCAGGTTAAGAACTTTGCTTCAGGATAAGAACAGAAATCGTGCTCCGGCGGCACGGCAGCAGCAGGAGGCCCCATTAGCTAAAGTGGTGCTTCAGGTTAAGAACAGTTTCAGGTTAAGAACAGACCTCCAGAACGAATTAAGTACTTAACCTGAGGTACCACTGTATTCACATGTTGCAATCTACACATGCTCTGATTGGAAATTTCAACAAAGAAGCATCTTATTTTTTATTTTTTGGGGGGGGAGTTCACAATCTGTGTGAAATGCGTTTATTGCTATAGTTTAACAACTCTGTATTGATCCTTACAGTGTAAGGGAATCAGCAGCCATTGCTTGACCGGTCGTGATGGAAAATCTTTGTGACCCCAGGAGGCTATGGGGTGGAGTGAAGGGAGGACAGACGATTTCATGGTTCCTTTCATGGCAGCTGATAAAAATCACTCGTGCTGCCCTGCCTCACAAAAAGGAACACAAAACGAAAGGCTGGGCATGTCTGCTCAGAAGCAGATCCCACAGAGGTTAGTGGGACTTGCTCCCAGGTAAGTGGGTAAAAGACTGGAGCCAAGTCAAACACACACACACACATTTTATTTCTAAGGTGGAAAATAGGTGTGTTAAATTGGTTTGTGAATTGGGATTGCTTTATAGTAGGGGTGGCTAACCGGGGTCCCCACACATTGTGACATGTTCATACGCTCAGGACACATACAAGCACACAGGCTCCCTCCCCATCCCACAGGGGGGTTACAACAATATGAAAATACAATATTAAAACCATTTGGAAAGCAAACAAGAGAATAGAGTGTACGTTTAACAATGTACATATAATAACGTGCCCTGTTTTGCTGCTTTTATTCCTCCTTTAAAATATTTACTTATTGTTAAATTTAGATCCCGCCTGTTCTGCCAAAGGAGCCCAGGGCGGCAAAGAGCAAATGATAAAACAATAAAAAATAATTTAAAAAAATAATTGAAATAAAAGATGCAGACCGGGAAAGTTCTCAACTTAATAGCCTGGTTGAAATAGGAAGGTCTTCTTCAGCAAGTGACAAAGAAATATAACAGAGGTGGCGCCTGTCTAATATTCAAGGAGCTGGTGCCACAGCACTAAAGGCCTGATCCTGACATTGTGTGGACTGAACCTCCAAGTAAGGGACAATCTGCCAGAAGCCTTCTCCTTCAAGAGCTCAGTGATCGATTGAATATATGTGGCGAGACGATCCTTCAGGTAAAAGTAAACAGAAACAACTATACAATTTGAGCGGGGGGGGGGGTGTTCAAGAGACTGGAGAAATACATTGGTTCATAAGAGTTTGCAAAATCCAGAGTTCAGCAACAAGAACCAAAATGTCTCAGAAACTTGGCAAGCTTTCAAGTTCTCCAGAAGCTTCGTTCATTGGGCAAGAGGCTTTGTGTAACAACTCGCCTGATGAAGCATTCTGGAGAACTCAGTAGCTTGTGACTTTGGGGTTGGTCCCCCAATGGTACTGCCCAACTCTGGGTTCTTAAAATGTATATGCTGGGGACTAAAATGATGTCAGAGTTGGGGAGAGGAGCTTTCCACATGGGGGTGCTGCCCTTTTGTAAGACATGATTTCAGTCCTCTGGGTAGCATCATGGTGAGCAGATCGCTCTGACCCCCTGCGTAGAGCACATGCAGTCAATTGAAACCAGATGGTCTCTGCCCTCAGGCTTGCAACTTCAGCACACAAAAGGAAAAGGGAGTGAGGAGGGAAGAGGAAAAAAGCAAACACAGCTGCCAATTCTTAAAGTTACATAGTCGTGTGTTTTTTCATCCCCATGAGCCGGTCAGGCAGGAGAGCGCCACATCATGTGTTCTACTGGGTGTCAGGGTGGGGAAAGCACTTCTCAAAGTCCTGGCAGCTCAGAAGAGAGAGTGCCAGATATCTCTCAGTCATTAGCTCCCATTGAGATAACAAGCACCCCACCCACCTTGAGCCATTAACAAGCAATCTTCCTCGAAAAGGAAGTGGCTGGCTGGAGATGCAAAAGAGGTAGCAAGAGAGCATTCAGGTTCTATGGCTTAGCTGCTGTCGTTCTGCACAAGCGGCTCTCCACAAGCGGCTCTCCGTGTTGAAAACAGACTGTGAGTGCATCTTTGTGTACACACACACACACACACACACACACACACACAAAGAGAGAGAGAGAGAGAGATATTACACCACACCTCATCTCCCCAGCCTGTCTTTTTCTGTGGAAGGCAAGAGAGCAACGATGGTCAGGCCAGTTGCACAACCCATAGAGATAGAGCAACCCCCTTGAACAGCCTGAAACCACAAACCCACAGATTGTGTAAAGGCTTGAGATTGGGTAAGAGAGAATAGAATTGCCCTCTACCCTAACTGGAACCCAGCTCTGCTATAAATAAATAAAAAAAGCCCTCGCTGTGGAATCCTTGTTCCTTAATAGCCCTGGATCCAAATCTTTAATCCAAGCATAGGGGAAACCTTTTCAGTCTGAGGGCCACGCTGTCTTGTGTGGAACCTTCTGGGGGCCGCATGCCGTTGGCTGGGTGTAGCCAGGGGCCAAAGTAGGTGCAGAGCAATTCCAGCCACACACAAAGCAGAGGTTTCTACACCTGCAAGTATCCATGTTCAATCCACCCAAGGGCATGATGGCAGGCACATGCATTCAAAGGGAGCACGGAGCATGACCTAAGAAGAGAGGGTGTGGCTTAGAAAAACCCCCAAAGAGGGACGGGGTTCTTCCCCCACCAACCCCAGGCCTGAGGTGCCCTCCCCTGCTTCCAACCCCTCTCAGTGGCTAGATAGGGCCCTTCTTTCTATCTTTCCACAGTAACTATGGGCAAATCTCATTCCCACGATCCTAGCAGGAACTACGGCACCCCAATAAAATGGGGAAGGGGGAGTCAGAGAGAGAGGGAGGGCCTGACCCTGCAACCCCTCCACTCTCAGCCCCTTCCCCTGTCAGGGAATCTCAGGGGAGGGGTGGGTGCCTCAGCCTGAAACTGCAGCGTGAGGTTATGCAACGGCCCCAGCACTGAGGCAAGGAGTGCACAACATCGACCGGAAACCACAGGGCCCCACGCCTCCCCACAAAGCACAAACCAGGTGCAACACAGCTCAGGGGACGAGGAGGGGCGGGTGAAGGGCTCTGAATAGTAAGGCTGCTCCTTTCTGCGACTGCCGCTGGGCAATCTTGGAGAGCAGGGCCTCTGGCACAGGAACCTTTCATCCAGCATCACTAACTGGTGTTATGGCGCACCAAAGTGTGGCTCCATGCCGCTCCTTTTGCAGAGAGAGCCACAGCGCCCAGACACATAAACAAGCCAGTGAAAGAGATGCTATGCTTTCCAGTTAAGCTTTCCCATACAGTGGTACCTCGGGTTACATACGCTTCAGGTTACATATGCTTCAGGTTACAGACTGTACTAACCCAGAAATAGTACCTCGGGTTAAGAACTTTGCTTCAGGATGAGAACAGAAATCGTGCAGCGGCAGCATGGCAGCAGCAGGAGGCCCCATTAGCTAAAGTGGTGCTTCAGGTTAAGAACAATTTCAGGTTAAGAACAGACCTCCAGAACGAATTAAGTTCTTAACTCGAGGTACCACTGTACAAGTAAAGCACTTGGTTGGGGTGGTGAGCACAAACTGCAGCTCTGCCAGAGGACCGGTTATAGTTCTCAGCATTCTTTAGCAGCAGGGTGGGGAGAGAAAGAAAAAATGCTTCCCCATAAAGCAGGGGGCCAGATTTGATGAAGTGAACATGCGTGAGGGCTTTTTTTCTAGGGTTGGGAAAGGAAAGTGACTGGTAAAATGAGATGGGCAGATCTACACCATATATTTAAAGCACATTTATTAAAGCACATGACTTCCCCCAAGGAATCCTGGGAACTGTAGTTTTTTTAAGGATGCTGGGAATTGTAGCTCTGTGTGGGGGAAATCAGGGTGAGTGCACGTTAGATAACCAATGTTGTTCAATCTCTCTGCAAACAAATCAGGCTGGTTGCTCGTTAAGCAAGCTGTCTGGAAGCGGGCCACATCTCCCCATATCTTCCAGGACCACAGCAGTTGGCATGACATCATTAACTTTAGTTTTACCCTTCCTTTGCTCCATAGTCTACTGCTGGAAAGTCGGCAGGAGCCTTTGAGCAAAATGATGTCACAGGTCTGCATTATAGAAAGGTTATCAGCACAAACAGAAAGGAGAGGTGGATTTGGGACTGTCGTATGTTTAAAACAACATGAAGTATTTGCTTCCAGGTGGGTTCCCCCCCCCCCCGGTCATTTTAATGTTGTGAAGCTGCTCTATGAGCAGAAGAGTGGGGTCCAAATAAATTGACGTGATTGATGTCATGGCATTAGGAGCACCCTACAGCAGACATGGCGATCGCCAGAGTTTAATGACTATCTTTTTCAAAACTGTCTCTGCTCAGTAAGATAAAGCTAGCCTGTCAGATCATTCAGATTAACACTGCAACATTTCCGAATATTGTCGTTTTTATTAAAAACAGCACACCACGTCACCTTTGTTCAGAAGCTATTTTCCTAAGTGTTGAAAGAAAAATAAGAGTATTTCTAAGGAGAATTTGCACCCAATGAGATGAATGCGGGTCAAACAACTGAGCTAGAACGGACTTTCAGAGTCTTTTCATATCACTGCTTTTCAAAGTCCAAATGTACTTGTGGCTGCGATTCAGAATCTTGTGGACACCCAAGTACTTTGAGAGAGAAAAGGGCACATTGCACATTCCAACTCTCCAGCCGCAGGGCTTATCCACACTTAACTTTGCTCCGTATTTCTAGGTTTCCCAGGTCCTGGTCCAAGCAGCGTTTTTTTTATCCCAATGCTTTGCCTGGAAAACCACATGTTTTACCCCTGATTCAGAGGAAACAGCCACCGAGTTTTCTGTGGGTTGCCATTTGCTCCAATTCAGCAGTAAAATATGGGAAAACGCCAGGACTAAAAAAACAAAAACCTGCTCAGAAACAGACCTTTCAAACCTAAACCTGTGCCTAGAAAGTGTGGCACAAAGGGGAGTGTGGATGAGTCTGCAGTCTAATATCTTAAATTCTGAAACCAACTCTTCTGGGGTGGGTGGTGGTGGAATTTAGACTACTTTTTTTTGCTTTCCACCTTCTCCCAAACACAGTAAAATTGGTATCGTCTTCCAGCCTTTGCTGGACAAGGTTAAAGGGAGGTATATTCCAAAGTTACCGTATTTTTTGCACCATAACACTCACTTTTTTCCTCCAAGAAAGTAAGGGGAAATGTCTGTGCGTGTTATGGAGGAAATGCCTACGGGTGGCATGCCTACGGATTTTCCTCCTCTAAAAACTACGTGCGTGTTATGGTTGGGTGCGTGTTATAGAGCGAAAAATACGGTACTTTGCTGACAATCAACAACTACCAAGAGCATTCACATACCAGAAATTTAGATTTGCACAATTAAAAGGGATTAAAGCACTCCTGAGCGGCAAATCCACTAGAGAGAGAGAGAGCGCGTGTGCAAAAAACAGACTTTTGCAGTTAGGAAAGTCACGAAAAACTATTGATTAACAGGAAGATGCATAACTGTCCTGCAAGAAATCAGGATGAATGGCCGTCATCATGGAACCTGCCTGCAAACAAATGCTCAGTCAGGACCAGGCACTGTCAAACCTCTGCATAAGCTTCATGAAATAAAATCAGGATAGATACTCAATAAACATCTTGTCTACTTTCTGTTCTAACTTAGGGAGAGACACTTTGCATAACAGAATGGCATGGCTCAGAATAATATCAGACCTACGTTCTATGGCCTGGAGCTAGATTCACATCAAGAGCCAAATTAAGCTAGTGAGAGGGGATATACATTTTAAAATACGTGCAAACATATATCAGACCCTCCAAGTGTCCCTATTTTCCAGGGATGTCCCAGATTTAGAGAAGCCATCCCGGTTTCTGATTTGATCCCAGAATGTCCCACTTTTCCTTAAGATGTCCCTATTTTCATTGGAGAAATATTGGAGGGTATGGAGTTACCTGACCTCTGAGCTGTCTGTATAGGAAAGGTTTTTTTAATGTTGAATGTTTTATTATGTTTTTATATATGTTGGAAGCTGCCCAGAGTGGCTGGGGAAACCCAGTAAAATGTGTGGGGTATAAATAGTAAAATTATAATTATGGAATGGGACGTCCTTATTTTCACCAGAGAAATGGTGGAGGTCATGCAGACATGTGTTAGCTCACGCTGAGGTCTGGAACTACAGAGGAATCGGCGTGGTTGCTTATTTTCTACCCAGGCCCTAAGTCAGGGCTGGGGATCACGTGACCCTCCAACTATTGCTGCACTACAACTCCCATCAGCCCTGACCATTACCTATGCTGGATGGGGAATACGGGCATCGGAATGCAGCAACACATGGATGGGGCTCTATACCTGCCCTAGCCTTTGAAGTAGCTTGTAATGCATCGGTTCTCAACCTGTGGGTCCCCAGATGTTGTTGGACTCCAACTCCCATCATCCCTGAGCTCTGGCCTTGCTAGCTAGGGGTGATGGGAGTTGTAGTCCAACAACATCTGGGTTGAGAAAGGCTGTAATGTGCTTTAGTTAGGATTGTACTGATAGTGTATCCTTTAGGCTGGCTAGAAACTAAGTTGCTTCCGAATACATACAGCTCAGTGGCACAGCATATTCTCTGCCGCCAGCAGGTCCCAGGTTCAGTCGGCAGCATCTCCACATAGGGTTGGGAATATCCCCTGCCTGAAACCCTGGAGAGCCGCTGCCAGCCAGTGTAGGCAGTACTGAGCTAGATGGACCAAGCGTCTGACTCAGAGTCAGGCTATCAAAATTTGGCCCGTTCTCTTGCCGATTCTATGGCGGTGGGATGTTAGTGCTCCAGGTGTGTGCACCAGGCTTCTTTGGGAAGGACTGTGGCTCCGGGACAGAGCATCTGTTTTGCATGCAGAAGGTCCCAAGTTCAATCCCCAGCACCTCCACGTAGGGCAGGGGGAGACTTCTGGCAGAGACCTTGGAGAGCTGCTGCCAGTCAGTGCAGGCAATATTGAACTGGATGGCTGAATCGTCTGACTCCATATAAAACAGTCTCCTATGTTCCAATCCAAGAAGCTAAGTTCGAACATGAGTTTGTGCATCTCTGCTTTTAGAGAAGAAACCGTCTTCCTGGTTTTTGTTGGGAGCTCCCCTCTTGGTCCTTCTTGCAATAAACAAATAATCATCGAAACGGCCTTTCTGAAAATCTGGCAGTCCTGTTGTAGAAAGAGGTCTTCTTTTCCTCTTCGCATGCTGTGTTTCCCCGCCAACGAAATCTCCCATTTCTTTCTGCCTCCGTTCTCCTGACTTCTGGTCCCGCTTTGCAATTTGAAGTTGAACAGAGAGAGAGAGAGAGAGAGAGAGAGAGAGAGAGAGAGAGAGAGAAGGCTCGCAAACCAATTGATGCTATTAAAAAAAAAAAAGTTTCAGAGCTTGCAAGCTTGGTCACACCCATAGGAAACCAGCCCTAGCGGCTTGTGTGACTTCACTTCCCAAAATTAGACACACACACACACATACACACACACACACCCGAGCCCTGTTCATCCGGCCCCCTGTGCAAGATCAGCCCCTGCCAATGCAACCGAGCCAAGCGCCCATGGAACTGTAGGCGGGAAGCAGCAGGTACAGGCAGGCGTGCCATGGATTGCACCATCAAGGTAAGTTCTGGAGATGTTCCTCCATCTTCGTCAGCAGCTGGCTCCCTGGCCCCCTTCTCTGTCTCAGGCTTGCACCAAGCTGGTCTCTGGTTCAGTTCCTCTCTCTCTCTCTTTCTCATACACACCCGGCTCCAGAAACAGGGGCCCCCTCCGCTCTTTCCTTCTGGTACAAAAAAATTTCCTCTTCCTTCCCTTTCGCGGCGGTTGATGTCTCTGAGCTCTTAAAAAACCCAAACCAAACCACCACAAGAGACGCCTTGAGCTCTGAATGGGAGAGTTCCCTTCCACTGCACGGCCTGACCAGCCGAGAGATAGAAGATGGGGGTGAAATGGGGGACCCTCCACAAAAAACTGTCATGCATGGAGACAGTCCTCTCCGCCATATCATCATGGTGACAGCAGGAAGAGGATATTCCTACAGGGGTGCCTGTACTGGCCTGCCAAACCCCAAGAATTTCAGGGATGGAGTCCAAGTTTTGGGGTGCTTCAGCCTCCCCCCCAAAAAACTGGAGGTACTCCTCTTCATAAAAGGTCAGTTCATTTTTCCTTTTGCATTTCAGGGGTTATCAGCTTGTACACTGGTTTGCCTTTCCCGACTTTACCTTTCTCCGTGATCTTTTAATTTTTTAATTTTCCTTTCAACCGCATATTCACGCAGGTCCATGGATGCTTTTAGGGCTTTGCAAATTCTTTCTCTAAGCATCCACTTCCATTCACAACCCTGTCGCATTAAGATGTGCTTTTGTCCACCATGGGTGTGTTCTTGGCAAAACCAGCGGATCTTTTGATTTGGTTTGAACCCTTTCAGGTTGTTTGAGACTGAATGTGTTTCTCCAACCACCCAAAAGGCATGTATTTAAAAGAGGAGAGAGAGAAATGAAGCTCTTGAAAGATTTGTAGTCATTTTTGGTTTGGCATTGCTGTCTCTATTGGTGGGGGGGACATTCTGTGTTTGGGCTGGGTTGTAGATTAGTACCGGACTGCTCTAGTTTTCAAAAACAAGGAACACTGAGCCATTTTTGTTAGGGCTGGAACCTGGCAGGGTGGAAGTAAGATTGGGCACCTCCTGAACGTGGACCCAGACTCTGACAAGGTCAGCACCGGCAGTTTCCCTTTGACATTATTCACTGCTTTGTGTTGTTGAGACAGTTTCAGCAAATATTCAGTTAGTACGCCGCCACCCTGCCTCTTCCAGGTTAAAGAGGCCACTGAGCCTGATGTCTTGCTTTACAAAACCCTGGAGCCAATGGTGCTGATTTTGCATCTGTCCCAAGAGCCCTCTGGGAATGTTGTAGTTTGAAATGCAAGTTAATTTACATGTCTTGAGTAGAGGCATCTCACTCCTCTTCTAAGGTGACTATCTTTGCGATGTTTGATGAGAGTTCCGTAGGAAGCAATCTGTGGCCATTGAAAGGGTGGATCTATTTTGGGGTTTTTTTAAAAGCTTAGGGTACAATTTTATTTTTTAGGATTTTAAATGGTGTCGCTAACTGACCAGGGAGGAAAAAAAGAGGACCTAATTCCTTGCTCCTGTTTCTTGATTGGCTGAAGTAAGCAGGAAATAAAAATGTTCACCTGCTAAGGTCTCTGGATCAAGCTGCTGTTAAGAGGCACAGAGAAAGAATGGCCTCAGGGATCATCTATTAAATATGAAATGTTTTCAAACGGGGAAAGTATAAGCACTGGTGCCAAGGGAGCATTTTCAGGTAGAGTCCTAGTGGTAGGCCAGAATATTTGGTAAAGAGCACGATTCATGGGTCAAGCTCACAACTTGTTTTCCCTTTTACTGACTCTGCCCCTGCGCCTTTAGAAGCATCTTGACCTACACAAAACCATGGGGGAAATTCTGCATGCTTAATTTGCCTATGCCAAACTTCAGTTAAACAAAGCAGTGGGAAACCTGTGGCTCTCCATACAGTTGATGGACTCCAACTCCCATCAGCCCCGGGGCCAGGGATGATGGGGGTTGTAGTCCAGCAACACCTTGAGGTCCCACAGGTAGAAATGGCGACACCTGTATAGCTGTCACCTAGAAACCGAAACTTCTGCTAAACCGTGGGTTCACTAGTCAAGCTGCTATGTCTTTGCTTTACTCCCTCTTCGCTTTCTTCCAGATTTTGGGAGACTAATATTTGGCTGGTTTCTTTGTTTATTTTATGATGATATTTACGTCTCAACTTTCCATCAAATAGCTTAAGCTGGTGTATGTGGTTCCCCATTTAAAGTTCACAAGAACCCTGCGAGGTAGGTTAGGCCTTGAGAAAGAGCAACTGGCCCAAGGTCACTCAGTGTGCTGGGTAGGGATTTGAACAGCTCTTAGTGTGACGCTCTAATCACTTTGCCATGCTAGATCTCTCAGGCTGCCTTCAACAGGTGTATGTCGGGCAGAAATCCAACAGGAGAAGCTTTCTCCTCACATGGAGGGATAGGGAAAGGCTTCATTTATTGGAAGAAGCCTGTGATGCAGCTGTTAAAAAGTCCCAGGGACCATTATAGGGGGAAGTAAGGCAGCCAGGCTGGATGGCAGTTGTCCCATATTAATTAAGAATGAGTGCTAGGGTGCGATCTGGTGTATATAACACACCAAAGCCTGTCTAGATCACTGTCTCCTATAACAGAGGTGATAAAGGATAGAGATACACACCTCCACACACTTTTGCTTCTCGCTACCCAGAAAGAAACAAAGAAACCTTGGATCCCTGCTGGGTACGCACCACACATTTAAAGCCCTTTGCTCCTCTCACAAAATCCTGGGAACAATAGCTTACCCCTCACAGAGCTACAATTCCCAGCAGCCTTAACAAACTACCAGTACACCCTAAACAGACAACATTTTGCGGGGGGCGGGAAGCCATGTGCTTTAAATGTATGGCAGACAAGGGTTCCCAATTTTAATTTATTTCAACTATACCACAGACGGCCAGTTCACGCTGGTCCGTTGGCAACCTTTAGCAAGCTGCTATGCTATGCTTGATTTGGAGTGGGAAGGTACAACAGTTCTCTTTTATCATTCTAGATCAGATCTTTAAAAAGCAAAAACAAACCCACAACCTGTTAATTTGGGCTGGGGGGCGGGGCACTGCCAGAGGAGCATGTTGCTGTTTATGTGGTAAGGATCCTAGCGGGTTCAGCATGTGTACATTTACCCGATATAAGAGAAAACAATAGCTGGGGGAAGGGAGGCCTAGAAGTAACAGCACCCCCCTCTCCTCCAATATTCAGGATTTCGGTAGCCAAACAGGAAGCTGTGCCTCCACCGCTCCCCCCTGCCCTCCAGCTCCATCCTTTATTACAGAAGATAGGAGAGCTATTTAAAGCCCCCCTGGCTTGCAGGGCAGTTCTGAGCCTCGGGTCCCCATCAGGCAGGCCTTATCAGCAACAGCAGAGGCTTCCGGCTTTGCGGCCTCAGACTTCCTGCCTTTGCTTCCTGTGTTAGCTGTCCCACCAGCAACATCGAGCTACCATGATTGTCACACACCCCCTTACACCCCACCCCACCCCCTGCCTGCCCGCCCTGCACTCGCCACCATCATCACAACCACATCAGCCAGACCGCCTCACGTTTCAACAACACACGCTGGTTTTTGTGCAGCGCAGAATCTAGGCTTGCTGTTTCTACACTTTGACAACACTGTTAGGAGTTTGAGGGTGCCAGAAACCCCTCTAAAGCCTAGATCAGGGGTTCCCAAACTGTGGTCCGGCAGTCCACAAACTTTTATTCAGGTAGTCTGTGGTGTCTCTGTAAAAAAGACAATTAAAAGTCACACAGCGTTTACTCCAGCACATTACAGTTGCTGCAGCAGGCAGATAAACCATAACTGGCCCACGAAGACCCTCGGCAATTTCCAAGTGATCTCGGGTGAGGTGGGGAATGGGAACTATTGCCCTAGATCCAGCAAGTGTTAAAATCCAATCAAGTCACTCTAGCTTTCTGAACGCCTGGATCCAGCTAGTTTCCTGTGTTGAGGCGATTGCCTAGGTGATGGGCAATTAGGAGAACAACGGATTAAGGGGCTTGGTGCGAGACAATAACAGACAAAAGCCAGAGTCTGGAATAGAGTTTTGGGGGCTGTGATGTCAACTACAAGTAAAGCAGCACGCTGTAGAAAGAATCAGAGAGCAATGTTTGATTTCTGTTTGAATCCAAGGCTGCGGCAGTGGGAGAAGCAAGACTCTTTTGGGGTGTTCATGCTGTGAACCCTTCCAGCTCAGGCTGTATGTGTAAATAGACCATATATCCCGACGGCACCACGGTCCCTGCTGCGCCTCAGTCCTGGGACCCCTGAAATGTCGCACCGCTCGGAGATTGGGGTTTTCGTGCAACAACAGTGAGAGAGATGGACCAATGGTTCTGACACAACACAAGGGAGCTTTCTGTGTTCCTAGTCTTACACACACACACACACACACACACACACACACACACACACTTGCAGCACCACCTACAAGTTTTTGGCTATGCCTTGCCTGGGCACACCTCCCTAAGTGAGTCTACCTCCTAGTTACATCAGGTCCAGGGAGCTATTATCCATGGGGCACCTGTGGGGTTGTGGGCTCTCGGCAGATGCCCCACCATGCTGGGCCTTGGCGCCAGTCCTGCACATGCGTACCTCACAAATCTCCACCTCCTCCAGGGCTGGTTCTAGGTTTTGGAATACCCCTGGGCAAGATGCTCTCATTGTCCCCCTAACCCCCTGCAGTGCAGCCGCCATCTCCTCACCTCTCCCTCTGAGCTCAGTTCACACACCCTGGCCAAAAGGAAATCACAAGGCATGCAGAGAGGCGACTGCTGCTCCTCTTCGCCCCTCTCACTGCTGATTCGCTTGGAGAGAATAGCTAAACGTGCAGCAACAGTGAGCGTTGAGAGCAGCAGGGCATTTCAGTGACTCAGAACGGGGTCTATATTGAGACATGGTCCTCAGCAAGTGCCCAACAATGCCAATATAGCCCCCCCCCCCAATATTATCTGGTTATTTGTTCTGCAACTGCGCTGCTGTTCATCACCATCGGTTCTGGCCAACTGCAGCTTCACTAAGATTTGCCCAGGGTTTCATGGATATGGGTGTTTTGACAGGTTGGGGTTCTTGTTTTTTCCATGTAAAAATCAGATTTTAAAAAAAGAGAAAAATCAATTTGCCACTGATATTATGCTTTTTGCCGTGAAGGGGGGTGGGGAGGGGAGACAGGCTCTGATCCCTTGGGATCAGATAAAAATGTAAAAACAATTAAAAAGTTGCTTATTCTAAGAGGGTGGGGAACCTCAGGTCTGGGAGCTATATTATTATTATTATTATTATTATTATTATTATTATTATTATTATTATTAAATTTATATACTCCCCCATCTGACTGGGTTGCCACAGCCACTCTGGATGGCTTTCAACAAATTAAAAACATTAAGCACAGTAAAACATCAAACATTAAAAACTACCCTATACAGGGCTGCCTTCAGATGTCTTCTAAAAGTCAAATACAGTAGTTGTTTATTTCCTTGACATCTGATGGCCCTCCCGACCTCTTTGTTTGGCCCTTGGGACTCTCCTCAGGGTATACACCCTCTCAAGGCCTTCACCAGCCCTGCCTTGCACCCTTCTTGAGTGTTTTTTTAAAAAAAAATAAATATTTATTAAAGTTTTCACAATATTACATAATGAAAAAGAAAAAAGAAAAAATACAAAATAAAAAACAGTTAAAAACAATTCCATCTTTTTGTCACTTATCTTTCATTTGCTTGTTTCCCGGACCTCCTCATACCTCCCTTTTTTGTATTCCAGTTCAATTTATTAGTTCAGCAATTCCTTTCCCTCCTTATTTTATCCTGATCCTTAATCTTAATATATTATAGCATTAAATTTTTACCTGTTAAAAATCCAATTGTTTCATATTCTTTTATACCATTACAGCTAGAAACCACTTAACTTCAATCCAACATCATTCTAACATTCGTTAATTTTGCAATATTTCTGTAAATAGTCTTTAAATTTCTTCCAATCTTCTTCCACCGACTCTTCTCCCTGGTCTCGGATTCTGCCAGTCATTTCCGCCAATTCCATATAGTCCATCACCTTCATCTGCCATTCTTCCAGAGTGGGTAGATCTTGTGTCTTCCAATACTTTGCAATGAGTATTCTTGCTGCTGTTGTGGCATACATAAAAAAAGTTCTGTCCTTCTTTAACACCGATTGGCCGACTATGCCCAGGAGAAAGGCCTCTGGTTTCTTCAAGAAGGTATATTTAAATACCTTTTTCAATTCATTATATATCATCTCCCAGAAAGCCTTAATCCTTGGGCACGTCCACCAAAGGTGAAAGAATGTACCTTCAGTTTCCTTACATTTCCAACATTTATTATCGGGCAAATGGTAGATTTTTGCAAGCTTGACTGGGGTCATGTACCACCTGTATATCATTTTCATAATATTCTCTCTTAAGGCATTGCATGCCGTAAACTTCATACCTGTGGTCCATAACTGTTCCCAGTCAGCCATCATTATGTTATATCCAACATCTTGTGCCCATTTAATCATAGCAGATTTCACCGTTTCATCCTGAGTATTCCATTTCAACAGCAAGTTATACATCTTTGACAAAATCTTAGTTTTGGGTTCTAACAATTCTGTTTCTAATTTTGATTTTTCCACCTGGAAGCCGATTTTCTTATCCAAATTGTATGCCTCCATTATCTGATCATAATGAAGCCAGTCTCGCACTTTGTTTTTTAGTTTTTCAAAACTCTGCAATTTCAATCTATCTCCATCTTGTTCCAAAATTTCCCAATATTTCGGCCATTTGACCTCCATATTGAGCTTTTTCAGAGCTTTCGCTTCCATCGGTGACAGCCACCTTGGGGTTTTATTTTCCAATAAGTCCTTGTATCTTATCCAAACATTAAACAATGCTTTCCTGACAATATGGTTTTTAAATGCTTTATGTGCTTTGACCTTATCATACCACAGATATGCATGCCATCCAAATACATTGTTAAAACCTTCTAGATCCAAAATGTCAGTGTTTTCAAGAAGCAGCCATTCTTTCAACCAGCAAAAAGCTGCTGATTCATAGTAAAGTTTAAAGTCTGGCAGGGCAAATCCACCTCTTTCCTTTGCATCTGTTAATATTTTAAATTTTATTCTAGGCTTCTTGCCCTGCCAGACAAATCTAGAAATATCTCTCTGCCACCTCTTGAAACAGTCCATTTTGTCCACAATTTGCAATGTTTGAAACAAAAACAACATTCTAGGCAATACATTCATTTTTACCGCAGCAATACGACCCAGCAGTGAAAGCTTCAAATTTGACCAAATTTCTAAATCTTTTTTCACTTCAGCCCAGCATTTTTCATAGTTGTCTTTAAATAAATTCCCATTTTTTGCTGTCATGTTAATCCCCAGGTATTTAACTTTCTTAACCACTGTTAAACCTGTCTCATTCTGAAACCTCTCTCTCTCCATTGGTGTTAAATTTTTCTCTAAAACCTTAGTCTTTAACTTATTCAATTTAAATCCTGCAACTTGACCAAATTCTTGGATCAGTTCTAAAACCCTTTTGGTACTAGATTCTGGCTCCTGTAACGTCAATACTAAGTCATCTGCAAATGCTCTCAATTTGTACTGTTTGGTTCCGACCTGTATACCTTTAACCAACTGGTCCCTTCTTATCATATTCAACAGAACCTCCAGGACCGATATAAAAAGCAATGGGGAGATTGGGCAACCTTGTCGTGTCCCTTTTTCTATCTTAAATTCTTCCGTCACCACATTATTTACAATTAATTTAGCCTTTTGTTCAGAATATATTGCACTTATACCATTTTCAAAACCTTGGCCTACCCCCATACCCTGTAAGTTTTTTTCATAAAAGTCCAAGAAATGTTGTCAAAAGCTTTCTCCGCGTCTACAAATATCAAAACTGCTTTAGTATTTATGTTCACTTCTAGTTTTTCCAAAATATCAATTATATTCCTCAAATTGTCAGACAAGTGTCTTCCCGGGAGAAAGCCCGCTTGGTCTTTATGAATCTCTTCTGTCAACACTTTTTCAATCTCTTGGCCAAAATGTCTGCAAAAATTTTGTAATCCACATTGAGTAATGATATGGGGCGGTAGTTCTTAAGCTGCGTCTTTTCAGTCTCTGTTTTCGGTACAAGTGTGATATATGCTTCTTTCCACGACTCTGGTGCCCTTTTCCCCTCCATTATTTCGTTACAGACCTCTTTCAAAGGTTGTACTAGCCATTCTTTTAAAGATCTGTAGTATCTAGAAGTCAGTCCATCCGGTCCTGGAGATTTACCCAATTGCATATTCTGAATGGCACCTTCTATCTCCTGTTCAGTTATTTTGTAGTTCAACATTAATTTATTTTCTTGAGAGATTTTTTGTAATCCATTTGTTTTCAAAAATCGATCTACGTCAGTTTCTTTCTGTGGCCCTTGTGTATATAGTTGTTTAAAGTACCTCTGGAAACAATTTCTAATCTCAGCTGGGTTCTGTATATTCTTTCCTTCCACTTCTAAATTTGTAACTGTATTTAATTTTTGTCTTTTTTTCATTTGCCAAGCCAGCAATTTCCCACATTTATTAGCCGACTCGAATGTCCTTTGTCTCATTTGTTTAATTTTCCATTCTATCTCCTGATTCCTCATTTTCATATATTGCACTTGATATAACTTTATTTCTCTCAAAATCTCTTGCGACTTTGGTTTTACTCTCAATTTTTTTTCACTTTCCTTTATTTTCTCCAAAATTTTGTCCTTCTTCTCATTTTGGATTCTCTTCTTTAATGCATTCTGTTGTATCAGGAACCCTCTCATAACCGCTTTACTTGCGTCCCAGATTACTCTTTTTTCCACATTGGTGCTCATATTTATCTCAAAATAGTCTCTCAAGGTTTTTTGGGCCTTCTTAAGCACTTCTTCATCTCTGAATAAGGTGTTATTCATCCTCCATCTAAAGGAGCCAGTTGGTGTTAGTTTCATTTCCATCTTAACAGCATTATGGTCGGAGCAGGTTTTTGGGCAGATTTCCACTTTTCTTGTCTTTGGTGCCATTCCTCTAGTTACCCATATTTGGTCAATTCTTGTCCATGTCATTTTGGCTTCAGAAAAGAAGGTTCCTTCTTTAGCCAAGGGGTTCTTTGTTCTCCAAATATCGACTAAGTCCAAGTTGTCTGTCATCTCAAAAAAAGTTTTCGGTAGTCTACCATCCTTAGTGACTACCTGTCTTTGTGCCTTGTCCATATGTGTAGATACCACTCCATTCATGTCTCCCATCAAAATCACATTATAATCCAAATAGTCCATCAGGGTCTCATGCAACTTTTTAAAAAAATCGGATTTCCCTCATTTGGTTCGTAAATTCCTACTATCAAAAATTTTTCTCCTTGTGTTTGACTTTCAATTGCCACAAATCTTCCTTGGTCATCTTTAAAGATAAATTTCGGTAATAATCTCTCCTTTGCATAAATCACTACCCCTCTTTTTAACCTTGTCCGATGAAATAAACTCCTGACCAAGTCTTTTATTAATCAATAGTTTCCTGTGTAACCTTGTTATATGTGTTTCTTGTAAACAAATCAAGTCCAATTGTTCCTTTTTTAATAAATGAAACACAGATCTCCTTTTCCGAGGGGAGTTCAAACCATTACAATTCCAACTTAGTAGTTGCAGAGCCATGATGTAGTTACTTTGCTTCTCCTCCAACTGCACCCAGTGCCTGTTCCTGTTCTGTCGGTGGTATCACCTTCTTCAGGCGGTCTTTTAGTTCAGGAGGTAAATCTGGTGTATCTAAAGTTTCACTTACAAGTGCTCTTAGCTCTCCTGTAACTTTCTTCTGCAGGTCTTCTCCGTGGTCTCTCCAAAATTTATCTTTGTCGTCTTCTGATCTTATTTTTATCTTCTTCCCTTTATAACTGAAGGATAGGCCTTGGGAGAATTCCCACCTAAAAATGATTCCGTTACTTCTCAACAGGGCAACCAAATCTCTATAATTGGACCTACGGTCCAAAAGATGTTTCGGAATATCCTTAAATATCTCCACTTTTGACTGATGTATTTCCAAGGTCTTCTGGAAGTGCAGACTCAAGATTTTGTCTCTCTCCTCTTTTGTTCGGAGGGTGATCAAACAGTCTCTCACCCTGTTCTTCCTCCCTCCTTTTCCAAGCCTAAAAGCACTCACTATCTTGAAACTATCCTTCCCCAAATCTGGGTTCCAAAAGTCTGCAAATTCCTGCGTAAGAAATTCAATCAAATTGTCTTTCTCCAATTCAGGTACGGCCCTGACCCTTAAATTCGCTTGTTTCTCCTTCAACTCAATCATAGACAGTATTGACTTGTGGTCTTCAAGTTGTTTGTGTAACGGTGGTATCTTCTCTTCTACAACAGTGGCTGTAGCAGTTGCAATTTCCTTTGCCTCTTCGGCTGTCTTTCGTGTCGAGGTGGATTCCTGCAGTAATTTCTGAATAGTTTCTGTATTGGTATTTACCTTCTGTCCCAAATTATTAATACTTGTGGTGTTTTGATCAATTTTGCCCGATGCCTCGGCTACTTGTTTACTTGTTTACTTATTCTTTCCAAAGATTCATTAATTTTGCCTAGTGCCTGAGCCAGGGCATCGTCAGCTGCCATACCTTTAGGTTTAGGTTGTGCCGATGAGGTTGCTGTTGGTAAACCAGAAGGGCCAGATGTCGATGCTCTTCTTTGCAGCCCACCGTCTGTGCGAAATACTCTGCCAGACCTCGTTGCTTGTAACAAATCTATCTTCTCTTTCCCATCTGCCATAACCCTCAAGATATAGCCCAAGGTCAATCCCACGATCAGAGTCAAAGTTGTTTTGAAGTGGAAAATTCCCTTAGCCCAGCTGCAGTTGTAACAGTTTCAAACTTCCTCTAGGGGGACACAGTAACAGTCCAAAATGTCTTAAAGTAATTAACTTCTCCCTTTCGCCCCCCAATTCACAAAAAGGACAACAGTTTCTATCTCAGTTGTTTCCTGTTACTTTAAAACCAGGAGAAGCCAGACAGCAATATTGTATCTTAGTTGTATCTCAGATGCAGAGTTAACTGTCAAAGAGTACTTTCAGCAACAGCGCAATTCTCAATACGGCTTTCTTACTGTCACTGGGAACCCGTTCCAGGGTTTTAAGCGGTGGATTTTAGCTCCTCTTCCTCTCTTTTTTTTGCAGGGAAATAACGTTCAAGCCTTTTCCCCCCTCCTCCCCTGCAATCAAGGAGGGAAAATCGCTGTTTTGATGTTCGAATTATAATCCTTTTCCAACATCTTTTAAGGTTTCCGCTTACAAGTTCATTGCTTTACTCCATTTACAAGAACGGAAGGCAGACTTCCTGTTTATGCCTCTCCGCTTCGGTGCCAAATTAATTATAAAGTTCCTTTAGTTCCGAAATTAGCCTACTCACGGATCGTTGTTTTGCAGCCAAATTGTCCCAGGAAAAAGGTAGCGCTCTCCGGTAACGGCTATGCGGCTTCACTCCACGGAAGAAGCAAACGACTCACAGCACCGCGCCACTTCCCCGCTCCGCTCCAGAGCCCGTAACCGGACTCCTTTGCCAATTGGGAAGGGCACAAACGGTCCCCGCTGAGTCCCACGGTCACAGGCTTCACCCGCCTGTGATTTTTGAAGGGTCCCCGCTGCGCCATAGCGGTACAGACCCGATTTCCGCAGAGCCGGTTCCCTCCAAGTCAGAGGGAATCCGCCATTACCGATGGCGCCACCCCGGAAGTTCCTTCTTGAGTGTTTTTGCCTGGCTGGAATTTGTCAAACTCTGACAATGCCTCTTGCTTGCCTGGATGGAAGATTGAGCGGGTGGGTGTGGGTGTAGCAATTACTTTACCATACAAATATTATATTTAAATTAATTGCTCTGCCCACTATTCCCTCTGGCCCTGCCCACCTCTGCCACATGGCACACCCCACTCCACCAAAAGTTGCCCCCCCAGGAAATATGGGCCAAATAAGGTTCCCACCCTCCGTAATCTAGGATATTGGATAAATATGTAAAGGTTGCTAAGCAACCAACGCCCTTCTTTCTTCTTCCCTGAACGCGGCAACCGTACAAATCTCTCCGAGGCTGAGCTGCTGTTGTGACAACGGAGGGGCCAGCCGCAATGGTTTCCTCCTCCTGCCCGCTGAAGCACCCTTTAGAAATGGTGGCCTACAAATTAAAGCAACTTTTCTCGGCCTGTGGCCTTCAGGATGTTTTGGACTACAACTCTCCTAGCCGCTGGGGCTGATGGGAGTTTGCAGCCCAAGTTCGCCTCTGGACTGTCACTGTTGTGCAAGAGGGATTCAATTGCTAAACAGAAGTTTTAGCTCATTTACAGAGGGTTAGAGTGCTCTGGCACCACAACTCACACTTTTTTTAAAAAGCCATACTTTTTTCAGGGGGGGTTGGGAAATGACAAGGAAAAGCGCCAAAAAGTATTGGACAGCAATCATTGATTGGGAAGATGTCAAAGCGCCATGTAAACAAATAATCTCCCCGTGGAAAAAAATTTAAGCAAACGCTCAAGGGAGAGCGGGCATTGTTCAACTTTCTGCAAGCAGATCAGGGCGAATCCTCAGTAAACCAGGTTGGCCAAGGCAGTCCTTGCTGATGGCAACACCACCTCAGATGCAAGACCACTTACTGTATTTTCTGGCGTATAAGACTTTTTAACCCAGGAAAACCTTCTCAAAAGTCGGGGGTCGTCTTATACACCGGCTACAGCAGCAGCTCCTGCAGCAACTCCCCACCAAAGGATAAAACGACAGCAAATTAAATCAGAGGACACCAAGCTCTCTAGATGAAGCAGAAATACGCTTGAAAATTGGCCCCAGAAGCCCCCGGCCACTGGGAAGTGGAGCGGATTTCCGAGCCAGACTGGAGACTGTTTTTTTTAAAAAAAATTTATTGTGTGCGTTGGAAGAGGGGTAGTCTTGTACGGCGAGTATATCCCAAACACTATATTTTACCTGGAAAAGTTGGGGGGTCGTCTTATATGCCCAGTCGTTTTATATGCTGGAAAATACGGTAATTTGCTTTGGCTCCTAGACTTCACCTCTTCATTTGCTCTTTACCTCAGTCAACACTGTGGCCCCATCTGCATTAACTTGTTAGAGATTTTTTGGGGGGGGACCCCCCCAAAAAAACCTAGAATTTGGTAAATGGTAGGATTTTGTTTGCTTGGATTATTGAAGGGGAGATTACAAGCCAATGGAAAAATAGAGGCTGAGCTTTCTTTCCAAAAGTCAGGGCCTCACCTGGGATAGAGGCATTAACATGACAATATGTTATCTGAAGAAGTGTGCATGCACACGAAAGCTCATACCAATAACAAACTTAGTTGGTCTCTAAGGTGCTACTGGAAGGAATTTTTTTATTTTGTTTCGACTACGGCAGACCAACACGGCCACCTACCTGTAACTATGACAATATGTGTTGATGGGCCATCTCAGAGGAGTCTTGGGCCTGGGCAGAGAGAAGGTTGCCAGGGTAACTGGGTAACAGGGAAACAAAGTCTTTAACAAGGTGTGCTGGAAAGAAGAAGGGAGAAGAAAGACTGAGAAACAATTTACCAAGCAAAGAGAGATGCCTTTGACTGCAGTGCTGCACCCCTGTGGGGAACAAGTCCTTCTTTAAACGACCTTGCTGTAAGATCTGGACTCCATCCATGTAGGCTGGAGGTGTACGTATGTGAATAAATCACATTTCTTAAAGCTGTGACAGTCTCTGCCGCGTCTTCAATTCTCCAAACGATCACAAACCCTGGGTGGGCGCCTGGATTGCCCTGGAATTTTGCTACCGCTCGGCAGAGAGTAGGGGCAGAGCCAAACCTTTGCGACACTAAATTTAAAACAGCATCATATGATTTTAAAGTCATGGCTCCCCCCCAAAGACTCCTGGGAACTGTAGTTTGTTAAGAATGTCAAAGAGTCGCTAGGGAACCTCTAGTCCCCTCACAGAGCTACAATTCCCAGAGTTCCCTGGGAAAGAGGGTTGATTGTTAAACCAGTCTGGGAACTGTAGCTCTGTGAAGGGAATGGTAATCTCCTAAACAACTCTCAGCACCCTTAACAAACTACAGTTCCCAAGGTTCTTTGGGGGAAGCCATGGCTATTTAAAGTGGTATTATGGTGCCTTAAATGTATGGTGTGCTTGTGGCCCAAGACAGCAGGCATACGGGATTTGGCTGAGGTAAAGTGAGCTTGGTGGGGTACTGCTCCATTTACATTAATGGGCCAGCCTCCATTGGCTGCAGTAGTTTGGTCCACAGTCTCTAAACGTTATTTTTGCACTCTAGTTGCTTTGCTCTCTCCGTGTGTGTGTGTGTGTGTGTGTGTGTTTTGCTGCGTTTTAGCAATCTTTGTCTAATCTTACCTCATCAGTTCTTCAGAGTTAGGATCCTTATCGTACACTGGCTATCTTTCAAAAAGCAGCTGACTAATCAATTGCACTCCTTTCAGCAATTGTAAAAAGAGATACAATGTGAGGAAGGGCCATAGCTCAGTGGGAGAGCATCTGCTTTGCAGGCAAATTATCCCTGGTTCAGCCCCCAGTGTCTCCTGCCAGGGATGGGAGAGTTCTTGGTCTCAAACCCTGGAGAGCTGCTGCCAGCCAGTGCAGACAACATTGAGCTGCATGGCCCCAATTCCTCAGTCAGCTCAGGCCAGAAGACTGCAGGGCAGCAAGGCAGGCTGCAAACCATGAGAATCCCTAATCTGTTTGATTGCCCAGTGTCAGGAACACGCACTCTAGATCCCCCCGGAAAAACCTGGAGAAAAATTATATAGACGACAGCAACTCCCCTTTCCTGATTCTCAAGTCTGCCCTGAGTATCCAGCTGAGCACAGCTAGGTGAGACCAACTCCACCCTGTTCATCATCCACCAAGGTATCAGGGATACAAACCAGATTGGCCTCCTCACCCATAATCAGATCATAGATGAGGGGGTCTTATTCAGAGTCAACCTGGCATTTAGCAACAGCAGCCGTAGACCCAAGCGTTCCTCTCCTCCCGGACAAAACTCCCTTCCCTTGGTGAAAACTAACAACACCTATGACAGCAATAAAAACCCCACAAATTAAAAACAGTTAAAACAACTAAAGGTAAAAACAGTTAAAACAACTACAGGTTAAGACAGTGGCTGCTTTCAGTCTGCATACAATATGTAGCTGATTACTTTCTCCCATTTGACATTGCTTTTAATTTTCAATGAAATGAACAGGGTAGAATAACGTAACGACAGTGTAATTTTTGTAATTACCGGTAATTGAAGAACTTACATACTTTTGCTACAGAGGACGGTGAGACGAATAACGTGGATTTTAGCAGAAGGCAAATGGCAGCAGAACAGAAACAGTTACACGTATCAAACACGTGGGGCCAAGCAAAACAATTATTTATTAAGCAGCTGTCTCACTCAGTATAAGGAGGCACAGGTGACAAAGAGGCCTTGCACCTTGAGGGAGTATCAGCAGAAGAGGGAGTATCAGCTGGTGTGGCCTGCCATGCAAGCTACACCTGCTAAAATTATATCCTCTTCACAATTATTAAAAGCGCACCAGTCCCTTTTTTGCATTTGAGTACCATGGTGGGACGTGGGTGGAGCTGTAGTCTAAACCACTGAGCCTCTTGGGCTTGCCGATCAAAAGGTTGGTGGTTCAAATCCCCGCGATGGGATGAGCTCCCGTTGCTCAGTCCCAGCTCCTGCCAACCTAGCAGTTCAAAAGTACACCAAAAAAGTGCAAGTAGATAAATAGGTACCACTCCAGCGGGAAGGTAAATGGCATTTCCGTGCACTGCTCTGGCTTCTCCAGAAGTGGCTTGGTCATGCTGGCCACATGACCCAGAAAAACTCTGCGGACAAACGCCAGCTCCCTCAGCCTGTAGAGCGAGGTGAGCGCCGCAACCCCAGAGTCGTCGGTGACTGGACTTAACTGTCAGGGGTCCTTTACCTTTACCTTTTTACCATGGTGGTGGGGAAGGAGATTTTCACTGGGATTAGAGTGGGAAATTAAAGCCCTTTTCCCATGTCATGGCCCTGATCCACTTCTGATCCCTTTACCATTTATTTGAGTCTCTTTGTGTCAAAATCAGACACACAGTGTAATTATTTAGTGGACAGAAGTCTTTGATGGTCAGCTTGCTTGGTTTTCTCATCAAACCAGGCCAGGATGATTGACAGTAACCTGGAAAAACACCAGTCCATTCTGCTTCAGTACTTTTAACAGAAGTTGTGATTTGTAGGAGTGAGCGTGTGAAGCTGTTCAGGCATGGAAATGAAACACTGAATGGTGGTGGTTCATTGTTGCAGAGTGAATTCTTTAAGGGACATGCGCATCAGGGTCTGGCTCAAAATTGGCCACTTGACATATTAGGCAAGCGTATGGTGTGTATATATATTGCTTCATTTCATGGGAAGATTCTCCATTCCATTCCTGTATTGCTTTTCTTGTATGTTCTGTCTTCCATTTCTCCCTTTCCGCATTCTAGTTTAAATAGAAGAGTTTCTAAAATTAAATTCTAAGGTAATGCAAAAGAGGACACAGATACCTGCACTGTTAATTTGTGTAAAAAAAAAGGAGAGTTCAGCAGGCATAGTATGTCCTGGGCTTATCTCTTCTACATAACTGTTAAAGGTGCAGGAGTACCTGCCTTTCCATCCAAATACCTTATCACAAATCGTACTTTCTGGCCTGGAAACAGGGTGGATGGATGCAAAGGAAGGCATAGTTGCATAGAATAGAGGCAGGCATAGGCAAACTTGGCCCTCCAGATGTTTTGGGACTACAACTCTCACGATCCCTAGCTAACAGGACCAGTGGTCAGGGATGATGGGAACTGTAGTCCCAAAACATCTGGAGGGCCGAGTTTGCCTTTGCCTGGAATAATGTCAGCAGGTGTAGCTGAAATTTTCATGCAAGGCACATCATTTGAAATTCTCTCTTCTACGCAACTATTAAAAGTACTGCAGAGGAGCTTTCTTTTCTGAAAGTAGGTCATGCTCAGTTTGTGTCAGTTCCTCCAATTCCTTCCCCCTTCCAGATCACCAGAGTGCCTATCTGTAGGGATCAAATACTGCAAGGAAAGGACGAAACAAGAATGAAAGCGCAACCTTTACAGGATTGTCCTATGCACAGCTGTAGCGAGATTATTTTTGTAGAGTGTTTCGGCAACACAAAGGCACTCCTGTGTCTTCATGCAATTTTATTTTCGGTCCCGCCCAGTCTGCTTTTTCAGTTTGATCCGTACTCACGATAGTCAGTGAAGATACACATTCGTGAAACTCAGCACCGAAAGAATCTTGATGCAATCGTTCGCAGAAGTACACCATGATGGTTAAAATAGCAAAAACAATAAACCGAGGTAGTGCAGATGGCCAATGGGAAACTGTAGGAAGTGAAAGCTGTGGCCAGTAGTTTGCGAACAGTACTCTGTACGATGACTGATCTTTTTTGTTGTTATTGTTAAGGAACAACTAATCGTTGAAGGCATTTGAGAACAACAAAACAGGCAGTTTGGAACTCCCAAAACTCAGGAATAAATTGGGATGGGGACAATTTCCAAATCATCCCTAGTTTGGAGGAGCTGCTGGTTTTTCCCCCCGGAACCCTAGCTTTCAATCTGTGTCCTGGGGGCCCCTAGGGATCTGCAGAAGCTTACCGGGGGCTCCTGAAGGACAGTGTCAGTCAGTAATAGTAGCCAAACTTCTCTGAATGGCAGCTGGCCCACCACAACTCAATTTCACAGCTGCAGGATGTGCTGCGAAGGGTTGCATTGGGTGACCCGGGGCCAAAGAGGGCAGGTTCCTCCCCATTTAATTAATTGCACAGAAAAGAAATTCCAGCAGGTATAGTTTGCACGACACCTGCTAAAATCCCCTCTGCTAGTCACTTAATTGAAGGTGCAGCAGCCTTTTCCTTGTGCCCATCTCTTCGTTCATGCTCCCAGTTTGTGCAGGACAGTATCCCCCTGAATGCTGGTCACTGGGGGGGCAGCAAGAGGAGAGGTCTTTGGTCCCCGTGCTGCGGTGGCTGGTGCCCATTGCAACCGATGGGGCAGAAGACAGTGAGCCCCAGCGCTACTTGGAGCCAGAGCAAAGGACTTCTAGCTTTGACCCCATCTCCTCCCTCCTGAGTTATACAACGGCAACACTGAGACTCAGGAGGAGGAGGAGCCAGACAGGGTGAGTGGTAGAGCATCTTTTGGGCATGCAGGAGGTCGCAGATTCAATCCCCACATCTCCCCTTAAGGCTGGGAGAAAGACCCTTGTCTGGAACCCTGGAGAACTGCTGCCAGGCTGTGTTAGACAATACTGCACAAGCAGGACCAGTGTCTGAATCAGTATAACCTAAGAGTCTCATCTACAAATCTTTAATGCACAAGCAGGTGGAGACGGGAGGAAGTGTTTTCTTTAGGTACTTCTCTGCTAAGCTGTTTAGGGCTTGAAAGGTAGGTGCCAGCACCTCGCACTGGACTCAGAAGTAAATAGGCAGCCAGTACAATTATTTCAGAAGTTGTGTAATATGGCTTCAGATAAGAATTATAGCAGCCTAATTTTGAATTCTTTGACACTGTGTAACAACAACAACAACAACAACAACAATAGTAACAGTCCTAGTATATTAGGATTGCCATATTTCAAAAAGTGAAAATCCGGACACAAAAGTTGTTAAACTTTTTTTGGCAAAGTTGTTGAGCTTTATTGGCAAAAACACAAACAATAATGTAGTTTTTGAGCTATTTTAAAGGGAAACTGCCCAAAACGACACTGCCGACATGGGTTGACATATGTCCAGGTTTTCCTGAACATTTTAGCGATTTCCGCCCGGACACTGCTTCCGACTGCAGTCTTCTGGCCGTGTCCAGGAAATTCCAGACATATAGCAACCCTACATAGTTAATGGTCAGTGAACACCTTTCGCTTTCTGTTCCTCACTGTTATATACCTCTTGCTGAACTCCCCCAAAACTGTTCAAAACCTCTGCCTCCTTCTCCTCTAAGTATTCTTATAGTCTCCTTGTCTGAAATTCGCTGCCCATATCGATGGGAATTTCTGTGTGAAAACGTTAAAGTTGTTTTACCGAATTGTCTGCTCAGTGACTCCCCTCCTTTCCCCAAACGTGACAGGAGAAAGATCTGAGAGACACGCCGAGAGAAATATTCTGACCCATCTAGAGTTAACAGGCTACTGATTTTCTGTGTTTCTTTTCCAAGAGACACTGGTCATTCCTTAGGCAGCCCTGTACTGGGAAGTTTTTAATGTTTGATGTTTTGCTATGTTTTTATTATGTTGAAAGCTGCCCAGAGTTGCTGGGGCAACCCAGGCAGATGGGCGGGGTAGAAATAATACAACAACATCATTATTTTTAATACTATTATTATTATTATTATTATCACTGTGAAGGACTGTCAGTCCTCGTTTGGCTGTCTGTTTCTTTGCTGGAGTGTGTGTGTGGGGGGGGGGTTGCTCCCATGGGTCTAATAATTTTTCTGCCTGCTGCAGCAATTGTAATATGCCATGCTAGATGCAGCACAATTTAAAATTGTATCTTTATTGCTTCTTTTATTTCTTGAATTGCGTTTTATTGTATTACAATTTTCATTTCGTAGGAACAGAACGTAGAGCAGTATCACAGCACTTCAAACTGTCTTCCCCCAAAGAATCCAAGGAACTCTAGTTTGTTAAGGATACTGTGAGTTGGTAGGCAACCTGTGTTTCCTTCACAGATTCACTTTGATTGTGACTTCAAGCTGGGGATGATGTGAGCCCTTACCTGCCATTTAGCATGGTACAGGAGGTCCGGTGTGGGCTTCTCATCTTCCTGAGAATGAGGCCTAAGTCACCCTAGTAGCCCAACGATTCCTCTGAGTATCATATGAGGGGATCACAGAATCATCATCATCGCTTTATTTGTACGCCGCCTTTCCATAGTTAAAACAGTGCTCAAGGCGGCTTACAACATGACAAGATTTACACAATTACCAACACAACAAAAGTCATAAACAATAAATAAAACACATCAAAAAGTACACAACCAAATGGAAAACAATTTCCACATAAATCATAAAATCTAGAACTAAGAATACAGCATTAATATGAATCACAATTTAAAATGACATAGATAAAAAGAATTAAACAAAAAGAAAAGAAAACGTTATACACCTTGTGTATAAAGATGAACATTTGAGCTCCAGCACTGCATGTTAGTAGTAGGAGCTTTGTTAACCACGATTAATATGAACCAGGATTCCTTATTAACCCAAGTTTTAACCAAATCAAAAAACAACTAGAAACAGTGGTTTTGAGGCTCAGTAATTTCACATCTTGAATGACTAAATTGTACCATATAATCATAGAATTGCAGAGTTGGAAGGGTCATCTAGTCCAGCCTCCTGCAATGTAGGAATCTTTTGTCCAATGTGGGACTCGAACCCGCAACCCTGAGGTTAAGAGTCTCCTGCTCTACTGATGGAGAACAGAGCAAGTTCAGTGGGCATGAAGTGCTACCTGACTATTGGGAACAGAATGGAGTGTGCTGTAGAAAGGCCTGGCCACCTGGCTAGAATGCTGAAGAGGAGCTTTCTACACTGCAATATTTTGTCGCAGTGCCTCCCTCCTCCCCCACTTTAGAATAAGTGATTTTATCTGCCAGGCCCCAGCAGCTTTGCTCTGTGGGCTTGAGGTAGCAAGCATGTGTTTGCTGAAGGAGCCAGGAGAGAACCAAACCACACAGCTCTCTTCCCCCTGCATTGGATGATACCATCTCCCCACCAGTAGTGCCTGCAGAAATGTCTGCTCAGCACCCCCAAAGACTTCTGCTTTTGGTGCATGAAGGAACGCGCAGCAGCACCCTGGCGCTGGGTGTTGGGAAACAGGCGCCTCATGCAAACTCTCCTGCAAGACAAATTTCAAGCCTATGAGGCCTGGCCTGTGCTATTCTGCAGGAGGGGAATGGCGTATTTCAATGTTCCCATTCTTTTAGTTTTGGCTTTTTAAAATCTCCCTGCAAGTAGAGGTTTAGTATAGCAGGAAGATAGCTGAGCTCAAACCTTTCTCCTGAATGTGCTCCCCACCTCGTGTTTTCCCCAACAGCAGGCAGGAGTTACTGGTTTTCCTTTTCCTTTTTTTTTGCATGGGAGAGCATTCAAAGACACTACCCCCATCCTGAAGCTTGAAGTCACACCTGCCGGAATTTTTCCTCCTTGTTCTCTTGCACATGACAGGGTCTATTTATGTAGGATCGGATAATCGTTATGTTGTGGGATGGCCACCTGTCATGGAAGCTGTAGTTGAGATTCCTGCATCGCAGGGGCTTGGAAGAGATGGTCCTTGGGGCAGGGGCGGAGCAAGGTGGGTGCGGTCCTCCCCTTGTGTCACCTCTGAGGGGGATGACAAAATGCTGTGTGGCCCTCAATGTCTGTGAGAGACTCTGTGGCTTTGGCGTGCGCTGGCTTCCCGCTGCCAGCTTCCCCCTCAGCTGTAGGCAGACTCCTTGTTGCAAGGCATGTGATCTCTGCAAAAAAAAGCTCAAAAACTCTAGCTCCCACCCAAAATATGAAATAAAGTCAAACCATTTTTGCAGGCAAAAAAATAAAATAAAAAAGTCAATGTGTGCGGGGAGGGGGGTGACAAGAAATTTTCCGCACTGGGTACCACCTAACCTTGCTACACCACTGCCTTGGGGGTCCCTTCCAATTCTATGATTGCTCTGTCCATTGAACCACACGGGCTGTTTAGACTCAGGAACCCCGAGGGAGCTGGTTTTCTTTCGTGACTGGACTTAAGAGCTCCAGCGCTGATTGCGAGCAACCTCCTCCCTCAGTTTCCTGAGCTGGGGGTGCGTCATCGCCCGGGAATTCCATTGTCGAGATAGGGCCGGGATTTGTGGAAACCTCGCTGTGCAGTCCTGGGAAAGCTCAGCCATTGACTTCCCCACCTGTTCCGTTTTTCAAACCAGAACCTGCCGTACGGAGCCGGCCCAATTGTTAGGCAGGGTAAGGCAGCAGATACTGGAGCGGTGGGCAGCAAAGTTCTGGAGGACCAAGCTCTGTGGTGCACACAACCTGCCCTCTGTACTAGGGTTGAATCAATTTGTCAACTGCACTTTCTTATCTTCCCCGGTTTAGGTTCGTTTTGCCACATTTCTGTATGTTTCCAAAACTCTTATTGGAAAAAAATGCAAGCAGATTATTAGTGTGCGTTTCTCCGAATGCACTCATATTTGCACAGCATTTCCCCCTAACAGCATACATGGAGGGAGCCCCACCAACCTGGGCCATAGTTGGAGTATTTGCTTTGCAAAACGTCCCAGGCTCAACCCCCGGTGTATTCAGGTAGGGCTGGGAATAACCCCAGTCTGAAATCCTGCAGAGCTGCTGTGTAGACAGTTCTGAGCTAGATGGACCACTGGTCTGACTCAGGATCAGGCATTTCCTATGTTCGCCCAGGAAGCAAAACATATTGGGTCTCCCTTGCTACTACAGGTCTCAAGTGACTTTATATCTGCTTTTCAAAGCCCTGGTGAGAAGCCGTTGGGACTTGAGAGACAGAAGTGTTTGATGTTTTGGTTTCAGTCCTGCATAATCCCAGCTCTCTCTGTACTCAGTTTCCATTCCTTCTGGGACCAGCCCTACTGTTTGGCAGGGTGAAGCGACTCAGCTCAGGCTGCAAATTGGGGTGGCCAAATGCAAAAGAAAACAGGGTTCCTGTGCCTTGAACAGTCATGTAGAAAGGATTTCAATACCTGCTGAAATTCCTGGGGCAGGAACCTTGTCCTCCCTGCTGCAAATCCTGCAGTACTTTTGGGGAGCACTGAACTTGTTCATCCTTCTTAGCTTATTATTGTCCTTTCTTTTAGCCAATAGGGTTTAGATTTTTCTGCCTCTGGCACCGACATTCTTTCATTCCCAGAAAAGGGGAAGGATGGCAAATTCTTTGGAAACCTAACATTACTGGAAGTGGCAGCATTACTGAGGAGATCAGTCTCATGAGAGAAGCTTGGCCCAGTCATTGCATTGTTTTAACTTCAAGCGTGTTGTTAAAAACTCTTTCATCTACTCGGGCTTTTAAAGCCAGTTTACCCTAATAGGATTGTTTTCTTTAGAGTTCCAAATGTGTGTGTGTGTGTGTCTCTCTCTCATCCTTGTTTTCTGATGGTTCTGTTTAGGTTGGCTTCTTTGATTATTTTATTGTTGTATGTTGCCATGAGTTTGGGGAACTATGAATAATAATAATAATAATAAGTATTGTTATTATTAATCATTCCCCCATTCCTGTAAGGAGCTCAGAGTTCTCCCATGTGCTCCAGCAGACATTTTGCATGGACTGGGGAACCTTTGGCCCTCCCAGATGTTGCTGAGCTACAGTTGCCATCTTCCTTGACCAGTGGCCCTGCTGACTGGCGCTGATGGGAGCTGGAGCTCGCAAGATCCTCTTCCCTTGATTCCCAAACCCTGATCCTTTGCTTGTACACTTTCCCCCCACGCTTGCAGGAGGCGCTGTCAGTCGTAAGCGAGGACCAGTCCATATTCGACCCATCCTTTGGCACCCCGCACCTCCTGAAGACAGAGCTGCCCTCGGTGGACAACTACGGTGGCAAGGAGGGCATCGGTCTGGAGGAGCCCCAGTGGCAAGCCCAGGCCAACAGCAGAGGCCATGTGGTGAAGCAGGAGAATGAGCAGGTCAACTGCTCCAGCAGGTCAGTGGCACTTCTTTGAGCTGGCTAGCAGAAATCTCCCTTCCTCCCAGCAGCCATCATCAAGCTTGAAGGGCTAATTTTCTTGTAATCATGTGGCTGCTTAAGGCCCAGGAACCAGCTGACAGGGACTGCATACACGCCATCCAGTCAAAGCATGCTCTCCCCAAAAGAATCCTGGGAGTTGTAGTTTGTTAAGGGTCCTGGGAATTATAGCTCTGTGAGTTTCCAGGATTCTTTGGAGGTGCTTTAAATGTGTGTTGTATATGCAGCGTAGCATTCCCTGCCTCTACAGCTTGCCTAACCCAGATCTCTGCATTCTTTCCATCTGAGGTGGCCGCTTTTTCTTTCTATTTTGCTCAGAACTTGCTGCTGTGCCTTTAAGAGCAGACTGCTTACAGGGACATAAAGAGCAGGCGCCGAGAGGCAATCCTTTTACCTCCATATTGCCTGCCCGTTTCTTGCAAACCAGGCTGCTGTTTAAAGCGCAAAGAGCAAACCAGGCTTTATTATTATTGTTATTCCTGGTCAGTTGGCAACCCTTCTGAAGCTCTTGGGCTTGTTTGCCCTGCCGTTGCAAAGATCTGATGCACAGAGGCAGGGCAGGCCATTGGTGGCTGGTGCCCACTGGGACTGGCAGAGTGAGCGGCAGTGAGGCCAGCGATAGGCAGATCTAACCAGGACCTGGGAGACCAGGGTTCAAATCCCCACTCAACCATGGCCCTGTATCTCAGCCGAACCTACCTCACAGGATTAAATGAGGAGGCAGGGAGCCAGGGTACACGCCACTCTGAACACCTTGAGGGAAAGGGTAGAATACAAATGCAATGAATACATATAAATATTCTTCTTAACGGACCATGCTGCAGTGAGGATGGGGTGATTCCCTACCCTGCTGCAGCGCCTGGGCCTTTCAGACCAACTTTACTGGCTGCAGGACGTATCTTCCCCTGGAGCTTGTGGCTGCTCTCAAACCCACAGGAAACAACTCACTTCCCCTTCAGCCAAGCAGTTTATATTAGGCGAATTTGCATCAACCAACGGGCATCTGGTGCAAAAGAGGTTAGCGTAGTTCAGGGCTTCCCAACTTCTTTCTAAAAGAGGCTGAACCTCAGCTCAAGCCCTGCTCAAAAGGAAGGTGAATTCGAGGGAGGGACGCAGCTACAATTCCCAGAGTGGCTTAACAACCACCCCTCTTCGCAAGGAATGCTGGGAATCGTAGCTCAATGAAGGGGACAGGAGACTCCTAACAATTCTCAGCAGCTACCAGACAAACTACAGCTCCCAGAATTCTCTGGGGGTGAAGTCGCCGCTGTTTGAAGTGGTATCATAGTGCTTTTAATTGATGGTGTGGATGTTGACCCAAGACGCCACAGCCACCACAGAAAAAGCCTGTTCTTGTGCTGCCATGCTCAGGAGGAGGAGGCAGCACATGAAGAAGGGCCTCAGAGGATGGCTGGTTTCTGCCTCTGTCATTGATACACATAGAGACCTATAAGCTCAGCTAACTAGCCAGGCTAGAGGCCTTGTGCCTTATCTTGTGCTAGGAGCAGCTTTAGTCCCAAGGTTGTAAACAACATTCCTAAGTGTCTACATTTGACAATGAGATGTGCTCTGCTCAAATGTCCAAACCCCCTCAGGTAGAAAAGGAATGCAAAGAGACCACCTGCAGCAGGGGCTGCTTAGAGAGAGAGTCCTTTGTTTCCTTGCCGAATGAATATGTAATGAAGGAAAGACCATACATGGTATAATTCGTATTGTGTTGTAACTTTAGATTGGAGGAGGTTTATGCATATGTATTGCTTTAATAGATAACAGCTTTGTATATTAAGAAGGCCCCACCTTTTCAGGGCTTTGCTCAGCTTTTGTAGAGTGATCCCACTGAGCCATTATTGCTAGCAATAAACACTCTTTGTTTTCTCACCGCTGTGTGGAGATTTCCTTCATAATCATAATCATAATCATAATCATAATAATAATTTATTATTTATACCCCGTCCATCTGGCTGGACTTCCCCAGCCACTCTGTGTGGCTTCCAACAAAATATTAAAATACCGTAATGCATCAAACATTAAAAGCTTCCCTAAACAGGGCTGCCTTCAGATGTCTTCTAAAAGTCTGGTAGTTGTTGTTCTCTTTGACATCTGGTGGGAGGGCGTTCCACAGGGCGAGTGCCACTACCGAGAAGACCCTCTGCCTGGTTCCCTGTAACTTGGCTTCTCACAGTGAGGAAACTGCCAAAAGGCCCTCGGCGCTGGACCTCAGTGTCCGGGCAGAATGATGGAGGTGGAGACGCTCCTTCAGATATACTGGACTGAGGCCGTTTAGGGCTTTAAAGGTCAACACCAACACTGAATTGTGCTTGGAAACATACTGGGAGCCAATGTAGGTCTTTCAAGACTGGTGTTATGTGATCTCGGTGGCCGCTCCCAGTCACCAGTCTAGCTGCCGCGTTCTGGATTAGTTGTAGTTTCCAGGACACCTTCAAAGGTAGCCCCACGTAGAGTGCATTGCAGTAGTCCAAGCGGGAGAGAACCAGAGCCTCAAACGTTGATTTTTGCTATATCATCACCTGCGAAATGCTGGGAGAGCGCCGTTCAGTTGTGGCAAGTTTTCAGACCTCAGTGAGCACGTTGTCCAACAAAGTCTCCTCTCCCTCTCTTCTCCACCAGCAGGCAATCGCCCGTGGACTGCAGTGTGACACGGAGGGGCAAATCAGGGGGAGCAGTTGACCCGTCCCAGGTATCCTATCCAGCAGGATACAACAACCAGCGCAGCAGCCCACCTGTTAACCCCCCCAGCGAGGAGAAGAGGGTCATTGTCCCAGCAGGTCAGTATATGGGGGCTTTCTGGCATCTCCCCGCCCTTCTCCCCGACTTCTGGTTCACACGCTATGCTGAACTCAGCTACAAGCTCTCTCTACACATGTACAAGGGTGTGTGTGAAATAGTGTGTGCTTGTTGGTTTCTGCAGCTGAGCTTTTGTGTGCACAGACTGTACACTTGTTGAATGTAATGTGTGAATACCCCTGCTGGCTTCTTGTATTGGGGAACAGCCTTTTCTTCCAGTAATGGCTGGTTTCCCAGGCTGTTATTCCACCTGCTGTGGGCAACTACCAAATCCCATTTGTAACCTGTACTCTTGACACAAGGGATGGTGACCAAATCACTTCATTTAGAACAAACTCTAACACATGTAAAGCATGAGAAAAGCCCACCAGAAACCTGTATCCTTTCAGGTGCTTCTAGAACTCCTCAGCTTTTGTGTAAAACCAGGACTACACTAGAAAGTAAGGGGTGGTGGTGGTGGATGACTGTTCAATTAGAAGTGACAGGAAATCACACATCACATGCTCAGAGGCACAATCATCTTACATATTCCCGGTCTGAGCTCTAAACTTCAAAATAGGTCAAGAAAGGCCTATGGATGGTGTAATGTTAAGAAATTCCAGGACATGTTTTATGCGAACCATTTCACCAAACATAAGAGCACCCCGCAGAACCGATTATGGTAGGGTTGCCATAATTCAGAAAGAGAAAATCCAGACAGAAAAGTTGTTGATTCTGTTTCGCAAAATCGCAAAGAAATGAGGTTTCAGAGGTATTTCCCCCCAGAAATCGCTGATATCGCCACTTCCAATATGGGTTGCACCATGCATTTAAAGCACATGACTCCCCCCTCAAAGTATGCTGGGAACTGTAGCTTGTTAAGGGTGCCAGGAATTGTAGCACTATGAGTGGTAAATTACAGTTCCCAGGATATTTTAAAGCATGCGCCTTTGATGTATGGTGTGTACTCAGAGGTAGCCTCACTATCATATTGCCCCAAAGTATCCTGGGAACTGGAGTTTGCTAAGCGTGCTGGGAATTAGCTCTGTGAGGTGTGAGGGGCCTGCAGAGGGTGTTCTGCCCAAGGAACATCCAAAACCTGGAGCCAACATTGTACCCAGACACCTGTATCTCTCCAACAGACCCTGGCGTGTGGACCCACGAACACGTCCGCCAGTGGCTTGACTGGGCAGTGAAGGAGTACGACCTCATCGACGTTGAAACCGGCCTCTTCCAGCATGTGGACGGCAAGGAGCTGTGCAAACTTGGCAAGGAAGGTTTCCTGAGGCTCACTACACCATACAACGCCGACGTGTTGCTGTCTCACCTCAATTACCTGCGCCAGAGTAAGGCCATTGACAGGCTCGGGGTGGCAAAACTCAGTTTTCAGATAGAGGCTGCGTGTGGAACAGGGGGGCGTTGCACAATAGCCACTTCTAAAAATTGCTTTCTGCTCCCTCATGGGGAGCTGGTTATCTGAACCATGCAACACTATCAGGAGAATTGCATGACAGATCTGTGGCAAAATTGCGGTGCTGGACAGTAGGAGTATTCATTTCCTCCAAAAACGCCTTGCATGTAGAGCATTAGCCGCTCAGGGAACCTGCTTCCATGACACACTAACTTTCCATGTGTGGGGTGGTTTCAAAGAAGGGATACGCATTCAAATGAAAGATCCTCCGCTTCCAGTCTGAAGCAGTGCAAGAATCCTATCACGCTTGACACATGCCTTATGCAAAGTCAGGTTTTTGATCCATCTAGGTTTTTCTTTTCTAGCCCTGCTCCCTGACACCATGGCACAGTGACAGAGCATGTGTAAGGTCGTAGTTTTGTCCCCCAAGCTCGCCTCTTTGCAGGGGATGGAGAAGAACTAAGAACATCAGAATATGTCAAATGCCCATCTAGCCCAGCCAGCATCCTGTTCTCACTGTGGCCAACCACATACCTATGGGAAGCTCAAAAGTAGGAGCTGAGCATAATAGCTACCTCCCCATCTATGATTCCTAGCAACTGATATTCAAGAGTATACTGCTAGCAACCATGGAAGTAGAACATATCCAATGTGGAATTTGAGACCCTGGACTTAGAGGCCTAGTGGGAAGCAGATTCCTTAGCTCAGGCATAGGCAAACTCAGCCCTCCAGATGTTTTGGGACTACAACTCCCATCATCCCTGACCTGGTCCTGTTAGTTAGGGATGATGGGAATTGTAGTCCCAAAACATCTGGAGGGCCGAGTTTGCCTATGCCTGCCTTAGCTCTTGAACTAGCTTGGAAAGTATTCTATTATTCTTACTGCAACTACGATTACCCTGTGATAATAGCAAACGAAACCTCAATCTGTGACTGGCCAATGACTACCGCAGCCCCTCCTGCCCTCTAGTAACTCTTCTGCATTTCTCTCTCCTCCACCCAGGCAGCCCCACTTTTACGTATCCGCCTGCGCCGGTCATTACTCAGCAGCCCCCGCCCCCGCCACCCCCGAGGGCCCAAGTCAAATCCGGTAAGTTGCCAGCAAAGGTAATGGCAAGATTGGGACGTGGGGCTGGGATAGGACCCGCGTCTCACAGATCTCACATGAAAGCAAAGTTGTGGTGCTTGAGAGTGAGCCACAGAGTCAGGGGAGGTCTGGCTATAGACCCAATCTGGCAATCCTCAGCTTCTGTAGTAGTCATTATCGATATCCCCCATTCTCTCACATTTTACAGAGAATCATTGATGCCAACCTGCTGCAGGCTGGTGTTTCTCAGTGTTTCATTCCCAACTTTTCCAAACTACTGTGTTTTAAAAAGAAGAAAAGAATTGCAGCTCCAGCCTCTCCAGGTGCAAAACACCACTGAGGCTCTTCAGAGCTACTGCACCTTTAGTTAGAAGCTTCCTCCTTGTAGCTTTTGCCACTAATTGCTTCCTGTTGAAAGCGGCGAAGTGTTAGGGATTGCCCCTTAATTTGTCATGTCTCTGCATGGAGGGGGGGAGAGCGCATATATATTTGGTTGTTACACAGTATTGCAAGCATGATGAACATGGACAAATACACCGCCGTTTCCCATTTTACAAGACCTCCGCTTTGAATCATCTGTGCACTGTGTCTTTCCTCCCTGAAATAGCACCTCTGTTTAATTCAGGCCCATTTTATCTCTCTTGGTACAGAGTCTGCATATGAAGAAATACGGCGCAACAGCTGGGGCAGCGGTTCCATCAGCACAACTTCCAAAGGTACTAGTTAGTCATTCCCAGAATAAAAAATGGGAAGGCTGCATTTTTAATCTCTCTCCTCTGGTTGTGTTGATATGGGGCAGGGCCATAGCTCAGCGGTCCAGAACATCTGCTTCTAGTGCAGAAGGTCTCAGGTTCAATCCCTGGCATCTCCAGCTAGGGCTGGGAGAGACCCTCCTGCCTCCTGAATCCTGGAAAGCTGCTGCCAGCCAGTGTAGGCAATCCTGAGCTAGCTGGACCGGGGGAGGCAGGGTTGACAGCTCCCGGTTCTCCTAACCTGCTTGGCCAGGAATTACTCGTTCTCAGTCTGCATGGACTGGATGGACAAAGCTACAGGTGCCCGATAGGCAGAGGACCCCTCCAGATGTCCTTTTTCTTGTGCACACATGATTATTTGTTCTCATGGAGCCAGAACACAGAGTCATTCAACAAAGCTAAAGGGTATGAGATTCAGGAGAACGAGAGAAGAAGTGCACCCTTAATAATAAGAAGAATTTATTATTTATACCCTGCCCATCTGGCTGGGATTCCCCAGCCACTCTGGGCAGCTCCCAACAGAACGTTTAAAAACACAATAAGAGATCAAACATTTAAAACTTCCCTAAACAGGGCTGCCTTCAGATGTCTTCTAAAAGTCAGATAGTTGTTTATTTCCTTGACATCTGAAGGGAGGGCATTCCACAGGGCAGGCGCTGCTACCCAAAAGGCCCTGTGCCTGGTTCCTTGTAACTTCACTTCTCGCAGTGAGGGAACTACCAGAAGGCCCTCAGAGTTGGACCTCAGTGTCTGGGTAGAACACTGGGGGTGGAGACGCTCCTTCAGGTATAGTGGGTTGAGGCTTTAAAGGTCAGCACCAACACTTTGAATTGTGCTCAGAAACGTACTGGGAGCCAATGTAGATCTTGGTGGCCACTCCCAGTCTAGCTGCCGCATTCTGGATTAGTTGTAGTTTCCGGGTCACCTTCAAAGGTAGCCCCACGTAGAGTGCATTGCAGTAGTCAAAGCGGGAGATAACTAGAGCATGCACTACTCTGTTGAGACACAGTCTGCGGGCAGGTAGGGTCTCAGCCTGCATACCAGATGGAGTTGGTAGACAGCTGCCCTGGACACGGAATTGACCTGCGCCTCCATGGACAGCTGTGAACATAGAGATAATGTTAAACTACAGAACTTGCTTCCACAGCAAGCTTCCACCAACCTACATCAACCTACATTGCTTTTACAAGGTGATTAGACAAATTTATAGAAGTTAAGTGCATAGATGGTTACTCATCCTGATGGCTGTAGGATACCTTTTGAGATCAGTGTGCCCTTGAATACCAGCTGCCGGGAACGAAAGCAGGACAGAGCCATGGGGCTCAGGCCCCTCTTGCAGACTGTCCATAGGCATCTGGTTGACCCCTGTGAGGAACAGGATGCTGGTCTAGGTGGGCCTTTGGCCTGATCCTGCCATGCTGTTCTTTTGTTCTTTTGACTTCAGTCAAGGGGAAATAGTTCTCAGCCCCAGTGAAATCAAATAATTGCATATGGACATCTTTTGTTTCTCTCTCTTAATGCTTCCCTTGCTGCTTTTCCATCTTCAAGGTTCTCCACCACAGATCCAGGGTGTCAGCAGGACTCCTGATTCAACACGCATTGCTCCAGGTACAGTTTTTCACCTTTCCTAGGAGGAGTTTGCACCATTTCCTGCCTTGGGACTGCCACCCTTTTTTTTTATCAGCCTCTGTTCCTGTGCTTTTAACAACAGCATCATCTGCAACCCAGCAAGGGCTCCAGTGTATTTCCATCCTGTCAAAAGGATCACCTGCTGATTTCTGTAGATCAGGTTGTTAAAGGCAGAAGAGCAGATTAGGCTCCTCTTTTTCTGGTCAGTTGGCAACTATGCTTTCTAATGACACCACACATTTTGTGATGTGGGGATGGCAAGCATATTCTTATAATGCTTTCAAACGAATATATTTAGCTTGCGCAGGTGGAAGGGGCAAAACAGGACTCTTATATCCACGGTGTTGAAGAGAAAATTTTGACAGGTGCAACTTGTCATGTCAGAGTTCTGAAGGGAAGGGAAAATGTGCACTAGCTAAAAATCTCTCTTCTGTATAAACAGAGGAGATAGATCATGGACTTCAACAGGTCACCCTAGCATCAATGGCATGCCTTTATTTAAATATACGTTCCTTCTTACCCCTAATATATTTTCCACTCACGTTTCATCTCCACAACAGCTTTGTGGGGTTGGTTGTGGCAATTTTTCTGCGGCTGGAGAAAAAAAAGCTGAGGAGCAGAGATGCTTCCAAGGTCACAAATAAGACCACAGCTGAGCTGAGCGGTAGCCAACTTTTTTTAATGGCAGGGCTCCTGTGCCTTTAACGGCTATGTGGCTAGCAAGAATTCAGCTGACAAAGCTTTTCTCAGCATGGAAAGAACAGTGATGGGGAAAGAATTGTTGGCTTGGTTGGATTTCTGCTTGCCACTCAGCTCCTAAAGACCTTGCTAAGAAGAGATGTTGGCAAACTAACAAGGTGGTGATTTGAACTTGGCTCCCAATGCAATAGCATCTAGTAGGCCACGGATGGGGGCCTGTGACCCTCCAGATATGGTCAGACTTCAACTCCCATCAGACCCAACCAGCATAGCAAATGCTCAGGGATGATGGGAGTTTTAGTCCAGCAACATCAGGAGAGGGACCCCAGGTTCCTCATTCCTTGGAGTAGAACATAGTGGCTCTTGGAGCAGTTGGGCCAGAAGGAGGTCTAGTTGTTACTGAGGTGGTCAAGGATACCTGTACTTGCTTCAGACGGCAAGTGTGGGCTCACATTGCTGAATGCAGAAATCCTCTCTCCCTGCACAAGGATTGCTAGCATGTCGTGCCTACAGCCTAGCCTTGAACTTGACAGGCTAGTTTTCTATTTGCAGGGACTTTTATTTACTGATATGGAGGAGCATTCAGCCGCATGAGCTGCAACCTGCAGTCTGAAGTGGTACGGCCCAGCCCAGAGCTGTACCACCTCAGCCAGAGCTCAGCCGGGAAGCGCCTGAGAACAGCAGTGAGGCTTTCCAGGCGATGCGACAAGGCAGAGCTGCAGGTGGGGAGCTGCATCTTACTCCAGCCCCTCTCACGACTCCCTTCTCATTCTCACCAGATCCATACCAGGTCCTGGGACCCACTAGCAGCCGCTTGGCAAACCCAGGTGGGTCCAAACGTCTCTTTCTCTTGGGGAGTTAGAGGGGGTGTGCAGCCGGGCTCGTGGCACAGAGGTGCCATAATGGGAAAAGAAAGCTTCGCCTGTTGAATCCCCTTCTAAGGCTGGGAAAGGGCAGGGAGATAGCAAATAGGTGCTTGCAGAGACGAAAGCTCCCACCCGTTTAGCGAGCCAAGCTGTTTGCTGTGACAAAAACTTGGGCAGAGGATAATATGGGAGTGAGGAGCAAAGATGCACCATGTTCAAAAGCCCAGTATTGATCTCCAATAGAGATGGGGAACCTCCGGCCCTCCAGATGTCATTGGACTACAACTCCCATCATCCAGGGGTCATGGATGGTGGGAGTTGTAGTCCAGCAACATCTAGAGGGCTGCAGGTTCCCTGGCCCACAGCACCTGCCCTCTTAACCTGGCCAACCCACTCGCTGAGCAGCTTCGCAGACAGTTCAGAGTTCTCACCTTTGCCCCCAACCCCAACCCTTAACCAGGCCCCTTCTCTCCCCCGGCAGGCAGCGGTCAGATCCAGCTGTGGCAGTTCCTCCTGGAGCTGCTGTCAGACAGCAGCAACGCCAACTGCATCACCTGGGAGGGCACGAACGGCGAGTTCAAGATGACGGACCCCGACGAAGTGGCTCGGCGGTGGGGCGAGCGCAAGAGCAAGCCCAACATGAACTACGACAAGCTGAGCCGGGCGTTGCGCTACTATTACGACAAGAGCATCATGACCAAAGTGCACGGCAAGCGCTACGCCTACAAGTTCGATTTCCAGGGCATCAACCAGAGCCAGCAAGGGCAGCCGGGAGAACCTGCCCTCTACAAGTACCACCACACGGACCTGCCTTACCTCCCGCCCTACCACCAGCAGAAGGTGGGCTTCGGCCTGGGCCACGCCGCCCAGATGCCCACTTCCCCCACAGGCTTCTTTGGGCCCACCTCCCCCTACTGGAATTCCGGCGGGGGCAACCTCTACCCAAACCCCAACGTGCCCAGGCAGCCCGGAAGCCACTTGAGCTCTTTCTTCTAGTCCCCTTGATGCCTCCGGGGCCCTTCAAGCTACTCTGACTCCTGCATAAGGCCAGCAGAGCTCATTGTTCAGACAGCAGCCGAGCCCCAAGACTGTGAATTATCCTGGGTGGTGTGGATGAAGGTCCTACCACCAGGGGGCAACCCTCTCATCTCCTTTGGCACTTAGTGCAACGCCCATCTGATCTCCTCCTTCGCCACTAGGAGGTGATGAACTTGGCTGGAACTTCTACAGCACAGATGGGGAGCCCGCAGCTACAACTCCCATCGTCCTTGACCCAAGGCTGGGGGTGATGGGAATTGGAGTCCGGCAACTTGGGGAAAGGGCCACAGCTGCCCCATCCGCGGCTCCCGAGCGAATGACAGAGCCTAATAAGGGCCTCAAATTTGCATGCACCATAGCAGAGGGAACTTGAGGTTGCAAGAGACTTGCTTGGCATCTTTTCATGGCTGGCCTAAGACGTTTTGCTGATGACAAACACAGCTGAGCAGAGCAGGCTAAGGTGGGGGAACAGCACAGGCCGAGGGGGCCTGCAGCCTAGTCCTCCAGCCCTTTGCTGCCACACCTCTCTCACACAAACACACACGACCTCTGCCACCTAAGGTGGCTGTCTCACTCTCCCTTAATGCCAGTGGTACCCAGAGTGGTTTTCCAATCAACCCCTCTTCCCAGGGAACTCTGAACTATAGTTCTGTGAGGGGAATAGGGGTTGCCTTAACAACTCTTTGGGACACGGGTAGCGCTGGGGTCTAAACCACAGAGCCTAAGGCTTGCCGATCAGAAGGTCGGCGGTTCGAATCCATCCCCGCGACGGGGTGAGCTCCTGTTGCTCGGTCCCTGCTCCTGCCAACCTAGCAGTTCAAAAGCACATCAAAGTGCAAGTAGATAAATAGGTACCGCTCTGGCAGGAAGGTAAACGGTGTTTCCATGCGCTGCTCTGGTTCACCAGAAGCGGTTTAGTCATGCTGGCCACATGACCCGGAAGCTGTACACCGGCTCCCTTGGCCAGTAAAGTGAGATGAGTGCCGCAACCCCAGAGTCGTCCACGACTGGACCTAATGGTCAGGGGTCCCTTTAACAACTCTTAGCGCCTCAAGCAAACTACAGTTCCCGAGATTCTTTGGGGGTGGGGAGCCATGGCGGTTTAGATGTATGCTTTAAATCTAGGGTGTGAATATGCCATAATCGCCCTTGTAGAACTTAGCAGAGAAGACAAAACTAGAATGAGTCAGCTCTGCCAGTCATTGGTTCTGGCTCCCCCTACTGTTGGGCTCCCTGCTTTCTGCCCTGTCGGCCCCAGTGGGCCACTGAGGAGGTCAAGCCTATATGTTAAGACTAGCAGCTGCTGGGGGAGAAGAGACACTGACATACAGTACAGCCACAACAATAGCAGCGCCATTTTCTCTTGGAACATCAAATTCCACTCTCTGTTTCCAAACCCTGGTGTGACAATAGAAGTAGCATTTTCCAGCATGGCAGTGATGGTTGAAAAGGGCCTTTGCTCCTGACTTGGGCATTTCCAGTGTATTTGGGCAGTGGGGGGTGGGGGGGGAGATTAAGGTAACAAGTGCTTATTGGCTAGCACTCATGCCATCACCAGGGCTGCTTTTGCCCCCTTAAGTCAGCCCACGTTTTTTGCAACTATTTTTAATGTTTTAATGCTTAAGGTTCACGGTTTTAATTTGCCAGGTGGGTGGGTGGGTAAGGAAAAGGGAGAACATTTATATTCCTATTTTTTAAAAGATGCATGTGTGGCAGTTTTAAAATAAATATTAAGAGACACAAGGGGTTAAGAAGCATATGTATATGCGTATCAAGAGGGGCTGAACTTAAAACTGCAGGTGACCTCCACAAAATGGTCTTCACCGTTCTACGATTGCAAACCTCAAAGCACAATGGTTAGACTTAACTTCGTTGAGCTGAGCGAGGCTTTCGAGTGGGCCATTTTCCAACTTCTTTCCAAAGTCTTGAGTATTTTCCAACCTCTTTCCAAAGTCTTGAGCACCTATTGCCTTCTCATTTGTAGTAAAAGCTGCTCCGTTTCCTTCCAGAATCCTCACAATGGTTTGGAGTCGTGCTATTTTGGGGCAGCGTGGCAAACTGAAAACACAGACCCAGCCAATGGGCACTACTAGGTTGAGGTCAGGGCAGGTACCCCTGTGGATTCTGGACAATCACTGGTGCTCTGACAAGGGCCCCAGGTTGCCTTGTGGTGATGCCAGGCCTCATTCTGGGTACTGCAAATTTACCTCTAAACAGTGTGTGGAGGCCATCTGTTAAGAATGGAACATATATTAGTCTTCAATGACTTTAGCAATCTCAGGGGCTCTGGAGGACAGTTGTTCGGGGAGGATGTTGTTGCTTGGAAATGGGTCGCTTCCCCTCAAAGAGCTGCAATTCCCAGAGAAGCAGGAATGACTGCTAAATCTCTTTCAGTTTATAATGTACATATATATCAGAGGTAAATAAGCATGTGATCTGAGCATGCAGCAAACCACTTGAAGCTGTAAAGTGCAACAAGCATTTTGTTACATAAGGCTCTCCCATGAAAGAGATCCCCACAAGTAAAAAAATCCAGCGCAGAAAGGAAGTTTTTGTTTCAGGCTGTTCCCTGCTATGCTAGGTTTCTACTTGCAGGGAGAGTGTTGCTGTTGTTTTACATATGGGATTGTTGAAAATAGGATTCCTCCAGCTGCAGTGGTACAAATTCTAACCTCAGCCTCTGGCTCATGCCACTGCCTCCCAGGAGCAAGGAGGAGAGGCAAGGTAAACTCAACCTATCTCTTGAATAATATGGGCAACAATTCAGATAAACAAGAGGAGATGCTACAACAATCTGCTGGGTGTGTGTTTGTGCTGAGAGTTTCCAGGAGATGCTTCATCACCTCACAGCTACAATTCCCAGAGTGGTTCATGCCAATTTTCAGGGAACTCTGAAAACTCTGTAAACAGACACTACTACAAGTCAACACGTGGTTTAAAGGTGTAGTCTGACTGGTATATATACTTAAAGGGACACTGAAGTCCGGATGGTGTGACCTAAATTATACAAGTGGTGGAATTCCCCTTTATTTGCCAGTGTTGCAAACTAACCCATTTCTGCCGCTTGTGGAGGCAGACCCAAGAGGCTGCAGCCAACTAAAGCGTGCTCTCATAAGACGACCTGCAGAAATCAATGGACTTGGGTGACCGTTGATTTCAATGGGTCTCCTTTCGAGTATCACTTAGTTGTTGCAGCAACCCCCTTGGGTCCGGCTCCACAGTGGCAGAGACAGAAGAGCTTGCAGCATAGGCAAAGAGATGCAGATGTCGCCCACTTGCATAATTTAGGTCACATCCGGACTTCACCTTCGCCACCACCTTTAAGTGCCTATATGACTCAGAGTACACCTTTACGGCACACGTTGGATGAGAACGGAGGCTGCTGAAAGGCAAAATGCTGAGGAGGACAGCTACCATTTTGAACCATCTTCTCCGGCAATGCCTCTCGCACTTCCTAGCTATGGAACTGAGTAGCAGTAACAGCAGCATCTTATTCAAAATTCTCTGTCTCCTGTACGCAACTCTCCCTCAACTCCTGGAACTTCCCAGCCTGCCACCAGGTAGTTCAGCACCAGGAAGGCCTCGAGAGACAAGGAACATCTTATTAGAGAGGTTTAAGAGGACTACAATTGCAGGAAACAAGTTGCCCTGCCCATACACAGAGAGTCAGTGTGGTGTAGTGGTTAAGAGTGGTGGACTCATAATCTGGTGAACCGGGTTCGATTCCCCGCTCCTCCACATGCAGCTGCTGGGTGACCTTGGGCTAGTCACACTTCTCTGTAGTCTCTCAGCCTCACTCACCTCACGGTTTGTTGTGGGGGAGGAAGGGAAAGGAGATTGTTAGCTGCTTTGAGACTCCTTAGGGTAGTGATAAAGCGGGATATCAAATCCAAACTCCTCCTCCTCCTCCTCCTCCATACGGATCCCATCAGTCCATCTTGAGTAGCAGCAACCAGAATCCTGAATATATGGGTTTTGGAGAACCACTGCTCTTCCTCTTGTGTGTCTGTCACCCACAAAACAACATCCTGAAGCTCCTTTTAAGTACTGTCCCACTGCAAAGATGATGGATTCCACTCATTCCCATAAACACATCTCCCTCCGTAATACAATTTCTGTTCTGTCGCGCTCCTGTATTATTAGTCTTCAGTGTATTAAAAGATGTGCTGTAGATGAAACTTTCTGGATTTGATGGGTCTTGAGTAGGCCTGGGCAATATATCAATATGTATTGTGAGCACTGGGGCTATCTCAGCTGGGGGGGGGACTTCCCCTCCCCCCAGCTGAGTGACACAAACAAGCTGCATTGTCGCTGCCTGTGAGCCTGGCTGAAACCGCCTCAGCTCTCTCTGTCTTTCTTCCTTGGAAAGAGAACTGCAAAAGCAAAAGCTATACAGAGTGGAAACAACCAACGTATCTCAATTTCCTCACACAAGACTCCAGTGCTGGAATGTAAACAGACATGTGACATATAACAATCCCACACAACCGCAGCTCAGGAGGAATGGAATTCTCAACACCAATAGTTTAAAAGTTGCATGTGAAAAGAAATTCACACAAAAACCTTGAGCTATGCTTTTGAGTTCCATTTTCCTCCACTCTGAAATAAGATCACCTCTGTGGAGCTCGGTTGTCCACTTTTAGAGTCAGGTGCATGCAATTCCTGAGCTGTAGAGCTGAACTGGTATGTGCACACGGCTCTACAAAACCCTCAAAGGCCATTTTGGTGGTCTGGTTTAAAAAACAGCAACGGAAACCCCCAAAGCCTGTAGTTTTCCCCCTCCCGAGTTGCTATTATTATATATTTATTTATATCCCCCACTTTCTCTCCCTGACATGGACTCCCCCTAAATCCCAGGGTTCCCTGCAGGAGTTCCAGATCCTTTTCCCAACAGAGGCCCCTCAGCATCTTTCCCTCTCTTCTCTCTCCCCCCCCCCCCCATTTCTCTTATTTAATCAAGGGAGCAGAGCAGAGCCTTGTCCCACCTCTACAGCTGTCGTCTGCCCAGCAGCCTCCACCCCTGCAGGGGTCAAAACACCCACCTTCCTCCACTGCTCCCATCTGCTTCCTGCTCTCGTGCCCAAATCCACGGCTGCTTTTCCTGTTTGTCCGGCCCCAGGACAATGCAGACAGCTTGTCTAGGACATACACAGCCAGAACAATGGGGGTTACGAAGCAGATGGGCCATGCAATAACACAAGGGGGGCGGATGACAGAAGAGGCTCCTTCGCTTCCCTGGTTCTGCTCCCCTCTGCTTGCAAAAAATAAAATAAAAGCAGATATTCCTAACTCCAAGTGGGAAATGCATGTGCCTCTACAGGTACCCTTCTCTTGCTGTTGCTTGTGGAGAGGGCAATTCCTTTTCTCTTCAGTGCCCAGCCCAAAGCCTTTAAGAAGCCAGGAAAACTCTCTCATAAGAAACCCTTGCACTATTTCCCCAGAAGCATGAAAGGAACGGTAGAAGCACCATTTATGTCTGGCGTGGGCGAGAGAAGAGGTGCGCAGACCAACTGGTCAACCCATAGGAAATGAGGCCGACGTAACAGGCCCTCTCCTGGTTTACGGAAATTGGCACACCCACAGCACCAATGAGTAGAAGGCTGGTCTTAGGAAGAGGTCATGCTATTTGGCCATCTAACCCAGTAATGTCAACTCTGACTGGCAGCAGCCTCGCAGGACCCTTAGGCTGAATGTTTCCCTGCACCCCATCTTTTTAATGAGATGCCAGAGGTTGATATTGCGACTTTCTGCAGACCACTTTAAGAGGCAGTGGCGGCCACTGATTTAGGTGGCCTTAGAAAACCAGACAAATTAATGGAGGATAAGCCTTCTTGCCAACAAAGGTGCGTATAGTTAAAGCTATGGTTTTCCCAGTAGTGATGTATGGAAGTGAAAACTGGACCATCGAGAAGGCTGATCGCTGAAGAATGGATGCTTTTGAATTATGGTGCTGGAAGAGACTCTTGAGAGTCCCATGGACTGCAAGAAGATCAAACCTCTCCATTCTGAAGGAAATCAGCCCTGAGTGCTCACTGGAAGGACAGATCCTGAAGCTGAGGCTCCAGTACTTTGGCCACCTCATGAGAGGAGAAGACTCCCTGGAAAAGACCCTGATGTTGGGAAAGATGGAGGGCACAAGGAAAAGGGGACAACAGAGGACGAGATGGTTGGACAGTGTTCTCGAAGCCACCATCATGAGTTTGACCAAACTGCGGGAGACAGTGGAAGACAGGAGTGCCTGGCGTGCTCTGGTCCATGGGGTCATGAAGAGTCGGACACGACTAAACAACAACAAGAAGCCGTCTGGCAACTACAAAACCAGATAGCTCTGTTCTACCTCCTCTGCTGGGGGCTGTATGCTTCTGAATAGTAGCTACTAGGAATCAGTCCAGATTGCCATTGAGGATCAGGCTCTCCATGCAGGTTTCCAGTGGGCAACTGGTTGGTTACTGTGAGAACAGATTGCTGGACGAGACGACCCAGCAGGGCTTGATTAGGTTCCTATGCAAAGCATGCACTCCAACACTGAACGATGGTTCCACGCCCCTCCCACCCCAATTTCCTCTGATAAGCTTCCAAGAAACCTCAGCATTTCCTAGAACAGCTAGAAAATAATTTCCTTAAAAAGGAGAGAAGCTGCCAGTCAGAGTAGAAGCAAACAGGTTTACCTGGAAGAAGGCTGCTTTCCTAGGACTTTGACGAGGGCTTTGCTTGGAGGGGAGAGGAGGTACCTTGGGGCTTGGAGAAGAATAGGGATGGAAAGCTAAATGTTAAATCAAGTAAGAGGGAGATATTAACCTCTAAACACTTTGCTTGTAAGTCGACCCTTTTGGATAAAATCTAAACGAAACAATAACAACCCACTTTCCAGGACCACAATGGTTCCTTTTGAGCAACCGCATCACAGGAATCACGTTAACCCTACATGTGGCTTTTCAGGGTCTCACGAGGCCCAGTCTGGCTACAAGATTCAGCTGCTGGTATCACAGACTCAAGGCAATCTCTTGGGGGCTGCTCTGTCCTATCTAGAACCAACATGGGGTTAGAGCTTTATGGAAGAGAAAGAAGCTTTATCAACCAGGAAAGGAAGGCACTCTCCTTCCAGAAGGGGCACCACAACAGAAGGAACTGTCTAGAGCCAAGAATGTTGCAGATGGCCATTTAGCCCAGGGATGGGGAACCAGGTGGCCTCCAACTCGTACCAGCCCTGGCCAATAGTCAGGGAAGATGCAGTCCAGCAGCCCGGAGGGGCACAAACTCCAGCATCTGTCTTTTAAAAAAGTAAAAAAAGTGGGGGACCCACAATAGGTCATATTGGCCAGAGGGAAACTAGCAAGGGAATAACTACACAGAAGACAAGCTGAATGGATGTAGTAAGAAAAAAAAAAAAAGATACACACAACTTTATTGGGTAAGAAGACTTTTGTCCACGGAAGTTGTCATTACGCACAAACTATCCCCCAGCTGAGTTTGTAGGTTGCGACTCCTCAGCATCGAACCCACAAAGCTGCTATTAGACTGCAGAGCTAATGGGGAAGGGTTTGTCTGTGTATGACAAAGAGAGAACACACACGTATCTTCTACACGGAAGAGGCCTTGGACTGATGGAGTAACAAAGCACTTCCAGTCTCCTGCCGTCAGCTTCTTCCTACGGTCTGCTTCTTCTCCAGCAGAGGGCAGGATCGAACAGGCCTACAGACAATTCCTTGCTTCAAGGGGCTCATGGGTGAACAGCAGACAACGACATCCTGCACCTCGTTACCTCAGCCCCAACTTCTTCTTCTCCTTCTGTTTCTTGCGCACCACGTCAATATTGCGATCTTTCCACATGCTTTTGCGCAGCTTGATGGGCCGGCTGCCGACGTACTTTCCTGCCGCAGACACACGAGAAAGGGCAGGGGGGAGATTGGGGGGGGGAGGCAGAGAGAGAGGAAGGAAGGTTCAGTAAGACTGTCCTGTCCAAGCCAGCTCACCTTGTGTGGCTGGAGAAACGTGGAGCTGTTTCCCAAGCTGCCCTCGGTTAATTCACTGGCTGACACCCCAGGGCTTCAACGTAATACGTTGTGCCAATGGCCTCCAGTTACGTCATCAAACAAGACAACTAATGTGGGAATTGAGCAACCACAGAGACTTCCCCAAGCAGGAGCATCTGAAGTCAGTCACACTCCTTGAAATATACACCAGATTAGAGGTATACACGTTTCCAGACAGCCTTGGCCTGCTCCCTCATCGAGATGTATGTCATGTTACAGATCCTTTCAGGTGTTGAACATCAGCAGAGTGAGCCCTCTCAATAGTTCCATCACTTTCAAAAGCTCAGTGGCTGCAGCCCAGGAAAAGGCATTCTTTGTGGCAGCTCTTAGTCTGTGGAACTCCCTCCCCAGAGAGGTGCATCTGACACCTTCCCTACAGTTTCCATCATATGCTGAAGACACACCTCTTTTACCTTGTCCTTTGACACCCGAGATGCAGTGTTTTAGGACTCACCCTACACTTGTGATTATAATGTTTTTAATGTTGCACTTTAAATTGTTATAACCTGCCCTGGGTCCTTAGGCAGTAAATAGTAATAATAAGCAGCAGCTTTGAAGATGCTATGAGGGCCTTCAAGATCCAGCACAACACTGCTAGCAGGTGAGGAGCTGGCCGTTTCCGTGTAGTATTGAACGTTCGAAAGATTCAGAAAACAAGTAGACATATTGCTGCCTTAAATACAGGAAGCTGCCTGACACAAACTACAGTGGTACCTTCGTTCTCAAAGGCTTTGATACTCAATCAACTTAGAACCCAAACACTGCAAACCTGGAAGTAAGTGTTCCGGTTTGTGAACTTTTTTCGGAAGCCGAACGTGTTCCGTTTTGAGGTCTGTCTGTTTTTGCTATTTATTTTGTGTTTTTGTTTTTGCAGCTTTTTGTTTTGTTTTTGTGACTGCGTAGAACCCAGTTCACCTACTGAGTGATTGATTGATTGATTGTGTGACTGCAGTCCATTGTTTATTGCTTTCATTTTATGGATCAATGGTCTCGTTAGATAGTAAAATTCATGTTAAACTGCTGTTTTAGGGGTTGTTTTTAAAAGTCTGCAACGGTTTAATTCATTTTGCATTACTTTCTATTGGAAAGCGTGCCTTGGTTTTGGAATGGACTTCCAAAATGGATTAAGTTTGAGAACAAAGGTACCACTGTACTGGGTTTGTCTAGTCTAGTTCTATCTACTCCGCCTGGCAGCAGTGCTCCATGGTCTCAAGCAAAGGTTCTTCTCATTGCCTGCTACTTGATCCTGGAAATGGCAGGAACTGAACTTGGGACTGTCTTCATGAGAAGTGCATGCTCTGCCCCTGACCCATGATCTTTCCCCACTTCAGCAGAGCAGGGGCTCCACTGGGAGTGAGCGATTCCAGGCCCTGTACAGCTCCTAGCTCTCCCCACCCCCCCGCCCAACAGGGATCAGGCACCCCAACCCTCAGAATTCTAGGATTCGGCTCCCATGAACTGGGTCCGCAGCTCAGGCAGCGCCTCACCATTCATCTCCCGCATGGCACGGACATAGTCGTTTGGGTCCTTGAAGCTGACAAAGCCATAGCCTTTTGTCTTGCCGGTGCGCTTGTCCCGGATGACCTTGGCCTTCAGGAAGGAGGGGTAGCGGCTGAAAGCGCGTGCAAGGATGTCGTCGTTCACTTCATTGCCCAGGTCGCCACAGAAGATCCGGAAATCATCTGGGGGAGGGGGGACAGAGGAAGGGAGGAAGAGCACAAGACATGAGACTGGGCAATTGGCCCTTTTGACAATTTGTTCTTGTCCTTTCCTGACATAACAAGTTTCTGGCCCTCAAGATGGCAAAGTACGTGGGCAAAAGGAAAGCAGGATGATTTGCAGCAGTCAATGTACTTGTCCTCAGAGTCTTCTGTGACTCCTCGGCCTTCAAACAGCAGCAAAATTGTGTGTTATTTCCCCAAAACCTGTCTAATTTTAATAGTTTATTATCCAAGTCTCAAAAGTCAAGTTTGGCTTGATGAAGTTTAACCTTGAATTAACATTTATTTCAAACGTAAGTTTAAATATGAAAGAATTTATTGTCAGCCACTGATGTCAACTAACCCCAAGCTTGAGGGAACAGTCCCTTGCAATGAGGATTCTTGCCAGTATTTTTGACTGTTCACCAACTCATGTGACGACGGACACTCACCAGAATCCCATTCAAGTAGGCTGGGGTCCTCCCAGCATGTACCAGCAGCTGTGCGGATGCAGCGCTTGAGCTTTTCCTGCTTCATTTTCTTCTTGTCCTCTGGTGTGCTCTCTACAACAGGCTGGCCGGGGATGGGAAGAGAGAGAATGTGCTGATTAGGCAAAAGACCACTTCAAGAATTTGTTTCAAATGGAAATTTGTTTCTAGCCTGGTGACCTCCAAGTAGGTAGGTTGACTGAACCAGACTCTCTTCCCCCTCACAGTCTCATTTACCCTGTTGGAGGAACTGGACATGGAGGAAGGAGCTAATTTCCTTCATGAGCATAAATCACCCATGTATGAGATAAGCCAACAGGTACACGGTCAGTCAAGCCTGTTGCAATGGTAACAGCCCAGTTACCATACCATGAGCATGCCAGCTCATGGTGGCCGGGTCTTCTGCTGTAGTGTGTCAGCCCGTGAGTCTGTCCATGAGTTGGAGTCTGTGTTATATCTTGAATATAGAAATATTTTGCACTTGTATGTATATACCTGGTGGAATAAGAAGTCTACATACAAGCTGTATGTATATATCAACATCTGGAGCTGCTTTACTGAAGCCTTATCTTCTACAGCAGTAAACTGTTTTGGATCTTAAGCTGCCTCTGTGTGGTGACTGTAAGTGGGAGCAACTTCTGCTGCAGAGGTATCTCACCTCACTTCCCCACCAGTTTCTGCCCATTTCTAGTGGGAAGCCACAACTGCTCCTTACCTCGACAGGTACAAATCCAGCATCGGGCCCCCGGGATCGCTTCCCCCGTGCGGGTGGCTGCTCGTGCCCACGTAGTGGCTGCAGGCTCCTTACATCCACCATTGGAACGGGCTCCGCCTCCGGCATACTTGGACCTATCACAGGCTCCTCCATCCCAACCGGCTCCTTCTCCTCCACCACAGGGGGCGGGGGCTCCCGATGCTCTTCCTGCAGAAAGAAGAGGAAGGGCTGTGATGTCACCGCTGTAGTACACATTGGAGGCCTTTTTTCAGATGCCTCCACCTTGCCGGAATTGCCTGGCAAAGGTAATCTTAAGCGGTGCAGTTCAACAACTTCCCGCACGGTGTCAGAAAGGATCCACCCACTGGACACTTGGGGGAATTAAACTGTGTGTGTAGTGGCTAAAGCGTCGGACTAGGACCCAGGAAGCAAATCCCCCTCAGCCATAATGCTCACTGGGTGACCTTGGTCAGTAACTGTCTCAGCCCAACCTACCACACAGGGTTGTTGCAGGGATAAAATGGATAAGGGGAGAACCACGTGCTTGAGCTCCTTGGGGGAAAAAGATGGGATACAAATGCAATAAACAGTAATAATAAAAAATAATGTGGCCTTCATTCGGCATGCTCACTACTAACCTCTTGCTTCTTCACTGGCGGGGCAGAATATACTGTGGGAGCGGCCTGGATGACAGTGGGGTTTACTTTGGGGGGCACCACCACGGGTCGAGGAACAGGCACCAGCGGCGCCAGAGGACCGACGGGGATCCCTGGCCCAACCTAGCCAAAAAGCAGGCAGCAATCAGTGTCAGTTTTGCAAGTTCAACGCTAATATCCAAAGTATGAGGCTGATCAAGTCCCCATCCCACTTTGAACCTACAAGTCTCTGTTACTTGAGAGCCCGCGCCCAAGTTTGTTTATTTCTTTCCACTTCCTAATGCATTTTTCTTTCATACCTTGTATCTTTAGACTTCAAACTTAAGGATAGGGACTACCCTGTTTTACTAGTGATCTGGGAGCCTGTTTTGACTGAAGTGGGGGGGGCAGTAAATAAAAACGAACACCAGCCACTCCCATAAAGCTTTCCCCTTGTACATGCTTGTGAAGGTTCAATAGGAGTAAGTTAAGTCATGGGTTTTACAGCACAGAGGCAGCTAAGTCACATAGCGCCAAATACTCAAGCTGTTCGTTTCCAGTCTGGCTACATAATAAAGGTTGATCTCCAGCTCTCATCCCCAGTAACCTGCCCCCGTTGGGCACATCCTGTTGCTTGATAATAGTTCTGAATCAGACTTCTAGAATAGCAGGGTTTCTCAAACCTGGGTCCCCACCTGTTGTTGGATTACAACACCCATCATACCTGATTCTGGTTCTGCTAGCTAGGGATGATGGGAGTTGTAGACCAATACCAGCTGGAGACCCAAGTTTAAGAAACACTGGGCTAAAGAGAGGGCAGTTCCCTCCTGCTTCTTTCCCAATAGCCCCATGTATTCCCCTTTGGTCTCCACTGGCATGTCCCAATCTATTCCCCTCTGAGTGAACTCTGGCACAGAAGCAGAGAGCAGCCTCAAAAACCGGAAAAACAGATACCATCCCTGCCCTCTCACCAAAGAAAAAGAAACTCACCGGGGGACCAGATCTCATGGGCCCTATGCCCCCTAGGGGCGGGCCAGGTGCTCTCTGCATTGGGGGGCCCATAAGCATTGGGGGGCCCTGGGGGCCTGACATGGGGGGACCCACCATAGACTGGTGATGAGGAGGGCGCATTGGCAGAGGACGAGGGCCACCTGCAAAAAGAAAATGCAGTAATAATTAGAAATCAGTGTTAGGCAACACTCAGCACACTGACCAATAAAGGCATCTAAAAATATTTCTGGTGCTTTCTGTTTTCAGTTTCTATACCCTTGGCTGGGCAGCTTAGAAATGTAATTAAAAATCTTTGCATTCAGAAAAACATACTTTCCATTCATTGACTGGTTTATACGCTCCCTGCAAGGCCTTTTCTACCTGGCCTAGGGGGCGAGGCCCAGATTCACCAGCCCTACTGAAGAGGCTCCTCATGAGGCCGGAGGAACATCGCCCGGCTATTGTTTTATTGATTTATTGATTTAATATGCTGTACACCGCTTTGAGGTTTTTATTAAAAATATAAAGCAGTATAGAAATTAAAAAATAAATAAAATACGCTGTGGCTCAAAGGGGAAGAAATTATTGGTTTTTCCTTCAAAGTCAGCTGAACCCCAAAACGCCTCTGGATTCCCTGAGAGCCCCAGAAACAACAGGGTATGGAGTGATGTGCGTTCAGGCCTCTTCCCAACTTCTGTGCAAATGCCGTGAGGCACAATACGCACATCACACCAAAGGCCCATCTAGTCCAACATTCTGTTCTCCTAGTGGCCAACCAGATATCTATGGGAAGCCCACAAGAAGAACCTGAGAGTGACAGCACTCTCCAAATTTCTGGTTCCCAGCAACTGGCATTCATAGGCATACTGTCTCAAACAGTGGACACGGCCATCGTTCCTAGCAGCCATCAATAGAAAATCCATGGGGAAGAAGGCTAACACTCTTTAAAGCCACCCATACCTTGTGCTATAATGGAAACATGGCTAGAAACCCAATGGATTTTTCTTTTTAAGATAAACCTGCTTATCAGGAAGAGTCACAGGAAAAGGATCGGTGAAAGAAAGCCTACATCTGTGCTGAATAGGAAGAAGATACATTACATCAAGGATGGGGAAACTGGCTCTCCAGATGCTGTTGGACTTTAACTCCCAACAGCCCAGCCAGCATGGTCAATGGTAAAGGATGACATGAGCTGCAGTCCAACAACTTCAGGAAGCACAAAGATTCCCCATCCCTATTCTTAATAAGAAGACCTGTAGTGAATCAGACTAATCCTGACCACCAGCACCTTGCCATCAACTTCAAAGCAGAGGCTGTTCCCAGCTACTCAATATCCTCAACCCGGGGATTGAACCTGAACCTTCATCCATACAAGTGATGTGCACTCCCACTGAATCATGGCTTCCTATCTGCCTCCACAGAATCCCACCAAACCTCCCACTCCATGTTCCTTGCAAAACGGTGAACCCAACCAACAAATAATAAAAAAGACATCTTACCGGATCTCTGCAGAACATGAGGCACAAAGGTCGGCCGGAGGATGGGGGGCCGTTGCGGGGGGACAGCTGGGGGGGGGGGGAGAGAGAATGGATTTCAAGGCCCTTGGACATACAAAGCCCATTTCACAATCTTTGCAATCTCGGCTCTTTTATATCAACTTTGCAGTTTCCAGGCTGAATTCACAGTGCTGGCAATTAGCCTTTAAAACCTAAACGACTGACAACCAGTATACTTGAAGGGATCGTCTTCTCCAATATGAGCCAGCCTGGCCACTTAGGTCAGCTGGAGAGTCCCTTTCTGCATGCCCTGTCTCCATATGAGGTGTGATTGGAGGAAACACTTAAAAGAACTCTATTGCAGGGTCAACAAAGTATGAATTTCTCTGTGAACACTTCCCTCTTGCTCTTCTGAAGCTAGCTGAAAACTTATTTCTTCTTTCAGGCCTATGACCTGTAGGTTCTTGAATGTTTTATTCCTAGCTCTTTCGGTTTAGTTGAGATGGGGAGCCTGTGGCTCTCCAGATGCTGGACTTTCAACTCCCATCAGCACCAATCAACATGGTCAAAGGCCAGGAATGATGGTAAATGTAGTTCAGCAATAGCTGGAGGGCCACAGCTTTCTCATTCCTCTGCTGATGTGATCTTAGCGCCCTAACAATTTATTAATCTGTTTTAATTGCTTGGTTATTCTCTTAAGCATTTTGGGTGGGACACAACTTAATATCTGACATAACTGCAGTTGTGGTGGGGAACCTGTGACCCTACAGAGGTCACTGGATTACAACTTCCACCAGCCCCAACCATGGTGGCTGAGGCTGATGAAAGCTGGCAGTCCAACAACTGGAGGGACACAGGCTTCACATCCTTCTGGTAAGAATAGAATTACAAAGGCACTGGCTATATACCTGGGCCCACAAATGGCACTGGAGGAGCCACGATGGGGGCCACCACAGTGGCTGCCGCTGCTGCTCGGGCTTCCAGACTCTGCTGGACCTGGGGGGGGGGAGAGAAACAAATGGCAAGAACAGATGTCAGCGAAGTAAGATGAACAGTTAAGTACGAAAGTTTAGTATTCACACATTCATTCTCCTCACCCCAGCTTCCTAAGAGCAGCTCTGCTGCATCAGACCAAAACCCTACACTATCTGTAATCCCTGCTTCCTGAAGATCAACTTGCATGGTGTGCACCAATTCTGCCTTGCACTCAGCAGCATGGTAGGTGCTGGATAGAACATAAAAGTGGCATGATTGAAAGAGGACTTGCACGTCACAACCTAATGGGTGAGGTAGCAATGTTAGTGCTAGAGGAATGGTTTGTTGTAGAATTATACCACACTGTATTACCTATGTGCTAAAAAGAAATATTCTACTGTTTCAAAACACTGATCAAAACCTAAATTGGGGTGGGGGGGGGGGGAGAAGGCTCTGCTGGCCATGGAGTAAGCAGCAGAAACTGAGAGCTCAGAGAGAAAATATTTTAAAGGATGGATTTCTCACTCTGAAGAACAAGTATTATGAAGCAAAGAATATAGGTCAGTCCTTAAGAACTTTCCAAGCAGGAATGTAATTTGGAGTAGTGAAATAATAAACATTACTACTTAATTTCTGGGCTAGACACAAGCCCTGGGCCAGACATCAAACTTATTGGCTGGAAAAGAATCTAAAGCAAAGGGCTTGTGAAGACAAAAAAATGGACAATTAGAAATTATTGGACCTCTTACATTTAAATAGTAGAAGTAAAAAAGAAAGGATCAATACCCAGGACAGTAAAATATTTGAAAAACTTGGAGTAAATAATTGAATATAATTAATTACTCTTACTTCCGGTCTCCGGGCCTGAAGCCTGATACCAGGTTGGAGACTAGATTTAATTGAAGCAAAAGAACTTAAAAGGGGGAAAACAACAATAAATACTACAAATAAACAAGGGGAAAGGTGAACATAAAATGGAAGAATGGTATAGAGAGGTGTGGGATATAGCAATTAATGACAAATTAACATGTGCTATTAAGGTAAGACACGGAATATGCAGGAGAAATGATTTTAAGGAGATATGGAATATATTTGTAGAATTTGTGCTGTTAAAATGGAAAGGAGTCAAAAATCGCAAGAGGTGTTGAAATTTTGGGAGGTTGAATAGTTATAATGAAATGGTCTGGGGGGGAGTGCATATTTTTATTTCTACTTTATTATTATTACTTTGTTTTTTAAAAATTAAAAACCTAAATCAACATCTACTGCTTCAGCCAAAGTGGAACAGTGACAACACCAACATATTTTGAAAATTACAAATGTGTCATCTGAACCTCTAATCCCAAAGCCCAGCTTTCCTCACCTGCACCAGATTTCAAGGCTTCTACCGAAAGCCAGGAGCTGTTTTATATAGAGCGAGACCACTGGTCCATTTAGCTCAGCATTATCTATACAGTACTCATGGGCAGCAGCTCTTTGGAGTTTCAGGCAGGAGATTTTTCCCCATTCCCAACTGGAGATGCTAGGATTTCAACCTAGCACCTTTTGCATGCAAAGTATGTTTTCTACAATTGAGCTACAGCCCTGTCCCTCAAAGCTGTCCAGCAAGCTTCCTGCATTGCAAAAGGTAAGCCTCAAGCAGACTCCTCACCTGTTGGTAGGTGTTGGTGGCAATGATGGGTCGGATGACAGGGACCGGGGGGACTGCAGACACAGCTGGCACTGCCAGGGCAACTGGGACAGCTTCTACCACAGGGGCAACAGGAGGCAAGGATACTGGAGCTCCCAGCACCTCCTGCTCAAACCTGTAAACAAAAACCCATAGCATTTATATGATTCTTTTGCCATACAAATGCTCCACATACACCATTCCATTATTAATCTGAACAACTGGCTTGATATTTTGATTGTTTTTATTATATCCATGCTGAGGACCACGAAGGGCCAAGTTCAAAGCCCACCCCACCAGCAACAAAGCTCACTCTGGAACCTGCATCACCTTTCATCCTAATCAATTTCGCAGGTTTGTTGAGGAGAGAAAATGAGGGGAAAGGGGGCCATGGACACTACTTTAACTTCTATTAAGGCATGATATAAGTACCAAATAATAGTCACCATCATCATCAGACAAGAACATTAAATGTTTTAAAGTCTATTGACAAACCACACCAAGAGTTGTAAAGCAGGCTGTTTGGAGAAATATTCACTTCAGAACAGCTCTGCGTCATACTGAAATCAGGAGGCAAAAAAAGGGAATGGTTTGCCTAAGCTCTGAGAACAAGGCTAAGGTGGGCTCTGAACTGGAAGCATCCCAGCTCGCAAGGGAGACTCGGAGCTCCCATTACCAACACTGCCCTGGGTGCCACAGCCGCGTTTCCTAGCACCTGCAACGCTTTTCTTTCCAGCGTGTTCACTGTCAACGTTGTAAGAAAGGGAGGGAGGGAGGGGCCCCCTGAAATCTCCCAGGTGTCCCCAGACTTCCAGCTCCCATCACCTCCGTCCATGAAACCATTTTGAGTGGTCTTCTCTGGCCCCCCACAAACACAGGGCCCCGCAATGGGAGCCTCCATGGGCGCCCTCCCTGCTTCACTCACAGGGCCATCTCGGCTTCCATTTCCTTCAGCCTCTCCTCTCCACTCTTCGCGCCGCCGCCGCCTCCTGCGGCCGCCGCCGGTGGCCCTTTCCCAGGCACCCCTCCAGGCACCCCAGGGGGCCCTCCCGGCGGCGGAGGGGGCGGAATCGCCGGAGCCGCCATGGCTCAAGTGCTCTTCCAAGTCGGTAGCAACCGCTCCTACAGCTACATGGACCACCGTCCTCCGAGACTACTTCCGGCGCAGTAATGATGACGATGTCCCGGAGACTTCCGGCGCACCTCGTCGACGGTAGCAGAAAAAATAGAACTTCCGGTACAAGCAGAGCGCTGTCGTAGGCTGCGTCTCTCTATGGTTGCAGGGCGGTGTAGCTCTTTCCTTGTCATTCTCTCTGGAGAAAACTCGACCGCAACCTATTTTTTTGCTAGGAGTGAGGAAATAAGGTCAAGACCGGAAGTACTGCTAAGGACTGCAGCAGTGTGACTGAGAAATTGCTAACTCTATGGACACGTCGCGTTCCATTTCCCGCAGAACGCTGGGCGGGGCTAAGCAGAAGGGGGGAGGCTTGGGTGCCCCCTGGTTGGAAGAAACTGAAGAGGGGGAACCTGCTCGATTAATCTGTGGGACTTATAGGATCGCGCTGTAATTTTTCCACTCACCTCTCCATCCAGGGAAGCAAGAGGCATTATCAGAGTGAAAGAGCACCTCACAGCCAGGCAGAAGCACACAGAGGAAGCTCAGGGATGGTGATGCCTAGGGAAAGGGGGAATGGCCGGAGGAATCCCAAGGGCCAGATAAGTGAGGTGTGGAGGGCTGCAATCAGCCCTGAAGGCCAAGGCTTTCATTCTTACCTTGTGTGTTTATTCAGAAGCAAAATCCAGAGAGTTCAATAGTAAATGTAAATAGGTCTGTCACTTTGTAATGCAGCCCTACAGATATTTACACAGCAATCTGAATCACCCTGAGTAGGGCTTGCTTCCTAGCAATCAACCACCTAATGTTTTCCTTTTGTCCAGGTGAAGGGCTTCTCACGGTGGGAGAAAAATATCACCTTAGTGCAAGAATGCCAACTTGAATAAAATATTGGGGGGGGGGCAGGTAAGCCTCTCCCTGCATAATCAATCACAAGATGTGGCACAAGTGCACAATTGGCAATGACCATCAACTTTGGGGGGCTTGGGCCCCCTCAAATATTTTATTGAGGGCCCAAAGTGACGTTGGCCCCTAGGAGTTGACTCCTATGCTACAATGCCAAAGCAGCAGTGATGAAGTCAGACCTTAAGCCCAGCAGGAAAAGTAACTCCCTTCTGTAAAATGTGTTATCTAGGCTCCCGCCTCTTGCATAAGCACAGAATTCAGGGACTTTTGTCATCTGCTTAAGTAACTTATTACTACATATCCAAACAACCTGTGGAACATTCCTTTATCATGAGCACCAAGTGGGAACTGGCCAGCTGCAAGAGAAGGCTGGCTGTGATGTAGCCAGATCAGCCTCCAATCTAACAAGCAAGTAGGAAATTCAATATGCAAAAGTATTCCAGACTGCTTATCAAGTGGAAGTGGAGGGGTGGTGGTTTATGGCAAAGCAAGGAGGGGTGCTGTGGAAAATTATGTGAATCGTGTATCCTACATGCTATAAGAAGCACCCCAGTCATTGACAACAATACCACAAATTCACATATAATCTTAACACAAACCATAGCCACATGTTTTTATGCCTTTTATTAGAATTTGCACTGTTCACATGATGTTGGACGCTCAAGTCAGCATGACCAAGAAAAAGCGTTATTTCAGACTATCCTTCAGTCACCGCATTTCGGTGGGGGGACCTCAGCAGCACAGCAGTGTCATGAGAAAGGGAGCAACTGGCAGGGGCAAGACAATCAGATCTTGCCAGGAAAAGTCCCCTCTTCTATGCGCTCATCCCAGCTAGTGACCTGCAAAAGACCAATAGGCTTCTTTGATTAGTCATATCTTCTGGGCTAGTACAGAGGCAAAGTGACTAAGACTACAGATCTCCTCCTCACATGGAATTCTGCAGCTTTCTTTGTAGAAAATTAAATCACATTTCTAATCCTCATAACTATAGATTATAATAGTCTTCTTTGGTGGGTTTTGTGGGAGTTGCCTGCAAAATATCGCAAGGTGATATTTATGTTTCCTGCATAGCTATCTAGCTTATCCTCATATTTAAGAAAATTTTGACCTTGCAATTTGTCCATGAAAAGGTCCCAAGGCAATACAATAAAAATAGTAGAAGTTCCAGTTATGTTCTTTTATTACCCATCACTTATCAATGCATATCCTCCTTGTTCGTTTGCCACATACAGCTAAAAATATGGGAACATATCAGGTTCACATTATTAATTTTATGCAAAATAATAGGTTTTAGGAGTTATCATTTTGAGCAGATTGAAGTTTTCTGACACACATTTGACACACAAGTTTTCTGACGCACCTGTCTATTGCATCTCTGAGGCTTCACCCAACACAGCCCATGGTCCACAGAACCTCCCCTCCAGTCAAATAACAGAGCACTGAAATGTGCCAAACACCACCCATCAAGCCCATCCTTTACCCTGACACCTATTTCTCTTTCACATACACATTCCTTAACCCTGTTCAGTTCCATTCACATACCCAAGAAACGGGGCAAAGGGACGTGTACACTCTTTTGTACCACTGGCAGACATAAGGGTCTCCTCCCTTGGCATTCATGGCTTTCTCACAGCGGTGGAAATCTGTGGAGAGAGAAATGTTTCAGACTTATGAAGATGACCACTGCAGCTTTTTATATCCCAAACTGTTCGCAAGACTCTGTTGATGTATTCTGCACAAGGTGGCATCAGACATTATTTTTGCCTATCTCTGCTTATTTTATTGTTATTTAATCTTTCTTTCCTCCTCTACTATAGAAAGTACCCAGATTACCCAACTTACAAAAAAGAATACAAAACACTTGCACATTCTCGTAATAAGGATATTATAGTGATAATATTATGGTCTGACCTGTTGCATTTTCCTATTGTTTCCACTTACTGCCTCATTTTATGCACAGATCTAGAAGTGCTGCAGCCTGAAACTTTTAGGAAGACTTGTACAGTACACTACGGACCTTGCCTGCATAGTGAAAGTCAACAGTTTGGTGGTTCAGACATGGTACAATAGGACAACTACATTTTTTATACTTCTCTGGCAACTCAGATGTCAGATGATGAATAGTCCTAGTTTCTCATTACTCACCCAAGGATGCAAAAATTCACATAAATAAATTATACTCACCAAGATAGTTCTGCCAGCAGTTCCGGGTTTGGTTTTGATTGGGGAACCGGCTGTCAAACGGAGCCGTTCGGTAATTTTCCAGCTTTTCCTTTATGGTTTCAGACATGTTCTCTTCTCTGAAAGAATATATAAAATCAGCAATGTGAAAAGACCCAGAAGCTTCACAGCAGTAACGCTCAGAACCCATATCCCATGTTAAGGGATTATGTGTCCCAAAGATATTTTTATCTTCAGGGAGCATTCCAACAACTGGATGGCAGCACAGTCAGATCATGGGAGCAGAACACTGCTTAAAAGGTAAAGGTTCAGGACCCCTGGACAGTTAAGTCCAGTCAAAGGTGACTATGGGGTTGGGGCGCTCATCTCGCTTTCAGGCTGAGGGAGCCGGCGTTTGTCCACAGACAGCTTTCCAGGTCATATGGCCAGCATGACTAAACCACTTCTGGTGCAACGGAACACCGTGAAGGAAACCAGAGCACACAGAAATGCCGTTTACCTTTCCGCCACAGTGGTACCTATTTATCTACTTGCACTGTTAGCTTTCTAACCCCAGCCCACCAAGCACGCATACACACATGTATACCTATCAATCCATGCAGCAAAGAAATACATTAACACAATATTATCTCTGTACACCACCCCCTAACAAATCTACAACATTAAAACCCCATCACCCAATATCTGCCTGATAAGAGGCCAGAAATATATTGCTTCAAGTCCCAACACTGCTGTGGACATGCTGGAAGGAGAGTAGTAGTATGCAGAGCAGGTATAAGGGAACCTCTGGCCATCCAGATGTTGAACTACATCCCTGGCAAATGGTGATGCTTGCTGGGGCTGATGGGAGTTGTGGTTCAGCAACATCTGAAGGGGCAAAATTTCTTTGCACCTGCACTGCTGCGAGTCCTGGAAGACCTGCTCCGCTAGCTTTTTTTCCATCTGGCCTGGGAAGGTGGGGTCCTGGCTGACTCCAGCTACAAAAGCTGAGGTTACTGAACACACTCTTGGTTTGGGGTATTGTTCAGTGGGTTTTATTGCTATTGCTGATACTAATTTTCTTGTATCTTTACAGTGGTGCCTCGCAAGACGAAATTAATCCGTTCTGCGAGAGTCTTCGTCTAGCGGTTTTTTCGTCTTGCGAAGCAACCCTATTAGCGGCTTAACGGATTAGCGCTATTAGCGGTTTAGCGGCTATTAAAGGCTTAAAGGCTTAGCGGATTAGCTGCTAAAAGGCTATTAAAGGCTATTAAAGGCTTAGCAGATTAGATAAAGGGGGAAAGCGAAAAAAATCTCTAGACTCGCAAGACATTTTCGTCTTGCGAAGCAAGCCCATAGGGAAATTCGTCCTGCGAAGCAACTCAAAAACGGAAAACCCTTTCGTCTAGCGGGTTTTCCGTCTTGCGAGGCATTCGTCTTGCGGGGCACCACTGTATTTTTAGATCATATGATTTATGTGGCAATTGTTCAGTTTGGTTGTGTACTATTTGACATGTTTTATTTACTGTTCATTACTACTTTTGTAGTTTAATTATTTTCATGTTGTGAGCTGCCTTGAGCATGATGACAGCTCCCAGTATTACATCTGCAGCACAAGAAGTTAATGCAACCAAAAGCCCTGCTCCCACTCCTGATGACTGCATACATGAAACACGTGTATCAAGCATACCTAAAAAGTCTTGCTCCCTGATCTCAGATGCACCAAAGTAGCAATAGTTACTTCTTGGTAGGATGGCGAGAAGTAATTAAGAATAGTACTCCTGTACCTTCAGTAACTCTATAAGCAGAGGCTTCCAGCAGGTGCAACCTGCCAGTTCTGCAGCAAGTTTTATTAAAGCTGCCTCCACCAAAGCCTCCTCTTCTGCACCATTTCAGAAGCCTTCCACTCCACCTGGTCAACTTACCTGGTCAGTAGGATAGAGAAAGAGCTCTTTGGGGCTTCACTAAAAATGCCACCACCAATACTCTTTCAGCTATGCAGCTGCACCTACAACAGTTGTGCAGCAGGCAGAAATTCAGCACTGGGAGCTTTTGCCCAAGCATGCAGACAGAAAGAGCACTCCCTGCTAAAATTCTTACACCGCTAGTAAAAAAATGTACAGCAGCCTTGCTAAGACTAAAGGGAGGCCAGCTCAACACACCTGCAAAAAGCCTCTTGCAACCCAACAACAAATAAAAAGACATGTACTATACAACAAATAATAATACATTAGAAAGCACTCAAAAGTATCTCACGCATAAATAGCAATGTTTGAATTACATCAAGGTGACAGAAAAGGAAAGGAGGCAATTGAAACCATTGATTTAAATAAAGTTTCCCACAGAGACTTCTTCATATATTTCCTAAACAGCAGTTAAATCCTAAGACGTGTACAGCACTTAAGAGTGTAGATATTCATAACAGGTTCATTATATTCATAACTTCATTAATATGGAAAGGCCTCCTTTAGCACAATAAGGGGCTCTGATTCACTTTGGAGATTAACTGTATGTCCAATATGCTTATGTTCAGATTTAATGAAAAGAAACATAGTATTTACAAATAATCTTTTAAAAACCTTTTTTTTAATCGTATTTTTTAGCCACCTGAGTATTATTGCATTGCAACAATTCTGAAACATAAGTATAAGCATCGGTTACATTTAGACTGTCAAAGAGACAGTTAAGAGGTGGCACAACAGTCGCCTTCAACTATCTGACCAGCTGTCACATGCGGCAAATCTATCTCCTGTTGCTCCAGCAGGTAGGAGATGAAGTTCTAATTATGTGTAAGAAACTGGAGACTAAATATTATGGGGGGAGTGCTTCATTTTGTGCAGATTGTTTAGCATCCTGCCATGGAAGGAGATTTAAGCAGAAGCTAGATTGCCACCTATCAAGGATGCTGCAGTAGTGGCTGTCCCCCTCACACCCAGAAGTAGGCTGGACTAGATGGAACTCTGAGGTCCTTTCTGACTTTAATACCTGCAGGATCAAGGGTGAGTAAAGAGCAGCACATCCCTGAATGATTTCAAATACCTCAGCAAAGAGCCCTGGCCCAATTGTTTCAGACAACAACGAAATATATACATGCGTGTTCTGGTCTCCCCACCCTCCAATATATATTGCTAAAATAATTTAAGGCTCCTGGAGGTGGGGGTTGGGGTGGGGTTTGTAGTCACCCGGAAGTGGACGTGTGTGTGATTTATCGCATTCCTGGGCTCAGAATCCACTCTTTTAAGCGCATGTCTTCTTAAATTATTGTATTTTAGTATTTTGTTGGAAGCCGCCCAGAGTGTCTGGGGAAACCCAGCCAGATGGGCGGGGTATAAATAATAAAGTTATTATTATTATTATTATTAATGCAGAGCGGGTCCCACCAGGCCTGAAGCCTGTCCACCCCAGAGGAAGATTAAAGCCCCAGTATTACAGAACGGGGACGATGAGAGGCGAGAAAAGGGCGCCTTGGAAAAGCCTCCTTGGCGGGATTCGAACCCGGGACTTCCCTGCTCCCTCCCCACTCCCCCACCCCGCCCGCCCTCCAGTCGGCCGGTTCCCCTGGAGGGAAAGAAGGAGTCCGGCCTGGCGGCAACCAGCACCCAAACCCCGGCCCGTCTCCGAGAGAAGGCCGGGCCCAGCCCTCCGGGCTCCGGCTTCCCCTCCTCCTCCCGGCCCGGGCTCCCTCGGGCCTCCGCGCTTCGCACCTCAGCAACGGGAGCAGCGGCACTCAAGGCTCTTCCCTCAAAGTCACTTTCACCCGTAGACCGGCCGCGGCTGTGCCGGAACAAACGAGAGCGGGGATTGTAGAGCGGCGCAGGAAAAGGCGGGCGCAACGGCGTGATGGACAAGCCTTCTCTGCGCTCGCAGGCGTTTGAGGAAAGATTTGCGGCGGGCGGGTAGGCGGGCGCTCTTCCCCTACAGGCCCTTTCGAGTCTGCGCAATGAGAACGAGCTCCGGGACAGTCGCGTTCTCTTTACCCCACCCCGAAAATCATATCGTGGCTTTGATTTTTGTCAGTTGAAAATTCTAGCGCTTAGCAAAAATAAAAATCTAGCTTTGGATTGTTACCACGGGACAGCAGGGCTGCGATCCTTTGCTGCACGTAGCTCGCATTCAACTTAATGAGTTACTTCTGAGTAAACATGCATCACAATGGGCTGCAAGGAAGACATCTCCCATGTGTTGGGATGTCCCACTGTTCTGTCCCAAAACCAGAAATTTCTAGAGAAATGTATTTACAGAAATTTCTTTGATTACAAGGTAGGCAGTCCCCATGACCCCAGGACTGGCTCTACTTAACTTGTATAGCGTTATAAGAATTATAAGGTCACAGGGATGGGAAGGATTTTTGTTTGTGTAAATAGCAGTTTATTTTTGTGTGTTTACGTATTTTCTTTTTACTTTCTGTATCATCAAAACTTTAATAAAAGAATTGAAAAAAAGAATTCTAAGGTCTCAAATATAGAATAAATGATCATTATATGTACAAGGCAAACCCATACATTAGTATATAAACCACGTGTCTGAGGTAGTACAAGAGAGCAATCCTGAAGCTATTTTGACTCTCCCAAATGGTCTTCAAATATTTCTCTGCAAAGAAGAAATGGGAAAAACTTTCCAATTGTCTTTGGACTGTAGGGGCTTACATCTCCCTGCAAATACAGTCTGGCAAGTATCTGTTAAGCTGAGCAAACTATCAATATGTGGGAGAGATTCAGGAACTAAAGTATTTACCATCTCAAAGGAATGGCCTGGCTACCCAGAAAATGCAATCAAGTAAAGCATTATCAGGTATCCTGGCAGACAGCAGAGAAGCAATACTCTCAGTTTTTTGCTGGAGACTGCCTCCTTCTGTGATATATGTATCATGTTTTTTTGGGGGGGTCGTGGGGTACAGGGTGGGCAATTTCAAAAGTTTTTATAGGGGCTTGCACACAGTTGTTCTGGGTCTCTCCTACCTCCTTGCAAGGGAGGAGGGGAGAACTCTGTTGCAACAGAAAAATAAAGATCTGCCTTGCTTTCTGTGGATCTTTCCTCCATCCATTCATCTCTGACCGATCATGGACTTAGGGGACTCAGTCCCTTGGGGAGTTGGGCAGTAAAAGCCAAACCCCCTGTTTCCCCCCTATAACAATAGCCACAGTATGTTGCAAATTAGAAACAAAGAACTCATAACACATCTATTAACTGCTGCAAGAACAACTATTGCCAGGACATGGAAATCATTAAAATAATTAACTATGGACCAATGGTATAATGCAATTTGGCAAACAGCATTATTGGAAAAACCAACACAACATTTAAAAGTAGTAGAAGCTCGACAGTTTTTATGCAGTCTGGTGTTACTTTATTGATTACACAAATAATGAGGCATATAATAATAATAATTATTATTTTTATTTTTATTTTTATTTTTATTTATACCCCGCCCTCCCCAGCCAAGGCTGGGCTCAGAGCGGCTTACAAGTAATAATAAAAACAAGTTGAATGATTACAACTTAAAAACAAAATTAAAATACAACATTAAAATATTGGAACATTAAAATATTAAAATGTAGCCTCATCGCAGGAGGAGAAGGAAAGGAAAAAAGAAAGAGAGGGAGGGAATCAAATTGGTTCCAAGCCAAAGGCCAGATGGAACAACTCTGTCTTACAAGCCCTGTGGAAAGAAATCAGATCCTGCAGGGCCCTGGTCTCATGAGGCAGAGCGTTCCACCAGGCCGGAGCCAGAGTTGAAAAGGCCCTGGCTCTGGTTGAAGCCAATCTAACTTCCTTAGGGCCCGGGACCACTAGCGTGTTGCTATTTATGGACCTTGAGGCTCTCCGTGGGGCATACCGGGAGAGGCGGTCCCGTAGGTACGAGGGTCCTAGGCCGTGATGGGCTTTAAAGGTCAAAAGCAGCACCTTAAATCTGACCCTGTACTCTACCGTGAGCCAGTGCAGTTTGAAAAGCACTGGGTGAATATGCTCCCATGGCAGAGACCCCGTGAGGAGCCTCGCTGCAGCATTCTGCACCCTCTGGAGTTTCTGGGTCAGCTTCAAGGGCAGCCCCGCGTAGAGTGAATTACAGTAGTCAAGCCTGGAGATGACCGTCGCATGGATCACTGTGGCCAGGTCGGGGCAGGAAAGGTAAGGGACCAACTGCTTGATGCGGCGAAGGTGGAAAAATGTTGCCTTGGCTGTTGCTGTAACTTGCGCCTCCATGGAAAGGGAGGCGTCAAGGATTACACCCAAACTCTTAACGGAAGGCAATGGCACTAATTGGGCCCCCGTAAGAGAAGGGAGTTGGTCCCTCATCCCCATGCCATCCCGACCCAGCCATAGGACCTCTGTCTTCGAAGGATTTAGTTTCAATTGGCTCCCACGAAACCATCCAGCCACAGCTTCCAAGCATCTGGTCAGTGTGTTCGGGGCCGAGTCGGTGTGGCCATCCATCAGCAGAGAGAGCTGAGTGTCATAAGCATATTGGTGACAGCCCAGCCCAAAGCTCCGGATAATCTGGGCAAGGGAGTGCATAAAGATGTTAAAAAGCATCGGGGAGAGAATTGCGCCCTGCGGCACTCCACACACCAAGGAATGGCGTGACGACATTTCCCTCCCTAGTGCCACCCTCTGTCCCCGACCAGAGATAAAAGAGCACAGCCAGTTACGGGCTATGCCCTGTATCCCCACGTCTGCGAGGCGGTGGTCCAGAAGATCATGATCGACCATGTCAAAGGCTGCTGACAAATCTGAAAGGATCACCAGTCCTGACCCGCCTCGATCCAGTTGTCTATGGAGATCATCTGTTAGGGCAACCAGAGCCATCTTGGTCCCAAAACCAGGACGGAAACCGGACTGAAATGGATCTAAAGCCATATATGGTAGAACAATAAAGTTTACGGCACAGCCTGGTGAGCATGAAGTACATATTTTATTTTCCTTCCCCACTTCCTATAGATTCCTATAAATTCTAATTGTTATTGATGCAAAATATATTTTACTTACGGTCACCAATCTAAGCAATACACATACCCATACATCATATCTGTAACAATTAGAATAGTTTTGGTAAATACATTTCAACACAACTTCGTTAATATATTCAGAAACTTTTATTTGAGTATTTATTGCTGTTTTATCTTTATGTAATAGTTGCATTGTCATATGCTCTAATATAAACAAAGATATATCTCAAAGCAACTATGTTAAGCAGTTAAAAAATGAAAAGGAATAAAAACTATGTTACGAAAAGAAGAAGGCAGGGGCAGGGAAGATGCATATTTTCTCTGGATCAAAGTCACATCATCACCTAAAATAATATTCTTACTAAAAGGCGGCAGCAGCAGTAAGAAGACAACCAATAATTTTGAAAGTTCCATTGATACAATGTGTGGGAGTTTTATCATCCATACTTTATAAGTGGCAAATGTCCCAGCTCCTCAAAACACACAGACAAATGATTTTACTTTTAGGTAAGAAATAGCTATTTATTTAAGCAAGTAAGAACTCATCCACACCTCTGCTTGCCCCAGTATTTCTCCCCCGGAAAACCTGTTGTTTACCACAGAATTGGAGTGAACATCAATTTAGTTTTCTCCAGATTGATGTTTGCTTCAATTCAGAACTAGAAAGCAGATTTTCCAGAGTAAAGCAGCGGGGCAAAGGCAAAACTGCTCCGACTCTTGCCTAGAACATAAGGGACAAGTGAAAAACCACTCGGGCCCATGTTTTCTAGGCATGGGACAATCAGAAGTGTAGGTGAGCCCTAACAGTTCAAGCTCAGCAGCAGATTCATGGCTCAGGAGTCACAATTCAGAAGTTCAGGAGGAGGGCAAGAACTGGATGGAAGGGCCAAAGATGTCCCAACAGGTTTCCTGTCCCTCCTGCCAAGATTTCAATATCAAAATTGAAAGTGCATGGTTTGTTGGGGCAGAGTCTGACCCTAGGCAGCAACACCGCACTCTCCTGTTTGGGCTCATATTGAGTCACTTCTGCCTCCTGTCCAACCTCCTATCTCGGCTGATCAAAGCTCTCCCCAGCCTCCATTGAAGCACTCTACTCTGCAGGAAGATTGGTGAAGGGAGAGCCAGCATCCATGCTCCGTCTTCTAAAATGGCTGAAGTTAATTTGGAAAGTGGGAATCCCCCTGCTCCTACCCAGGTCTGTCCACTTACCCCTCTGTGAATTTATTTTTCCTCCTCCCTGTGTCAGAGTTACCAACCCAAGCCTAATCCCAACAGTGCTGCAAGGCTCGTGATGGCAAACAAGTTCATTGATAAACAAAACACATTCTCCCCCCCAAAAAAATTTCCTTGGCACCTGGACTCCTTTGATTGACTTCGAAAGATAGAGCAGAGCACAGGTGTCCAGGCACTTATTGGTCTCACAATTCCACACATGGCTTAGCCATACAGGTGTGGTAACAAATAAGGGGGGCAGACATTAATCTGAACAAAAGCAGAGTCGGAGGATGGAACCTGGGTCCTTTTACATGTAAAGCATGTGCTTTGCCACTGAGCAATGTGGTCACCCCAAATGCAAAGTGGGAATACTAGTGGTCGGCCTCAGGTAGGATGCTTGCATCTCCAGGGAACCTGCCCAACTGTCTGAAACTGTGGAAAGCCCCTACCAGTCATTGCAGACCGTGATGAAAAAAATAGACTAAGGATCTAAAAATACACTAAGGATCCTGTGAAGGATCGGCCTCTTGAAAGTTCAAAGCAAATCAGAATGTTTCAGATTCACTCATATATATTATCAGTGGAAATATTTGCTGACAAGGTGCTCTTTTTGGTCTTATCTGGCTGGAGCAGAAGGCCATGCCAGTTGCCAAGGAAGATCTCGCCAAGTGGAGATAAAAAAGGAAGAGAGACTGGCTTGCTGAATCTTCAGATATCCGAATTCTGGCAATCAACCACACAACATGCAGTATTTCAGTCTCCAAATTTAAAGCTGTTGGACTCCAGAGTTTAATTTTCGAGTGAAATGCTCCCGGCTGTTCTGATCTGGCCGCAGCAGAATAATATAACACTTGGGGAAGAAGATGCAGCCTAGTAACCCAGCACTGGAGGCCAAAATAGAGAAGATCTCCACAGCCACCATATATTTCCCTTTGGTGCTCAGGTAGCTTGGGATGAAGGACGCCCAGACGCTGCAGAAAACCAGCATACTGAAGGTGATGAACTTGGCTTCGTTGAAGCTGTCAGGCAGCTTCCTGGCCAGGAAGGCAACCGTGAAGCTCACCATAGCCAAGAGACCCATGTAAGCTAGGATGCAGTAGAAGGCAGTGACGGAGCCCTCGTTGCACTCAAGGATAATGTACCCAGGCTCCGAGCGAGTATCAAAATCTGGGAATGGGGGAGAGGTTCCCAGCCAGACCACGCAGATTCCAGCCTGGATGAGAGAACAGAACAGCACAAAGCCATGGGCAGCTCTGGGTCTCAGCCATTTCCGCATTCTGTTCCCCGGCTTTGTGGCATTGAAGGCCAGAACCACAGTGATGGTTTTGGCCAAGACCGTAGCAAGAGAGATTGAGAAAATGAGGCCAAAGGCTGTCTGCTGGAGAAGGCAAGTCTCCATCCTTGGCCGGCCAATGAAGAGCAAGGAGCAGAGGAAGCAGAGCATTAGAGAGAAGAGGAGGATGTAGCTGAGATCTCGGTTGTTGGCTTTGACTATGGGAGAGTCTCGGTGTTTAATAAAGGTTCCGAGCAAAAATATAGCCAAGAGGGAGAAAGAAAGAGCAGAGGACGCTAAAGCAATCCCCAGGGGCTCGTCATAGGACAGGAAACTTAGGTTTTTGGGAACACACTTGTTTCTGGCTTCATTTGGATAGTAGTCCTCTTTGCATGTCTCACAGCGGTCCATATCTGGAAAACACAAATTGGATCTCACTATTGACCACATAGACCCATGCATCCATCTTTTTGAACAGATGAGTTGTGCTATAGCCTGGTCACCCCAGAAGCCCAGTGCTGCTAAATAGCATGTGTAACTTTAGATTAATAAAAATATAAAGCTCAACTGACCCCTAGACCCTACCCCCTCTGTTCAAAGCTGCTTTAGCTAATTAAGCAGCTCGTCTACATTTATTCAACCAAATACACATTCAGTTTACACCCCCTTAAAAGACAAAAGATACTGCTCATTCTTAAAACACTGGAATCTGATTTGGCTGAAATAAAGAAATGGGTTAGTGACTTACTAGACTCCAGCCCATCAGTACTGTGCACAGGTGGTTTATGCTGGGAACTATTTTCTCCTGAGTTTGATCCAAGATTAAAAATGTGAATTTCAAAAGAAAAAGCAGAAAACACAGAGAACACAACGCTATATGTTTGTATGCCTTGGCCACATTCTTACCAATTTGGTTGGAGATCTGGCCAGGTAGGCACCGGACACATTTGAAGCAGCAGCTGGGCCTTCCTCTTTCAGCCACTTTTCTAAATCCAGGGAGGCAGCTCTCACTGCAGATGGAGCGCGGATGCTAAAGAAGTGCAGGAGGAAATGCGTTTTTTAAAGTGGCTGTTTTGCAAATGATGGCATTCAATCACATATTGACAGATTCAGGTTGTGTCCTTATTGTTCATTTGGCACACTTGCACAACAAACCCACTTTCCCAACGGATTGGGCACTGCCCCATAAACCACCCACCATACCTCACTTGTGTGGAGCACCCAAAGCAGAGTCTTTCTTGAGTCTCACCTGCCCTAATCGTTCCTTCCAGACAAGCTTAGCATCGTCAAAGAAGAAGTCTTGGCCATGGTCCTTCACGCTTCCAACTTTCACACTAACCAGGGAGCTGTTAGGGAGCACGCTCCAATTTAAAATATCATAAGTAGCTGTGGAGTCTCCATTCTCATCAAAATAAACCTCCTCTCCAGCACTGTTATTGAATCGGACCTTCTTCAGAAATGTGTGGAGCTGAGGGCAGAGATTGCAAGGGAGGAAGAAATCTCTCTTCACTAACGTAAGATTTAATAATTATGACTGCCAACTGATAGAAGAACTTACTTAAATAAGCTAACTGTCCCACAGTTAGCTAGTTGATTCATCACATTTAAATTAATATAAATATTGTAAGATGTGACTTCGGTGATTATTTCAGTGTTTCCATGTTAGTGGCTTGAAAGCCAGAGAGGGCATCTCCCCCTGCTGTGTTTCAAACTGCACTTGCGGAACAATGCTCTGCTTTCCTCTACAGGCATACATATTATCCAGGATATATTTAAAACTATTCAAATCTATAGGTGGGACAGGGCCCACTGACAGTGTGACAGGAAGGGAGATTGCAGCCAATAGCCCTGAGGAATCAGGTGATCTGCAGAGCCAATGAAGTCCCTCTTGGTCTCATTTAAAGACGTTTCCTCAGAGTGGCTACCCTGTTTCAGCCACTTGTCTTCTCTCTTCTCCCTCTTACCTGCCTGCTTTGGAATTTGAACTACATCAAATGCCTCTGGCCTAGGGATCCTTGTCTGTATACTCCATAACCTGAAGCCACAGGCCTGTGTGGACCACCCTGTTTGCCTCTGATACCACTGGGCCCTGACAAATCATGTGGGGACACCATACACAATGATGAGGCTATCAAACCATCTCTGGCATTGTTGAAAACTCTCCTCTGCCTCAGATACATTATTTGTGTCATAATACCTGCCATGGGGGTAGTAGGCCTTTTCTCCTCCTCCTCCCTCCTTCTCCAGTATGATGATATCTCATTTCCATCAGTGCATGGGCTACTGCATAGACCGCATTGTAAATGCTATAGCTCTGCCACACGGTGTTCATATCAAAATCTGAAACAGGCAGGCTGTCCAGTCGTTCCCTTTCAGTGCATTTTCTTTTCCCATACATTCGGACTGAGTAGGGAGGAGGCATCACACAGTCAAAGGCAAAACCCCAGAAATGCTTCATGAAAACATCGTTTGGATATTTTTTAGGGTTCACAGACCGAAGGAAGTCTCGAAATTGTGGGATTTCCGCCTTATGAACTGCAAAGGACAAGGCGCCCTGAAATGGATTTGAGTCTGGTTTGTCTGGCCGGGGACCTACAGTAAAATCCCACTGGGCTGTGATGATCCAGATCTTGCCTCTTGTTCGGAGATTTTGGCTCAGAACTTGTAAATGAAAGAAGTGACTAGTGCTGCCGTAAAATACAGTCACATTGGCTGAGGACTTTGTGAGGGCATCTTCCATCTTATGAATGGTTTTAATAGCCAGGTTCTTCATGCTGTACATCTTTAAGATGAATTCAGTGCAAACTCCATTTTTCTGCATTTCACCTTCCATGGCGTGGAGGAACTTCTCGCCATTATCGTCACCTGTAAAAACTACTCCAATCCACATCCAGCGGTAGTAAAGGATCAGCTTGATGATCCCGGTGAACTGAGCCAGGTCACTGGGGACTGTCCGATACAGAAAAGGAAACTGGACCTTATCACTCAGGTTGGGATCAGACGAGCCATAACAGATCTAAGGAGAAAAGGGCTGTTATATCTTGCTGGTTTATATTGGGTTTTTTTTTAAGGAATAGAACCTTCAACCAATTTGTGTGCCACAGACTGGTTGGACACAGATGACTGGTGAGATAAACCAACTGGGGTCCCCCAAGGGATGAAGGCTGGGAACTCATGGTAGATGGCAATGAGTGGTCAGAGGTAGAAGAGGGAGAAGACTGGGAAGAGAAGGTGCTGAAAGCAGAAGAGGTAACAGGGTTTAGTGAGCAGGGAGAATCTGTGGCAGAGAGAAACCCAGAATCAAGAGCAGAAACTGAAGCAGGAGAAGAGAGAGGCCAAGAGGCAGAGATGAGTCTGGCTGGTGAAGAGGCACGGGCGTCTCCCTCTCCTGCTGTGATGAGCTCCCCTCTCCTCTAGTTTCTCATAGCCAGGAGAGGCATGAAGAGGGCAGATGAGAAGTTGGTTGGTTTCAAGCAGGTGAAGTCTCAGATTGCTTTGTGAAAACCCTGGAGAAGAGAGGACATATGCAGCTTTGGGGAGACGGGGACCTTCAGTCTCAGCAACTGCTTCATGGGGAGCAAGATCTGCAGGTGTTGAGTTGATGTAACACTCCTGTGCAGATCTTCTTTTGCTAATCAAGAGTTAACTCCAACTTTCTTGGTGTGATTTACAGTTGACTGTCTCCTGTCATTGTGTTTAGTTTTAGGGTTGTACAATGGTGGCTTTATAGCCTAGGAACTTGGCAATTAACATGAAATACAAATGTGCTTAGGTATGTGCTCTCCTCCTCTTCCTTCCAATTGATTTAAAGGTTGAAAGTGTGAGGTAAATGAGCCTCTTATAACCAACATGTTTCACTCTAATGTGTGAAGGGGTTAAGACCATAGAGTAAGCTGTCCTGTGAGGGTTACCAAATTCTTTGTTCTCTTACTTGTACTGTGTGAACCCTACCAGTAATGAGGTCTAAACTGGAGGTTTCAAGCTTAGGCTACGTGGCATATGCAGATCATCTTTGTGTTTCTATAGAAATAATTTAGAAATTGGCCTGAGGCCTTGTCATTCACCCCACATCTAATTGACCCACCACTCCACCCAGTATTGGGCCAGTTTAAAGTTCAGAATGTTCAAGGGCTGTTTGGTGGAGGCAGGCAGAAAAAATAAAATAAAGATATTCACTTGGCGACTGTGATGAAGTTAATAAGAAGGAGAGGTGGTTTGCCTCCCTCCCTTCTCACTGTGCAGGCTACAACCTGTGACATCAATTTAATGTAGTCTGCCGTGGGATTGCCTATTGAAGGGGAGTAGGCTGCAATTTGGGGGGGATGCGGGTGGCGCTGTGGGTAAAACCTCAGCACCTAGGGCTTGCCGATCGTATGGTCGGCGGTTCAAATCCCCACAGCGGGGTGAGCTCCCGTCTTTCGGTCCCAGCTCCTGCCCACCTAGCAGTTCAAAAGCACTCCTAAGTGCAAGTAGATTAATAGGTACCGCTTTATAGCGGGAAGGTAAACGGCGTTTCCGTGTGCTGCGCTGGTGCTGGCTCGCCAGAGCAGCTTCGTCACGCTGGCCACGTGACCCGGAAGTGTCTCCAGACAGCGCTGGCTCCCGGCCTCTTAAGTGAGATGGGCACACAACCCTAGAGTCGGACACGACTGGCCCGTACGGGCAGGGGTACCTTTACCTTTAGGCTGCAATTAGTTTAAGTAAAGAGATAAATATTTCTGGAAAAAGATTTTACATGCATATGATTGAACACATAATTTACATTATGTCATTTGGTCACATGTGTCCTGTTTGCTTGCTCCAGTATTTTGAAGTCAGAGAGGGTGTCAGGTACAGCAAGAGAGCACAGGGCCAAACTCACCTGGGGTACCTTGGAGCTCTGCAACATGTTGCTCATCTCAGTGGTAGACTCAGATGTCAGAGCCCCAATGACGGCTGCCAGCTTGCTCTGCCCATGGCAATGATAGTTGGGGACGGTTTTATCCTTTGGACTTTTGCTGACCAGGCTGTCATAAGATGGCCTCCCGTAGGAGTAATAAAGATCATATGCGCTGGGAGGTAGGGGGAGCACGGAAGGAGTCCAGTTCCTCTCAGATAAAATGCTGACTGTGGCCTCATTGTTTTTTCTCATGTTGTGACCATCCTCATAGAGCTGGAATCCCAAGGAGACATTGGGAAAGAGATGAGAGTCCTTGTTGAGCTCTTCCACTGCAAACACAAAGGCCAGGACGTGCTGATAGTTCTTCCTGAGTTCGCTGCAGTGGGACAGTGAACCTCAGTAACTCTATTGTGAACTGCCCTGGAAATATTCAGTTAAAAATGCGCTAGACAGACAGACAGTACTCAGAAGGGCATGGGGATGATTATGCTACCCATTGGAGATAATGGAAACTGTAGGTTTGTCCAACGTTAGCATTCTAGATATTGAACTACTTCCCCCCCCCCCAACTTGCTGTGCCTTTTTTGAGAACGTCTCCCCTCCCCACCAAGAAAAAAAAAAGTATTGGGGCTCTTGGGGTTTTTTTAATGGATTTTTTAAAATTTAAAAATACCGGGCCCCCCTCGCCATACATCCTGGACATTTTGCCGATTCAAAAAAATCCACCTGGACGCCATTTTGAGGACCAATTCCTGAATGTTTCCAGGAAAATCTGGATGTATGGCAGCCCTAACTAATCCTACCATCCCTGGTAACTCCACATGCCAGCTTAGTCTGATGGTAGCTGGGAGCCCAACAATATGTTGGGTATCCACATTCTAGCCCCTGAAGGAAAATAAGCAGCAGCACAGGTGTTCTGAAGGTACCACACTCTGATTGTGTTGTTGCATGCCACCTCAATCCCCACCAGCAGTGCAAGATTCCAGGGGTTGTAGGAGCACTTACCAGGGCCTCTGTTCCCTGTGGTGTCTTTATGAAATGGGCCAGTGATGGCCCATCAAGGAAACCATCAGAGGGCAAGACAGCCAGGCAAGGGGGAGTGGGGTGTCATCTTTGCTGGGTGTTAGTGGGCACAGGCAAAGGGCGGCTTTAGGGTTTCAACACTGAATGATTAGGCTGGAGGGAGGCCTTTGGAGACGGTTAGCAGTGAGAAGGAGAAGAAGGAGCAGGGCTCCATGTGAGCTGGGAATGACAGGCTGAACCTAAGAGACACCACGGATGGCTTTTTGCTGTTCTTTGCATCTAATGCTGTCCTGAAGGCAGAATGAGACCCTCTCCAATCCCTCCCTTTTGGTACAGGTTGTATAAATGCATAAATATGCATTAAAATAGGCATAAATAAATAGGCATAAATCAAACCATTTGTCCCCTGCTAATGGCCCAGCCATCCAGCTCTGCCAAGCTGGCTTGGTTCTATATAACTAAATCTAGGAGGGTTCTGAATTTGGCAAAGTTTCATCAAAACTTGATTCATTTTTAACTTTTACTAAATCACGTGCTTATGGGGAGTCTGCATATACACACCCAATTCGTAAAAGTATGTATGCAAAGATGTATGGAAGGAAGGAAGGAAGGAAGGAAGGAAGGAAGGAAGGGAATATGGCAACTATTCATTTGTTACCCAAATTGCTGGTTAATAGCACAGGCTGGCAAGCAGATGTTTTGTGAATGGGAACTAATGGTATGGGGATGGTCTTTTGATAGCTGGGGATCTCTTTGCCGTTTTCAAATGAAATGCTGACCAGTACTTGAAGGAGGGCAACACCCCTCTAGGTAAGGGAAGAGGGCAGGGACAAGCAGATGTACATGGGTGTGTGAGAGAAACAGCAGCAGACTATTTCTGCTTTCGGAACAGGGCGAGAGAGGGAATATACAATGAGGGCCAACTACACAAGACACCAATTAGTGTTTCAAGAAGTAAATTGTAAAAAAAGGAAATAATTTGGAAGGAAGTATTCTAAGTTCTGTTTTACGCAGCATCGATCCTGGTAATGACAGACCATCTCCAGTCTTTACAGAACATTTATTCCAATTTGTATGTGAGGAGTTTATACAACAATAAGAAGGAAAGAGGAGCCTGCAAGCTGGACAAGAGCACAACAGCACTCTGTTGCACACCTGCAGTCCCAAGCGACTGTTTTGCAGAGACACAATGCCTCTCACAGGGGAGGTGGAACATAGCCAGGAATGAGCATTCATGTTCTGAACTGATCCTGATTTGCTCACTTTTATATCTTGCTGCTAATCATGCATTCATCCCACACCTTTCAGGGCATTTCCCCATAACTTTCCTAATCACAAAAAAAAAACATTAAAAAGTGGATTTGTTGCCCTTTGGCAACAGAGTGCTTTATTCCAACTGCGCAAACCTAAATTTTCCTCCTGCAAAATACTGGCAGAGTGGAGGCATCCCAGCTCCTTGCATTTTGGCTCTGGTGCATTGCTTTGTTAGAATTTTGGTGGATTATTGCTATTATTATTGTTGTTGTTATTACTTATTAAATTTCTATACCACCCTTCATCCAGAATCACACGGCAATTTACAATATAAAAGGAAAACATAAAAATAAAAAAATACATACATACCATAGTAACACACACACAAAAATACCACCACACCCACAAATTAAAATGCTGTAGATTGTTTCATTAGCCAGAGGTCTGGGAGAAGAGAAATGTTTTGCCTGGCACCTAAAGATCTGTAACAGAGGGGCCAGGTGAGCCTATGAATGCAAAGTAATGATATTCTTACAAAACCTACTTGCTCCTGAATATATGCTTTCACTCAAGAAAGCAAATGCTTGATTCTACGCCAGTTCTGATCTGATCTGAAATAACATCATAGACCTGAGTCTGGCTACACAGAGACTGATAAAACTCAGATGATACATTCTGGTTTTCTGAAACAGTGTTAAATACTTACTGAGCGACCGTTGCAAATGAAAAAGGCTGTGGAGCACTTTGGAATTTTACTTTTCCATTGTCTAAAATATTCTGGGATAATATACCCCCAATGATATGGTCCCCGTCTTTAGAGTAGCCTTCAGTATAGCTTTTCTTAGGAGTACACAGGGTTTCCCCATCCGTAGCCACAGCAGTGGGGAAAAGCAGCGTGATAAGGATCAGAGACAGCATAGAGTCGCCTTCCCTGGGCACTCGCCTTCTTTCCAAGATTGACCCCGTTAAGCCCGTCAAATCGACTGCATTAGAGAACACAGGGGGATGAGCTGAGAGATCAAGTTCAGTTCAATGTGGTCCAGCACTGCAGCCGCTCTATTCTGAGCCCTAGAGTGGGTCTACAGTGAGCAAGATGGAAAATCTTGGCTTTGTTCTACAGACAGGAGCCTTGTCTGGCATAATAAGGGCATGTTCACACACAGATTCCTGACCCTTTCAACAACTCTCATACTTGTTATTGCTTACCAGAGTCTCCTTTGGTGGACCTCCTTGTGTTGATCATAGTCATTGCAGTGATTCCACCTCCCTGCCCAAGGCAGATGCTCCCTGCTGCTCCCCATGGCCCAGCATCTTTCACAAATATGTTTATGTTGATGTGCCCCTGTACTGTGGGGACAAGGAATGAAGCAACAGCATGGAGCACCTGTGCCCACACCAAGTTCCCTGCAGGCTGAGGTCATCTTCAGAGGCCTTGCTTTGGCCCTGCTCCATGTTCCTCCTCTCCTGGTGACTAAGTTAGCCTTCACTTAGGAGGTGGTCTAGAATTCAGTAGTTGGCAAACTACGGCTCGGGGGCCGGATGTGGCCCACCAGGCTCAAAAATCCGGCCCGGGGACCCTGCCACCCACTCAGTCAGTCAGTCCCTGCACTGAGCTAAACCGGCGCGGCATTTCCTTGAAAAGAAGCCACGGATGCCTCGTCACACGGGAACTGACTTCTGCGACGTTGCCACGGCTTTGAATTGGCTATAAGAAGTTTCTGCAGCCAATCTGAAGCCTCAACAACCACGTGCTGAGGTAAACCTGGCGCGGCCATAGACATAGAGCACGGCGGGCGGGCGCCAGATCTGGGCTGCGCAATGGGCATTGTGATGGGCGCGTCAGGGGCTTCAGCTGGGAGGCAAACTGTGCACCACCTGCCCAGCGCTCCGCATGCGCGGCCTGCCCGCTGACCTGGCCTCGGATGATGGGTCGCAGTGCATGGTGCACACCGCCTGGGAGCTCTGCGGGGATGGTCTGATGGATGGTCTGCTCATCAACAACATCAGTGAGTGGGCGGCAGCAAGCCGCCCTTCTGAGTGCATGCAGAGTGCGTTCTCCCTCCAGGTCCAGAGGTAGCTGTGGGACCGGATTGCAGGGTATTTATATTTTTCAAAATATAGTCCGGCCCCCCACAAGGTCTGAGGGACAGTGGACCGGCTCCCAGATGAAAAAGTTTGCTGACCCCTGGTCTAGATGCATCATAGGAACACAGGAAACTGTGACCATTAGTCCAACTTGCTTGGTATTGTCTACACCAGTGTTCCCCACACTTGGGTCTCCAGCTTTTTTTGGACTTTCACTCCCATGAGCCCCAGCAAGCCTCGCCCATGACAATGTCTGGAGTGCCACATGTTCTCCATGCCTAGTCTTCACCTTGGGCCTTCAACTAGAGGCTTGAGAGACTCACTGCTGAGCCATGGCCTGAACCAATGTGGATTGGAACATCTATTAAGTGCTGCAAGAACAACTATTGCCAGGACATGGAAATCATTACGATTTAAGGACCAATGGTATAATGCAATCTGGCAAACAGCATTATTGGAAAAACTGACACAACGTTTAAGAAGCAACACCATTTTTACGAAGTCTGGTTTGACTTTATTCATTACACAAATAAGCAGACATTTGGTAGAACAGTACCTATAGTTTACAGCATAGTCTGGCGTGCATGAAGTGCATATTTTAATTTCCCCTCCCGTCCCCAGGTCCTATAAATTCCTATATATGCTAATTGTTTTTGATACAAAATAACTTTTACTTATCATCACCAATTTAAGCAAAACATGTTACTGTACATCATTTCATATCTGTAACAATTGGAATAATTTAGTATACAACTTTGTTAATCTATTCAGAAACATTAATCTAAGTGTTTATTGTTCGTTTTTATTTTTATGTAATTGCTGCATTGTAATATGCTGTAATATAAACAAAGATATATCTCAATGCAACCATGTTAAACAGTTTAGAAAATAATATGAATGAGGACTAAGTTACAAAAAGAAGACAATTCCTGATATAATAACACTATATCAATTTATATAAAAATGTATGGGAGTATATTACGTTGCATTTTTGTATATTGTTTCCCCCCTTTTTTATACATTTCTTTGTTTCCCCCCCCCTTTGTATCACTTTATTTCTTTATAATTTAAATTATTTCAATAAAAATATTAATATAAAAAAGAGTTAGATGGACCAATGTTTTAATTCAATATAGGGCAGCTTCCTCCATTCCTCCATTAGAGGTCAGGATAGTGACTTGGTCGTGACTACATAGTGAGTTTGTGTCTGAAGCTCAGACATGTTGGGTGGTATCCAACTAACATGTCACACCAGGAAAAGGATTTATACTGACTGGCATACCACATTCAATCATACAAACATGCTACAAACAAACAAACTACAGTTAACAGGGGAGTAGGGGAGGAAGATGGGACGTGGGTGGCGCTGTGGGTTAAACCACAGAGCTTAGGACTTGCAGATCAGAAGGTCGGTGGTTCAAATCCCCGCGACGGTGTGAGCTCCCATTGTTCGGTCCCTGCTCCTGCCTACCTAGTAGTTTGAAAGCCCCTCAAAGTGCAAGTAGATAAATAGGTACCGCTCCGGCGGGAACGTAAACAGCGTTTCCGTGCGCTGCTCTGGTTCGCCAGAAGCGGCTTAGTCATGCTGGCCACATGACCTGGACGCTGTACACTGGCTCCCTCAGCCGATGAAGCGAGATGAGCGCCGCAACCCCAGAGTCAGCCACGACTGGACCTAATAGTCAGGGTTTTAAGTTGTGGGTGAACATATCAGACGACACAGCGATTCTTCAAAAAGCTCTTGTTTATTCACAGGCCAGGACAGAACTGAACTGAAGGGCTCAGTCAGCCTGCTTATATAGAGCTCCAGTACCACGTTACTGTAATAACTTTCTAAAACTATCCAATCACTGAACGTCACTTTCGAGCCTTCATTTGCATAACTATCTACAGTATCCATCCAATCACTGAACGTCACTTTCGATCCTTCATTTGCATAACTATCTACAGTATCCCCCTGCTGGCCCAGGGTGAGAACTTCAGTACATAACACAAGGGTCCCTTTACCTTTATAGGGGAGGAAGGCCTGCTGCTTTTGGCAGGTACCACACATAGTTTGTGCCTGGGGTGAGTGTTGAATAATAGTAATAATAATAATAATAATTTATTATTTATACCTTGCCCATCTGGCTGGGTTTCCCCAGCCACTCTGGGCGGCTTCCAGCAAAACACTAAAATACAATAACCTATTAAACATAAAAAGCTTCCCTAAACTGGGCTGCCTTTAGATGTCTTCTAAAAGTTTGGTAGTTATTTTTCTCTTTGACATCTGGTGGGAGGGCATTCCACAGGGCGGGTGCCACTACCGAGTGTTGAACCTTTCTCTATCCTCCTTCCAAGCTGAACTTGTGAGCAAATACATCACACTGAGGATCCTGTGAAGGATCGGCCTCTTGAAAGTTCAAAGCAAATCAGAATGTTTCAGATTCACTCATATATATTATCTGTGGAAATATTTGCTGACAGTGTGCTCTTTTTGGTCTTATCTGGCTGGAGCAGAAGGCCATGCCAGTTGCAAAGAAAGATGTCGCCAAGTGAAAACACACTTGCTAATGAGATAAAAAAAGGAAGAGAGACTGGCTTGCCAAATCTTCAGATATCCGATTAATGGCAATCAACCATACAACATGCAGTATTTCAGTCTCCAGATTAAAGCTGTTGGACTCCAGAGTTTAATTTTCGAGTGAAATGCTCCCGGCTGTTCTGATCTGGCCGCAGCAGAATAATATAACACTTGGGGAAGAAGATGCAGCCTAGTAACCCAGCACTGGAGGCCAAAATAGAGAAGATCTCCACAGCCACCATATACTTCCCTTTGGTGCTCAGGTAGCTTGGGATGAAGGACACCCAGACGCTGCAGAAAACCAGCATACTGAAGGTGATGAACTTGGCTTCATTGAAGCTGTCAGGCAGCTTCCTGGCCAGGAAGGCAACCGTGAAGCTCACCATAGCCAAGAGACCCATGTAAGCTAGGATGCAGTAGAAGGCAGTGACGGAGCCCTCGTTGCACTGAAGGATAATGTACCCAGGCTCCGAGTGGGTATCAAAATCTGGGAATGGGGGAGAGGTTCCCAGCCAGACCACGCAGATCCCAGCCTGGATGAGAGAACAGAGCAGCACAAAGCCATGGGCAGCTCTGGGTCTCAGCCATTTCCGCATTCTGTTCCCCGGCTTTGTGGCATTGAAGGCCAGAACCACAGTGATGGTTTTGGCCAAGACCGTAGCAAGAGAGATTGAGAAAATGAGGCCAAAGGCTGTTTGCCGGAGAAGGCAAGTCTCCATTCTTGGCCGGCCAATGAAGAGCAAGGAGCAGAGGAAGCAGAGCATTAGGGAGGAGAGGAGGATGTAGCTGAGATCTCGGTTGTTGGCTTTGACTATGGGAGAGTCTCGGTGTTTAATAAAGGTTCCGAGCAAAAATATAGCCAAGAGGGAGAAAGAAAGAGCCGAGGAAGCTAAAGCAATCCCCAGGGGCTCGTCATAGGACAGGAAACTTAGGTTTTTGGGAACACACTTGTTTCTGGCTTCATTTGGATAGTAGTTCTCTTTGCATGTCTCACAGCGGTCCATATCTGGAAAACACAAATTGGATCTCACTATTGACCATATAGACCCATGCATCCATCATATTGATCAGATGAGTTGTGCTATAGCCTGGTCCCCCCAGAAGCCCAGTGCTGCTAAATAGCATGTGTAACTTTAGAGGAATACAAATATAACGTTCAACTGACCTATCTACCCTACCTTTCCTAAGTTAGGTGAAACAGAAAAGCCTTGGTCTGAGTTTTGGCTAATCTCCAAGGGAAAAATATTATGCACTTTGGTTCGCTGACCAGGAGTCACTGGTATCCTAATGTGGTTCATAGATGGTAAATTTAAGTGGTTCTCTTAGCTGATGTTACTGCCAGATGCTGTATGCCTCTGAATAATAGTCACTGGGGATCATAAATGGGGAGTATCCTTTTGTACTCTGGTCCTGTTTATGGGATTCCCATAGGGCATTTTGTTAACTGTGAGGATGGGATGCTGATCTAGCAGGACTCTTCTTATGTTCTCATGACTTCGCCCATGCAAGTACAAATACACATACCCCCCTATCTCTGGCCAACAACATGCAAGTACAAATCCACATACCCCCATCCCATCCTATCTCTGGCCAACAACATAGAGCACAATAGGAAAAGTCTTACAAGGCGAAGGTATTCCAAAACTGTCCTGTTTTTAATTCCTGTTTTTCTTGCTCTTAAATAATAAGTTACTGTAGCTATTATAATATTAAAGCATTCACCTTTGGGACAAGCAACGGTTTTGCTGCTGCAATCACATTTATGTTCATTTTTATTTACAGTGCAGTATAGTTTAACAACCGCAACAACAACTACTGTGTAGTATAGTTTAACAACAACAAATATAATAGTATCACATATTGAAATTTTATTCATAATAACTTAACAATCATTTCCCATTTGGCGGGTGAATGGAATGCCAGTTTGATAGCCTTCCTTGACCCTACCCCCTTTGTTCAAAGCTGCCTTAGCAAATTAAGCAGCTCGTCTACATTTATTCAACCAAATACACATTCAGTTTACAGCCCATTAAAAGACAAAAGATACTGCTCATTCTTAAAACACTGGAATCTGATTTGGCTGAAATAAAGAAATGGGTTAGTGACTTACTAGACTCCAGCCCATCAGTGCTGCGCACAGGTGGTTTATGCTGGGAACTATTTTCTCCTGAGTTTGATCCAAGATTAAAAATGTGAATTTCAAAAGAAAAAGCAGAACACACAGAGAACACAAACATAAACTATGTATGTTTGTATAGTCAAGCAATGCTTTGGCCACATTCTTACCAATTTGGTTGGAGATCTGGCCAGGTAGGCACCGGACACATTTGAAGCAGCAGCTGGGCCTTCCCTTTTCGGCCACTTTTCTAAATCCAGGGAGGCAGCTCTCACTGCAGATGGAGCGCGGATGCTAAAGAAGTGCAGGAGGA